GTTCTTTGTATCTTTGTGATCAGTCCCTTATCAGTTGAATGGAGTGCAAAGTTTTTTTCCCAATCAGTGGGGTGTCTCTCTGTTTTGGTTAATGTCTCTTTGGCTGTACAGAAGCTTTTCAGTTTGATGTAACCCCAGGTGTTTATCTTTGTCTTCACTATCACTGCTTTGGGTGATGAGTCTTTAAAGATGTTTTTGAGATGTATGTCTTGCAATGTTTTACCTATATTTTCTTCTATATATTTTATGGTTTCAGGTCTTATGTCCAGTTCTTTTATCCATTTTGAGTTTATTTTTGTGCATGGTGAGATGTAGTGGTCTAGTTTTATTTTTTTGCATGTGGAGGTCCAGTTTTCCCTGCACCATTTATTGAACAAACTGTCCGTGTTCCATAGCATATTCTTTGCTCCTTTGTCAAAGATTAGTTGTTCATATAATTGTGGCTTTACTTCTGGGCTCTCTATTCGGTTCCATTGGTCTGTGTGCCTGTTTTGGTTCCAGTACCAAACTGTTTTAATTATTATGGCTTTGTAGTATAGCTTGAAGTTTGGAAGTGTGACACCTCCTTTCTCCTTTGTTTTCATCAGTAGGGCTTTGGCAATTCGTGGTTTTTTGTGGTTCCATATGAATTTCATCAGTATTTGTTCTATTTCTTTGAAGAATGTCATTGGGATTTTTATTGGAATAGCATTGAATCTGTATATTGCTTTTGGGAGGATGGCCATTTTAATAATGTTGATTCTTCCAATCCATGAGGAGGGGATATCTTTCCATTTCTTTGTGTCTTCTTCAATTTCTTTTAACAGTGTTTTATAATTTTTTTTTGTATAGGTCTTTCACCTCTTTTGTTAGGTTTATTCCCAAGTATTTGAATTTTTTGGTTTCAATTATAAAAGGGATGGTTTTCTTGATTTCTTCTTCTTCCGACTGATTGTGTATAGGAAGGCTACTGATTTTTGTGTGTGGATTTTGTATCCTGCTCCTTTACTGAACTGGTTGATTTTTTTTTAAATATTTATTTATTTGTGCACACAAGAGCTGGGGTACAGGCTAAAGATGTGGGGGGTGAGAGGATTCACCAGAGACAGAGTGGGAAGCAGAACAGGCAGACTGACTGAAATACACTGCTGGGGGGAGCAGCGGGCGAGACAGGAGAGGTCTGCCTCGCCATGTGGGTTTCTCCCTGGCAGAGACTGCGGATTGCTTCATACTGTGGTGCTTAACCCCTTGCGCCACCAGGGAGGCTCATGGTTGATTATATTGAGTAGTTTTTTTGTGGAGTTTTTAGGGTTCTCTATGTATATTATCATATCACCTGCAAATAGTGATAGTTTTACTTCTTCTTTCCCTATCTGTACTCCTTGTATGTCTTTCTCTTGTCTTATTGCCCTGGCTAGGACCTCCAGTATTATATTGAAGAGCAGTGGTGAGAGAGGACATACTTGTCTTGTTCCTGATCTTAAAGAAAAGGCCTCCAGCTTTTTGCCATTGAGAATAATGTTGGCAGTGGGTTTGTTGTATATGTCTTTTATCATGTTAAGGTATGTTCTTCTATGCCAAGAATTTCAAGGGCCTTCATCATAAATGGATATTGGACTTTGTCGAATGCTTTCTCAGCATCTATTGATATGATCATATGGTTTTTATTTTTCTTTTTGTTGATGTGTTGGATTACACTTACTGATTTTCGTATGCTGAACCATTCTTGTGCCCTTGGGATGAATCCCACTTGATCGTGGTGTACTATCCCTTTGATGCATTGTTGGATTCTATTGGCAAGGATTTTGTTGAGGATTTTTGCATCAGTGTTCATTAGGGAGATTGGCCTGTAATTTTCTTTTTTTGTGCTGTCTTTGTTTGGTTTTGGTATTAGAGTAATGTTGGCTTTGTAGAACACATTTGGTAGTATTCCTTCTTTTTCAATTTTTTGAAAGAGTTTGTGTAACATAGGCACTAATTCACTGCTGAACATTTGGTAGAATTCATTTGTGAAGCCATCTGGGCCTGGGCTTTTGTTTATGGGGAGTGCTTCGATTATTGCTCAATTTCGCTGCTTGTAATTGGTCTGTTTAGTTGCTCTATTCCTTCTTTGTCCAGCTTTGGATGATTATATCATTCTAGGAATTTGTCCATCTCTTCTAGGTTGCTGAATTTGTTTGCATATAAGTGTTCATAGTAATCTCCGATTATCCTTTTGATTTCTACTGAGTCTGTAGTGATTTCTTCTCTTTCATTTGTAAACCTATTTATATGTGTTTTCTCCCATTTTTTCTTTGTGAGCCTGGCTAGAGGTTTGTCTATTTTGTTTATTTTTTCAAAGAACCAACTTTTGGTTTCATTGATCTTTTGGATTGTTTTTTTTAATTTCCAATTTGTTTATTTCTGCTTTGATTTTTATTATTTCCTTTCTTCTACTGCATTTAGGGTTTTTTTTGGTTGTTTTTTCTATCTCTTTGAGATGTGAGATTAGGTTGTTTCTTTGAGTTCTTTCTTGTTTGTTGATGTGAGCCTGTATTGCTATATATTTTCCTCTTATTACTGCTTTTGCTGCATCCCATACATTCTGGAAAGTGGTGTCCTCCTTGTCGTTCAACTCAAAGTGCTTTTTAATTTCTTCTTTGATCCCCTCATTAGTCCAGTGGTCTTCCAGTACTGTGGATTTCAAGCTCCATAAAGTGGGAGGGTTCCTTGTTTTCTTTTCAAGATTTATTTCTAGCTTGATGCCTTTATGATTGGAGAAGATAGTTGGAATGATTTTGATGTTCATGTATCTGTTGATGTTTGTCTTGTGGCCCAGTATGTGATCGATTCTGGAAAATGATCCATGTGCACTTGAGAAAAATATGTACTCAGATTTTTTGGGGTGCAGTGTCCTATAGATGTCTGTTAAGCCCATGAGTTCTATGTCTTTATTTAGGGCTCTAGTGTCTTTATTTTTTGTCTCATTGATCTGTCCATTGGTGAGAGTGGGGTGTTGAAGTCTCCCACTATATATGTATTTTCTTTAATGTCTGCTTTCAGAGCTGATAATAATTGTCTAATATATTTTGGTGCCCCTTCATTTGGTGAGTATATGTTGATAAGTGTTATATCTTCCTGATATATTGCCCCCTTGATCATAATGTAGCGTCTGTCTATGTTTCTTTTTACCTTTTTTAATTTGAAGTCTACTTCATCTGATATAAGCATGGCTGTCCCTGCCTTCTTTTTTGGTCCATTTGCTTGTAGGATTGTTTTCCAACCTTTTACTTTCAATCTGTTTATCTTTTGTGGTTAAATGTGTTTCCTGAGACAGCAGAAGGTTGGATTTTGTTTTTTAATCCAGCCTGCTACTGTGTCTTTTTATTGATGAGTTTAATCCATTTACATTTAGAGTTAATAGATATATTGGCATCTGTGTTTGCCATTTTGTTTGTCTTTTTTGTGATTTTATTCCTTGCTTTATTCTGTTCTTCTTGTTCATTCCTCTGTTGGTTTTGGCTTTAGGACTTCTTGTAGAATTTTTTGGAGTGGGGGTTTAGTTGCAATGAATTTCTGGAGTTTCTGTTTGTCTGAGAAGGTCCATATTTTTTCTTCATAGAGGAAGGAGAACTTTGCAGGGTAAAGTATTCCTGGTTGCATTTGCTGTCCTGAAGTTTGCTGAATTATGTTACTCCATTCTCTTCTTGACCATAATGTTTCTTCGGAGAAGTCTGAAGTTAACCTGTTTGGTTTTCCCTTATAAGTTATCTGTTTCTTCCCCCTTGCCAGTTTCATTATATTTTCCTTGTCTTGGACTCTTGCAAGCTTTACTATTAGGTGTCTTGCTGTAGTTTTCTTTTCATTGTGGTAATTGGGAGTTCTTCTCACTTCTTGTATGTCTATATTCATCTCCTATTTCATGCTTGGGAAGTTTTCTTCAATTATGTCCTTGAATAATTTCTCAGTTCCTTTGTCTTTCTCCTCACCTTCTGGAATGCCTATAACTCTTACATTTCCTCTCTTCATGGAGTCTGATAATTGTCTAAGAGTCTCCTCATACTGCTTCATTTGCACTTCTCTCTCCTTTTCTCTTTTGGCTCTTTATATTTCTGTATCTTTGATAGTACTGATCTGTTCTTCCATTTCATCGATTCTGTTTTCATTGCTTTTCCCAAAGCTCTTTATCTCCTCTAGTAATCTCTAGCATTTCTTTTCTTTCCTTTCTTAAGGTCTCAATTTCATTTTTCAGTTCAGTGATTATTTGTCTCAAATCATTTTTTTCCTTTTTTCTTTCTGCTTTTTAATCATGATGATCATTAATTCTCTATCTGATAGGCCGAGAAGTTCTTCCATGTCATTGTTGAGGTCTGGTGACCGTACTTCTTTTTGTGGTGTGTTCTCCTGTGGGCTTGCTTGGTTATTTATATTTAGATGGCAGGCATCTCTTTGGAGTGCTCCTTAGGGGTGCCGGAAACTGTTTACCAGACTGAGACCAGCACTGGTAGACCAAAACTCCACCAGGGTGTTGATGATGTGTTGCTGGGTGCTGTCCCTTACAGTTTCCTCTCTCTGTATTTACTCAGTTCCAACAGGGAATCAGCTAGTTGGTGATTTTGTTATGGTCAGGAGGTGGCGCCAGAGATCCGAACTTGCTGACCCATGCTTTTTCTCAGTGGTTCTCTGAGAAACAGAGGGCAGGTGCGGGGGAGCACCTCCACCCCCAACTCCCCCCAACCCCGTGGGTCCAGGGAAACAGAGTGGGAGTGGCATGGAGAGCCTCAATGGCATCAGGTGCTGTGTCTGCCCTGTACCCCACCATCGTGGGGATCCCATGCCCCGAATTTCGTGCCCCGGGTCTCAGTTCCAAAGCCCTTAGATCCAGGATGCAGGCTGTCCAGCTAAACATTTAAAGCACTGTCTACCAAGTACAGAGAATACAATATTTCATTCAAATCAATGACTAAAAATAAAAGACAAATCAATGTCTAATCATTCACACTTATGGCAAAAATTATAACAAAATCCATATGTAGTCTTACCTGTAGCTCCCAGTGGGTGTCCCTTTGAAATCAATCCACCACTAGGATTTATGACCCACTTTCCTCCGTAAGTATTGTCTCCTCTATCAACCAGTTTTCCACCTTGTCCTTTAGAAGGAAAAATAATATCCTCAATTATTAAAAGTAACAAATTGGGACAAATTATATGGGCTTTTTAAAACTTCCACTATAGCCAAGAATTTCTTGGAATAAACATTTTTTAACAGCTCAAATAAAGATCAAATTGATATAAGCACTTTCAAAATTTAGGTACATATATTGAGTATTAAAGGCTTATATTTTCAGAACATTTCCTGCCTGGAGCAGTTTCTACTGGTTCCTAAGAACTCTCTGGGTAAAGAAATTACATTTTACACAAAATAAGAAGATGATACTTAGTCAAAGACCTGAAGGGAATGAGGAAGCAAATCATATGGATATATGGAACAAAGATGCTGGGCTAGGAACAACCCTAGAGTATCTGAAGAAGGAGGGCAATATAATCACAGAAACGTAAAAGAGTCGGAGGAGCAGAGGTCAAAGAGATGGGAGTAAGGAGTAAAGAGGACAGATCACAGTGAGATGAGCAGAGGAATGACACTGATTGCTATATTCTTTATCATTAAAGCTATAGCATAGAGAATAGACTGAAAGGAGACGAGGCAGAAGCTGGGAGACCAGTTATGAGACCACTACAATAATGTAAATGAGAACTGATGGTGCTCTGGACAAGGATAGTGGTAATAAACAGTGGTAATATAAAAATCTATCTTGGGTATATTTTGAAGGTACACAGTCAATACGATGCAGAGATGGATCAATGAGGATTGTGAGAGAAAGAAAGGGAAAAAAAAACAGAATGATTCTAGATGTTCCAGTGTGAACAAGTGAAAGATGGGGAAGACTAAAGGAGGAGGAAGTTTGGGAAATATCAGGAGTTTAATTTGGATTTAGGTTTGCGAAACTATGGAGATAAAATTATATCAGTGAAATTTACAAAGTTCATCTGCATCTTAACAAAGATAATACCTTCTGGACAGAGTCCCAGTGCTTCATAAGTAATGAGTTCATTGGCAGAAAAGCAATCATGAAGTTCTATTACATCAATATCAGTTGGTTTTAGGCCAGATTTCATATAGCACCTCCTGGCAGCTTCTTTACTCATATCAAATCCAACCTAAAGCCAAAACCATAAATAAATTAAGGGCATCAAAACTGCGACTTTTGGGGCCTCCTTGGTGGCACAAGAGGTTAAGATGCAGTAATGTGAAGCTATCATGCAGCTAGATGCAGAGTGGGTTCGGTCCCCAGCCAGGGAGGTGACCCACATGGTGCAGCAGACCTCTCCTGACTTGCCCACTGCTCCCCTCAGCAGTATATTTCCGTCGATCAGCCTGTTCTGTTCCCCACTCTGTCTCTGGTGAATCCTCTCACCCCTGCCCCGCACCTCTGGCCTGTACCCCAGGTCTTGTATGCATAAATAAATAAATCTTAAAAAAAAAACTGTGACTTTTATTTAAGGATTGTAAGAGATTAATATGTATAACAAAATAGCTGAGAATTGACCGCAGATATTGACATCTCAGTTAATTCTATATTACAAAAAGCCCAAATGAAAGAATACACAGATTTATCAACTGATTATTAGATTCAGATAGTTTAAAAAATGAGGGGATTTATATGTGTGTATATATGTATATATATATAATCACCTTTTATTTTTTATTTTTATTTTTTTTTTTAGTTTCAAACTTAATATTTTATTATAAGCTGTAAGGGATAGATAAACTGAAGACTACCTGTAATTCTTGATGTTATATCCATTTTGAATATTAATGGTTAGGAAGATTGAACTAATATTGATAAGACATCTATTTTTTTTTAAATAATGAATTTTATTTTTATATTCCCCCATACAATTGCAAACGCCCCATTCTGACCCCAATCCCTCCCCTCCCGCCCCCTACCCCCCAAAAAGTATCTCTGGTTCATAGTTTTTTGTTGATTTTGATTTTCACTTTCTTATATTCATTTTCTTGGTCCCTTATTTAAGTTTTCTAGATTCCTGCTATGAGTGAGACCATCCGGTATTTTTCTTTTTCTTTTTGGCTTATTTCGCTGAGCATGATCCCTTCCAACGCCATCCATGTTGCTGCAAATTGCATGTGTTTATCTTTTTTGAATGCTGAGTAATATTCCATGGTGTATATGTACCACATCTTCTTGATCCAGTCATCTATTTTTGGGCATTTGGGCTGTTTCCAAAGCTTAGCTATTGTAAATAGTGCTGCTATAAACATAGGGGTGCAGGTGTTCTTTGGAATTGATGTTTCTGTGTCCTTTGGGTAAATACCTAGGAGTGGAATTGCTGGATCATATGGAAGCTCTATGTTTAGTAGGTCCAGAAATCTCCACACAGCTCTCCATAGTGGTTGGACCAGTTTGCACTCCCACCAACAGTGCAGAAGAGTTCCTTTTTCTCCACACCCTCGCCAACATTTGTTGTTGCTAGTTTTTTTAATATGTGCCATTCTCACTGGTGTAAGATGGTATCTCATGGTAGTTTTGATTTGCATTTCCCTGATTACAAGTGATGTTGAACATTTTTTCCTATGTCTGTTGGCCATTTGCATTTCCTCTTCAGAGAAGTTTCTTTTTAGCTCTTCTGCCCATTTTTTGACTGGATTATTTTCTTTGTTTTTGTTGAGTCTCATCAGCTCTTTGCAGATTTTTGTGATCAGTCCTTTATCATTAGTGTTGGGTACAAAAATGTTCTCCCAGTTGGTGGGGTTTCTCTTTGTTTTTGTTATTGTCTCTTTTGCTGTGCAGAAGCTCTTTAATTTGATGTAGTCCCAGCTGTTTATCTTTGCCTTCACTATCACTGCTTTGGGTGATGTGTCTGTAAAGATGTCTTTGATGTGCAAATCCCGTAGTGTTTCGCCTATATTTCCTTCTATGTATTTTATGGTTTCAGGTCTTATGTCTAGCTTTTTTTTTTTTTTTTTTAAAGATTTATTTATTTATTATTTATACAAGCACTGGGTACAGTCAGAAGCGCGGGAGGGTGAGAGAATTCACCAGAGCCAGAGCAGAAAGCAGAGCAGGCAGAAGGACGGCGGGCGGCAGGAGAGGTCTGCGCGCCATGTGGGACCCTCCTCTGGTGGCCGGGGAGCAGCCGGGGATCGAACCGGCGCTGCAGAGGCTGCGGGCAGCTTTGCAACCCAGCGCTCAACCACTGCGCCACCGGGGAGGCCTTATTCTAGCTCTTTAATCCATTTTGAGTTGATTTTTGTGTATGGTGTGAGGTAGTGGTCAAGCTTCATTCTTTTGCATGTAGCGACCCAGTTTTCCCAGCACCATTTATTGAACAAACTTTCTTTGCTCCAATGCATAGTCTTTGCTCCTTTGTCAAAGATTAGTTGACCATAAATCTGTGGGTTTATTTCTGGATTTTCTACTCGATTCCATTGGTCTGTATATCTGTTCTTGTTCCAATACCATGCAGTTTTGATGATTATGGCTTTGTAGTCTAGTTTGAAGTCTGGGAGTGTGATGCCTCCATTCCCTTCTTTTTTTTTTCAGGAGAGCTTTGGCTATTCGGGGTTTTTGGTGATTCCATATGAATTTCATCAATAATTGTTCTATTTCTTTGAAGAATGCCATTGAAATTTTGATTGGAATAGCATTGAATCTGTATATTGCTTTTGGTAGGATGGCCATTTTAATAATGTTTATTCTTCCAATCCATGAGCAGGGGATGTCTTTCCATTTTTTTGTGTCTTCTTCTATTTCTTTTAACAGTGTTTTATAGTTTTCTTTGTATAGGTCCTTTACCTCTTTTGTTAGATTTATTCCCAAATTTGATTTTTTTTGTTCAATAATAAAAGGGATGGTTTTTTTGATTTCTTCTTCTTCAGATTTATTGTTTGTGTATAGGAAGGCTACTGACTTTTGCATGTTGATTTTGTATCCTGCCACTTTACTGAATTGATTGATGAGTTGAATTAGTTTTTCTGTGGAGATTTTGGGGTTCTCTATGTATATTATCATATCATCTGCAAATAGTGATAGTTTGACTTCTTCTTTTCCTATTTGGATTCCTTGGATATATTTCTCTTGTCTTATTGCTCTGGCTAGGATTTCCAGTATTATATTGAAAAGCAGTGGTGAGAGTGGACATCCTTGTCTTGTTCCAGATCTTAATGGAATTGCTTTCAGCTTTTCACCATTGAGAATGATACTGGCTGTTGGCTTGTCATAGCTGGTCTTTATGATGTTGAGGTATGTTCCTTGTATCCCAAGAATTTCAAGGGCTTTTATCATGAATGGGTGTAACACTTTGTCGAAAGCTTTCTCAGCATCTATTGATATTATCATATGTTTTTTTTTTTTAATACTTTTTTTTTTTTTTTAAGATTTTTTTATTTATTTATACAAGCACTGGGTACAGTCAGAAGCGCGGGAGGGTGAGAGAGAATTCACCAGAGTCAGAGCTGGGAGCAGAGCAGGCAGAAGGACCGAAGTACACTGCTGAGGCGAGCAGCGGGCGCAGGAGAGGTCTGCGCGCCATGTGGGACCCTCCTCCAGTGGCCAGGGAGCAGCCCGGGAATCGAACCAGCGCTGCAGAGGCTGCGGGCAGCTTCACAACCCAGCGCTCAACTGCTGCGCCACCGGGGAGGCCCTCATATGATTTTTATATTTCTTTTTGTTGATGTGTTGGATAACATTGATTGATTTTCGGATGTTAAACCATCCTTGTGTCCCTGGAATGAATCCAACTTGGTCGTGGTGAATTATCTTATGGATACATTGTTGGATTCTGATAGCTAAAATTTTATTGAGGATTTTTGCATCAGTGTTCATTAGGGAGATTGGCCTGTAGTTTTCCTTTTTTGTGTTGTCCTTATTCGGTTTTGGCATTAGTGTAATATTGGCTTCATAGAACATGTTTGGTATTGTCCCTTCCTTCTCAATTTTTTGGAAGAGTTTGTGAAGGATAGGCACTAATTCGTCTCTGAATGTTTGGTAGAATTCATTTGTAAATCCATCAGGTCCTGGGCTTTTGTTTTTGGGGAGGTTTTTGATTACCATTTCAATTTCGCTAATTGTAATTGGTCTGTTTAGGTGTTCTATTTCTTCTTTATCTAGCTTTGGGTGATTGTAGAGTTGTAGGAATTTGTCCATCTCCTCTAGATTGTTGAACTTGTTTCCATATAACTGTTCATAGTAGTTACTGATTATTCTTTTGATTTCTGCTGTGTCCGTTGTGATTTCTCCTCTTTCATTTATGATCCTGTGTATTTGTGCTTTCTCCCTTTTTTCCTTTGTGAGCCTGGCTAGGGGTTTGTCTATTTTATTTATTTTTTCAAAGAACCAGCTCTTGGTTTCATTGATCTTTTGGATTGTTTTTTTTAGTTTCAATTTCATTTATTTCTGCTTTGTTTTTTATTATTTCTTTTCTTCTACTGGTTTTGGGGTTTTTTTGTTGTTCTTTTTCTAGATCTTTGAGCTTCGAGATTAGGTTGTTTCTTTGAGTTCTTTCTTGTTTTTTGATGTGAGCTTCTATTGCTATATATTTTCCTCTTATTACTGCTTTTGCTGCATCCCATACATTTAGGATATTGGTGTCCTCCTTGTCATTCAATCAAAGAATTTTTTAATTTCTTCTTTGATCTCCTCGTTAGTCCAGTGTCTTCCAGTAGTGTGGTTTTTAATCTCCATGAGGTAGGATAGTTCCTTGCCTTCTTTTTATGGTTTATTTCTAGTATGATGTCTTCATGGTCAGAAAAGATGGTTGGTATGATTTCAATCTTGGTGTATCTGTTGATGTTTGTCTTGTGTCCCAGTATGTGATCGATCCTGGAGAATGATCCGTGTGCGCTTGAGAAAAATGTGTACTCTGTTTTTTTGGGGTTTAGTGTTCTATAGACGTCTGTTAAGCCCAAATGCTCTCGGTCCTTATTTAGAGCTTTAGTTTCTTTACTTATTTTTTGTCTTGTTGATCTATCCATTGTTGATAGTGGTGTGTTGAAGTCTCCCACTACGTATGTGTTTTCTCTGATGTCTGTTTTCAGAGAGGACAACAGTTGTCTGATATATTTTGGTGCTCCTTCGTTTGGTGAGTATATGTTAATGAGTGTTATTTCTTCTTGAAGTATTGTCCCCTTGATCATAATGTAGTGACCATTGGGGTCTCTTTTTATTTTTTTGAGTTTGAAGTCTGTTTTATCTGATATAAGTATAGCTGTTCCTGCTTTCTTTTTTGGTCCATTAGCTTGTAGCATTGTTTTCCAACCTTTGACTTTGAGCCTATTTTTATCTTTTGTAGCTAAATGTGTTTCCTGGAGACAGCAAAAGATTGGGTTTTGTTTCTTAATCCAGGCTGCAACTCTGTGTCTTTTTATTGAAGAGTTTAGTCCATTTACATTTAGAGTTAATATTGATATGTTAGCATCTGTATTTGCCATTGTGTTTGTCTTTCCTTTGATTTTATTTATTTATTCTTTTAATAACTTTTTTTTTTTTTGGTCTTCTTTCGTTGTTATTCGTCCCTCTGAGGTTCTGGCTTTAGGATTCCTTGTAGTATTTTTTTGGTGTGGGGTTTAGTCGTAATGAAATTCCGGAGTTTCTCTTTGTCTGGGAAGGTCCATATTCTTTCTTCATGGAGGAAAGAGAGCTTTGCGGGATAGAGTATTCTTGGTTGGCATCTGTTTTCTTGGAGTCTGTTGACTATGTCCCTCCACTCTCTCCTTGCCCGTAGTGTTTCTTCAGAGAAGTCTGATGTCAGCCTGATTGGTTTTCCTTTGAATGTTATCTGTTTCTTCCCTCTTGTCAGCTTCATTATTTTTTCCTTGTCCTGGATTCTTGGGAGCTTTACTATTATGTGTCTTGCTGTGTTTTCCTTTCGTCGTGGAAGTTTGGTGTTCTTCTTGCTTCTTGTATATCAATTTTCAGCTCCTTCTTCGCATTTGGGAAGTTCTCTTCAATTATCTCCTGGAATATTTTCTCTGTTCCTACATCTCTCTCCTCTCCTTCTGGAATTCCTATAACTCTTATATTTCCTTTCCTCATGGAGTCAGATAGTTCCCGAAGTCTTTCTTCATTCTTTTTCCTTCGTACTTCTCTTTCTTTTCTGTTGGTTCTTTTTTATTGTGTCTTCAAGAGTACTTATTCGTTCTTCCATTTCATCTATTCTGCTTTCATTGTTTTTCCCAGAGTTCTTTAGCGCCTCCATTAATTCTTTGATCTCCTGCATTTCTTTTACTTCCCTCTTTAGGGACTCAATTTCATTCTTCTGACCATTGTTTTCCCTCTTTAGGGACTCAATTTCCTTCTTCTGATCTTTGTTTTCCTTTATGACTTCTATCACTTTTTTAATCATGTCAATTTTAAATTCTCTTTCTGGAAGGCTCAGAAGTTCTTCCAAGTTGCTGTCGTTGCAATCTGGGGAGTGGTTTTCTTTTGTGGTGTGCTTCTTTCCTGAGGAGTTGTTAGGTTGCGTGTGGTTCTTCTGCTCCCTACTGTCTGTTTTCTAATTTGTCGTATGCATTGGGCCACTGTGTTGCTCGGACTGGCTGGCATCTTGGGTGAACTTCTCCGCTCCCCTCTGGCTCCTCCAGGAGCCATCTCTGGCTTCTGGGGGAGCTTTCTGCTGGTTTTAGGCAGTTTTTACTGAAGAAATGTCCCTGTTCTAAAATGGCGAAGTGGGATGCAGTCCCTGCGCCTCCGGTTTCAGGAACACTCTTCTGCGCACCCGGTCTGCCCCGGACGTGGGTGCCTGCTCCCACTGTGGGCTCAGACTGCTGGTCGGAAGGGGCCTGGCGTGGGCTAACTTCCCAGCTGGCCACTGGGTCCTCCAGAAGCCTTCTGCCCTTTTCAAGCAGTCTTAAGAAATTTCCTGTTCTATGGGGTGTTAGTGACTTTTTTTTTCTGGTCGCTAGGTGGCGCCAGAGATCTCTCCTATTGTCCTTGGGGGGCTGTTTTTCGCCTCCCCCCACCCCGTGGGACAGGGAACAGAGCGGGAATGGTAGGGTAAACCTCAATAGCTTTGGGGTGCTGTGTCTGCCTTGTGCCCCACCGTCGTGGAGAACCCACGCCCCGAATTTCATGCCCCGGGTCTCAGTTCAAAGCCCTCAGTTCCAGGAGGCGGGCTGTAGCCCAGTTCAGTGGCGCGGGAACGGCGCCTTTTGCACCCAGCTCCCGTGCCTGGGCGCCTGGTTCCTGCTCACTCAGTGAGGGACTTTCACCTCAGTGAGGAGGCCTCCGCACATCTCCCCGCAAGCCTAGGTCGCAGGCGCGGGGACCTGGGCAGCCGCGATCCCGGTCTGCATTTGCTTTTCAAGCACGCCAAGCGCACCGCTTTTCCGCGCAAGCTTACCAGCAGCCTGGGCTATGTGCGGGTCTCCCGGGGTCTTTGTTCTTCTCTAATGGCGCCCGGAGCTGTTCGCTCACCTCTGCGGTGAATCCTGCAGGGTTCTCCACAGCTCCCGTTCACAGGGTGTGGTGGCTGCAATAGTTCCTTTCCACTCCCAGTCCCGCTTGCTGCGTAGTTTGTTCTTGTTGGCCGTTTTGGTTTGTTGTTTTCCTCCTCTCTGCGGGTTGGAGAGTGCCGACTCTGTGGGCGGGGGAGGGGAGCAGGGTTCTGCGCTTTCCTCCCTTCTGGTCCTCTTTTATGGCCACTTTCTTCTTCGGGTAGTTTGCTGGAGTCGTCCGTTTATCTTCCGTGTCCCAGTTCTCACTGGGACCTGCCGCTTTTCCTCCCTATTAACTTTTTTTAATGGGAGATCTTACTCGCAGCGTCTCCTCGCCGCCATGTTGCTCCGCCCCCACCTTTTAGATTATATAGGATTTTAAACCATTTTTCTTTTTTTTTTTTTAGATTTTATTTATTTATTTATGCATAGAAGAACTGGGGTGATGGGTCTCCCTGGTGGCACAGGGGTTAAAGTCTCAGTGCTATCAAGCTATTGCCAGCCACTGCAGCATGAGTTTGATCCCCAGCCAGGGAGCTAGCCCACATGGCACAGCAGACCATTCCTATCTTGCCTGCTGCTCCCCTCAGCAGTGTATTTCAGTAGATCTGCTTGTTCTGCTCCCCACTTTGTCTCTGGGGAATCCTCTCACCCTCCACACCTCTGGTCTATACCCAGTGTTGTTTTTTTTTTTTTTAAAGATTTATTTATTTATTTATACAAGCACTGGGTACAGTCAGAAGCGCAGGAGGGTGAGAGAATTCACCAGAGCCACAGTGGGGAACAGAACAGGCAGACTGACGAAATACACTGCTGAGGGGAGTAGCGGGCACGGCAGGAGAGGTCTGTTGCGCCCTGTGAGACCCTCTCCGGTAGCCGGGGATCAAACCGGCGCTGCAGAGGCTGTGGGCAGCTTCGCAGCCCAGCACTCAATCGTTGTGCCACCAGGGGAGGCCCTATGCCCAGTTCTTGTATGCGTAAAAAAAAAAAAAAATTAAAAAAAAGAACTGGGGTGTAGGGCAGAGGTGTGTGGCGGATGAGAGGATTCACCAGAGACAGAATGTGGGGCAGAGAAGGAGGATTTTTACTGAGATACACTGCTAAGGGGAGTAGCGGCAAGACAGGAAAGGTCTGATGCATCCTGTGGGTTAAGTTCCCTAGCCAGGAATCAAAGTCAGGACGTGGGCCATTGTGGTGATAGCACTGAGACTTAACCCCTAGTCCACCAGGGAGGCCCAAACCATTTTTCTAAAATTCACATTCTTAATACCTCTTTGGTCTTAATAATAACAAACAAGCTCAACTTTTCTCCAAGTTGAACAAAATTATAGTATAATGGAAAATGTACTATAATTCAAAAACTTGAGAATAAGCTCCATCTCTGCTATATCCTAGCTTTCTATAGGGATATTTTCAAATTCAAAGCATTGTTGTAAAACAATTTTGCAAACTATAATTTTTCATATGATTTTTTATGTATCCTTGTATATGTACACATGCATACATATTTTTATAGATGTAATAGTCAACTAACTCTAGGTCTGCATTTTCATCTTTTTTATTTTCTCTATTTTGTCTCAATCTTCAATCAGGATTTTCTTTTTAAGTACAAGAAAGTTCCCTGAAAACATCTTTGTAACTCTGTAAAATTATAGTTCTTGGCATGTTTAGTTAACTCAAAGTAAAAATAAATAGCACATCTAGTTAGTTAAAAGTTATATGCCCAACACTATCATAAGTAGCACATGTTCTCATCAGGTATTTTCCCTTAAAGTGAGTTATAAAATTAAATTTTCTAGACCAATTTTTTCAAGTAAATTATTTTCAGATCTGAAGACAACATGATGTCACTTTGAAATTTTAAACAGAAGTTCCACAATTTGTTAACAGAACAGGCTCTCAGGACATACCATTTTAATAATGCTGTTTCCTTTAAATGAACTTGGAAAATCAGTCACCATCTCTTGTGCCACAATTTCCACAGCTTTGGATTGTAAATCATAGTTCCGTACAAATGCTTCACTAGCCAAAACTGCTGCTGCAGCACCATCTGAAGTGGGGCTAAGAGGAGGTAAAAATCATTATTTACACCTGGTCCACATCAATCCTAGGATTCAGAGCAAGAATTTTTTCTGGAAAAAAGACTACGCACACTTGCTATTCATTGGATTATCGTCTATGGGCTATCTATAGTTAAATATTACAGACGTTTCCTATTTGGGCACTGAACTTCTATCAAGAACTTAAATGCTGTCAGTCACTGCTTGATTTCTAAGTAAAAATCTCTCCCAAAAAAGTTCTTATTACAGGGGCCTCCCTGGTGGCGCAGTGGGTAGAGCGCAGAGCTGTGAAGCTGTCCGCAGCCTCTGCAGTGCAGGTTCAACTCTCGGCCGGCCAGGGAGATTTCCACATGGCACGGCAGACCTCTCCTGTCTTGCCTGCTGCTCCCCTCAGCAGTGTACTTCGGTCCGTCTGCTTGTTCTGCTCCCCGCTCTGTCTCTGGTGAATTCTCTCACCCTCCTGCACCTCTGACCTGTACCCCAGTTCTTGTAGAAATACATAAATCTTTAAAAAAAAAATTCTTATTGCAAAGAATCCCAGATTTGCCTCTGCAGATACATAAGTCATCTTCTGGTGACTTCTGAAGAGTCCACAAGGTTATTCCTACTATAGGTCTAATTAGGTCCAACTCTGCTATTGATAGGGAGCTAGGAAGGAAGGGAAGGACACCATACCTAGTATAGGAATCTGCACAAACACACACAGCGCAGCTGTGCACAAATACTGTATGATTAATGATCTGTCCTCTTTGAATTAAAACTTTTTTTTTGAACTGAGAGTCCTTTGCCGATGATGGCAAGCAGAGAAAACCAGGATGTAACTGGGTCACGATAACCAAGGAGGGAACAACTAACTCTGAGGGCTAAACATGATGAACACCAGGGACACCAACCATGATGGGTTGTTGTGATGGGCCATTCACATATGGTGAAGAATCTTTGTTTAGTTCACTAGAAAGAAGGTCAGCTTGAGATAAGATGTCAGAATGTCTTTCTTTTTTGAGAGTAACATATCCACCATTCTCTCAGACTGCTGCCATTATGACAATAAAGCACACCTTATAGATTCAATTTCTGTCTCTGCTCATTGAGTTTTGGCAGCAACAAACAGACCAACCCTAGGATTTCCAGCTATACTCTCTCCCAAATAACTCAATCTTGGAATCTTTTGGAAACTAGGAAAGGATAGAATAGAGGACACTGCAAAGTTCATGATTTGGTTAGACTCTTGAGAGGTCTTCAAAATAGATTTTTTTCCTTAGAGCAAGTTGTAAAAGGTAGCAAACAGAAGAAACCTTCTATGAGTTCAGCTGGACTTTATAAATGTCCAGAACCTCATATTGCAATAGATAAAAGCTGATCATACTTGTTCACTTGAATCCTATCTAGCCAGTATCTTCAGGGAATAGCCACATGTTAACTAGAGACAGAAAGGAGATAAGTAGTACTAACTCATTCTTCTAGGAGATAGTTTGTCAGGCAATTTTCAAAATGCAACTATTATTACAATTACAGTACTACTTATTTCCTTTTTCCTTTACTCTTAGCTATAATAAAAGAGTAAAACTTCCTCACAATAAACAAAATGCTCAAGAGAAAAATCTTTGGACTCTATTATCTCCTAAGTCACATGTAAATAAATAAATGCAATTAAAACAACGTAGGCAGAAGTCACAAGAAAAGGAAGTAAAATATGTAGTTTTCCAAGAGAAGAGACAGTCTGACTTTAGGCAGAAGTAAGAAGTAAAGGAACTCACTCCAGAGTGAGGACTATGGAGGTAAAGTTCTATAAAAGCAGATACAGATAATATATATCTAGATGTTTCTATTAAATATTAAAATGGGGCCTCCCCAGTGGCGCAGCGGTTGAGCGCTGGGCTGCAAAGCTACCTGCAGCCTCTGCAGCGCCAGTTTGATCCCTGGCCACAGGCAAGGGTCCCACACGGCACGCAGACCTCTCCTGCTGCCTGCTGCTCCCTTCAGCAGTGTCCTCCGTCTGTCTGCTTGTTCAGCTCCCCGCTCTGACTCTGGTGAATTCTCTCACCCTCCCGTGCTTCTGACTGTATCCAGTGCTTGCATAAAATAAATAAATAAATTTAAAAAATATATATTAAAATGTGTTTTTCTTACCAACATTGTAAGATAGTCAAAAAATCAAAAACTTGTCGTGATGTCTTCACTTCATCTAAAGTGTATTCCTTTTGGAACTGGGAATACCTAAATACAAATTAAGTAAATGTAAATATTCTTTCCACAGCCAAGAGACAGACTTGCATGAGCAATTTCAACCTATAATAAATGTCTTTTAAAATGAATTTTTTACAAAAGCCTAACTTCAAAATATCACATGTTATATAATTTTTAAAAAGCCTAATTTTTGTCCTGGGTTTCTGTCATGGAAACCCTTGGAGTTCCCTAAGAGATAGAAGTGTCCCTGTTATGCTAACAAGGTGACTCCTGGTAGACTCCTTGTGTGGGGAGGGGAAGGTGAGAGGCAGGGCTGGTCACCAGAATGACCAACAATGTAAATATAGGGCTAGGACTTCTGAGTCAGTTTGACCTCTGGAGAGAAGAGGGTGCCTGAGATTGTGTTCAACCCTGTGGTCAATGATTTAATCAGACATGCCTATATCATGAAGCTTCATAAAAACTGGATACTGAAGCCTGATGGAGATTCCTGGTTGGTGAGTACCTTGATACATTAAAGAGGATAATTTGCTCTGGGGAGAGAAAATGGAGGAAGTACTACAGCCAGAACCCTACCAGACCTGATCCTATATGCCTTTTCATTTAACTCTGAGTTGTAACCTTTGGAATAACACTGAAGTTGCAAGTACAAAACTTTCCTGAATTCTGCAAGTCATTCTAGAGATTTATCAAACCTGAAAGGGTCACAGGAATCTCCAAATTGACAGTCAGTTGATCAGAAGTGCAGATGTCCTAGACCCTACTTGCTGCTGGCTTCTGAAGTGAGTGCACTGTGTCGAAGGACTGAGTCCTTAAATTCCTGGGATCTGCATTAACTCTGGTGGTTAGTGACAGAAACAACTCCCCCGCCAAAAAGTAGAAAATCAGTCAAGTTTACTTTAGCACAAGGCTTTCATATGAAAAAAAAATTCTAGTTATATCTCTGAAGTCTTGCATTTGCTAGTTTAAAGTTGTACACACACAGCAGAGTAATCCAGTTTTTCACTATTTCATATTTCAGGAATACTTACGGGTTATTAACAGAATGTTTATGATTTTTCCATCCAATTTTTGCAAAGTGTTCAGGTTTTGTTCCTATAGAGAAAGTAAACATTTATTATTGGGTGTTTTTTCCCCTGGTGTTAATCAACAAATATTGCAATCATATTCAGCATCCTGCTAAAAATTCTGACATTTTCCCTGAGTATAGAGATCAGCATTGAAAACTTCAACCCTGATCCCTCACACAATATTTCCTTATAATTAAACGTGGGCATATTTAACAAATTGAATTAACTAATAAGAATATACTATAAAAATAGCTCAAATTAGCCCATTCTATCCAGTATAACTTGGGTTCCATTTTTTTAAATTTTTTCATTAATTTATTTTTTTACTATAAATTTTATTTTTATATTCCCCATACAATTGCCACCCCCTTATTTTAACCCTAATACCTCCCCTCCCCGCCCCCCACCCCCCATAGAGTGTCTCTGGTTCATAGTTGTTTGTTGATTTTGATTTTTACTTTCTTATACTTATTCTTTTTCCTGGTCCCTTATTTAAGTTTTCTAGATTCCTGCTATGAGTGAGACATCCGGTATTTTTCTTTTTCTTTCTGGCTTATTTTGCTGAGCATGATTCCTTCCAGTGCCATCCATGTTGCTGCAAATTGCATGTGTTTATCTTTTTTGAATGCTGAGTAATATTCCATGGTGTATATGTAGCACATCTTCTTGATCCAGTCATCTATTTTTGGGCATTTGGGTTGTTTCCAAAGCTTAGCTATTGTAAACAGTGCTGCTATAAACATAGAGATGCAGGTGCTCTTTGGAATTGATGTTTCTGTGTCCTTTGGGTAAATACCTAGGAGTGGAATTGCTGGATCATATGGAAGCTCTGTTTAGTAGGTCAAGAAATCTCCACCCAGCTCTCCATAGTGGTTGGACCAGTTAGCACTCCCACCAACAGTGCAGGAGAGTTCCTTTTTCTCCACATCCTCGCCAACATTTGTTGTTGCTAGTTTTTTTAATATGTGCCATTCTCACTGGTGTAAGATGGTATCTCATGGTAGTTTTGATTTGCATTTCCCTGATTACAAGTGATGTTGAACATTTTTTCATATGCCTGTTGGCCATTTGCATTTCCTCTTCAGAGAAGTTTCTTTTTAGCTCTTCTGCCCATTTTTTGACTGGATTATTTTCTTTGTTTTTGTTGAGTCTCATCAGCTCTTTGCAGATTTTTGTGATCAGTCCATTATCATTAGTGTTGTGTGCAAAAATTTTCTCTCAGTCGGTGGGGTTTCTCTGTTTTTGTTATTGTGTATTTTGCTGTGCAGAAGCTCTTTAATTTGATGTAGTCCCAGCTGTTTATCTTTGCCTTCACTCTCACTGCTTTGGGTGATGTGTCTGTAAAGATATCTTTGATGTGCATATCATGTAGTGTTTCACCTATATTTCCTTCTATGTATTTTATGGTTTCAGGTCTTATGTCTAGCTCTTTAATCCATTTTGAGTTTGTTTTTGTGTATGGTGTGAGGTAGTAGTCAAGCTTCATTCTTTTGCATGTAGCAACCCAGTTTTCCCAGCACCATTTATTGAACAAACTTTCTTTGCTCCAATGCATATTGTTTGCTCCTTTGTCAAAGAATAGTTGACCATAAATCTGTGGGTTTATTTCTGGATTTTCTATTCGATTCCATTGGTCTGTGTGTCTGCTCTTGTTCCAATACCATGCAGTTTTGATGATTATGGCTTTGTAGTCTAGTTTGAAGTCTGGGAGTGTGATGCCTCCATTCCCTTCTTTTTTTTTTCAGGAGAGCTTTGGCTATTCGGGGTTTTTGGTGATTCCATATGAATTTCATCAATAATTGTTCTATTTCTTTGAAGAATGCCATTGAAATTTTGATTGGAATAGCATTGAATCTGTATATTGCTTTTGGTAGGATGGCCATTTTAATAATATTTATTCTTCCACTCCATGAGCAGGGGATGTCTTTCCATTTCTTTGTGTCTTCTTCTATTTCTTTTAACAGTGTTTTATAGTTTTCTTTGTATAGGTCCTTTACTTCTTTTGTTAGATTTATTCCCAAGTATTTAATTTATTTTGTTTTGATAATAAAAGGGATGGTGTTTTTGATTTCTTCTTCAGATTTATTGTTTGTGTATAGGAAGGCTCTGACTTTTGCGTGTTGATTTTGTATCCTGCCACTTTACTGAACTGATTGATGAGTTGAATTAGTTTTTCGGTGGAGTTTTTGGGGTTCTCTATGTATATTATCATATCATCTGCAAATAGTGATAGTTTGACTTCCTCTTTTCCTATTAGGATTCCTTGTATGTCTTTCTCTTGTCTTATTGCTCTGGCTAGGACTTCCAGTATTATATTGAAAAGCAGTGGTGAGAGTGGACATCCTTGTCTTGTTCCAGATCTTAATGGAAATGCTTTCAGCTTTTCACTATTGAGAATGATACTGGCTGTTGGCTTGTCATATATGGCCTTTATGATGTTGAGGTATGTTCCTTGTATCCCAAGAATTTCAAGGGCTTTTATCATGAATGGGTGTAACACTTTGTCAAAAGCTTTCTCAGCATCTATTGATATCATCATATGGTTTTTATATTTCTTTTTGTTGATGTGTTGGATAACATTGATTGATTTTCGGATGTTGAACCATCCTTGTGTCCCTGGAATGAATCCTACTTGGTCGTGGTGAATTATCTTATGGCTACATTGTTGGATTTTGATAGCTAAAATTTTATTGAGGATTTTTGCATCAGTGTTCATTAGGGAGATTGGCCTGTAGTTTTCTTTTTTTGTGTTGTCCTTGTTTGGTTTTGGTATTACTGTAATGTTGGCTTCATAGAACGTGTTTGGTATTATCCCTTCCTTCTCAATTTTTTGGAAGAGTTTGTGAAGGATAGGCACTAATTTGTCTCTGAATGTTTGGTAGAATTCATTTGTAAATCCATCAGGTCCTGGGCTTTTGTTTTTGGGAGGTTTTGATTACCATTTCAATTTTGCTGCTTGTAATTGGTCTGTTTAGGTGTTCTATTTCTTCTTTATCTAGCTTTGGATGATTGTAGAGTTGTAAGAATTTGTCCATCTCCTCTAGATTGTTGAACTTGTTTCCATATAACTGTTCATAGTAGTTACTGATTATTCTTTTGATTTCTGCTGTGTCTGTTGTGAATTCTCCTCTTTCATTTATGATCCTATTTATTTGTGCTTTCTCCATTTTTTCCTTTGTGAGCCTGGCTAGAGGTTTGTCTATTTTATTTATTTTTTCGAAGAACCAGCTCTTGGTTTCATTGACCTTTTGGATTGTTTTTTTAGTTTCGATTTCATTTATTTCTGCTTTGGTTTTTATTATTCCTTTTCTTCTACTGGTTTTGGGGTTTTTTTGTTGTTTTTTTTCTAGCTCTTTGAGCTTCAAGATTAGGTTGTGTCTTTGAGTTCTTTCTTGTTTCTTGATGGGAGCCTCTTGCTATATATTTTCCTCTTACTGCTTTTGCTGCATCCCATACATTTAGGAAATTGGTGTCCTCCTTGTCATTCAATTCAAAGAATTTTTTAATTTCTTCTTTGATCTCCTCATTAATCCAGTGGTCTTCCAGTAGTGTGGTTTTCAATCTCCATGAGGTAGGAGAGTTCCTTGCCTTCTTTTTATGGTTTATTTCTAGTATGATGTCTTCATGGTCAGAAAAGATGGTTGGTATGATTTCAATCTTGGTGTATCTGTTGATGTTTGTCTTGTGTCCCAGTATGTGATCAATCCTGGAGAATGATCCGTGTGCGCTTGAGAAAAATGTGTACTCAGATTTTTTTGGGTTAAGTGTTCTATAGATGTCTGTTAAGCCCAAGCGCTCCAGATCCTTATTTAGAGCTTTAGTGTCTTTACGTATTTTTTGTCTCGTTGATCTATCCATTGTTGATAGTGGTGTGTTGAAGGCTCCCACTACGTATGTGTTTTCTCTGATGTCTGTTTTCAAAGATGACAATAGTTGTCTGATATATTTTGGTGCTCCTTCGTTTGGTGAATATATGTTAATGAGTGTTATTTCTTCTTGAAGTATTGTCCCCTTGATCATAATGTAGTGACCGTTGGGGTCTCTTTTTATCTTTTTGAGTTTGAAATCTGTTTTATCTGATATAAGTATAGCTGTTCCTGCTTTCTTTTTTGGTCCATTTGCTTGTAGGATTGTTTTCCATCCTTTAATTTTGAGTCTATTTTTATCTTTTGTAGCTAAATGTGTTTCCTGGAGACAGCAAAAGGTTGGGTTTTGTTTCTTAATCCAGCCTGCGACTCTGTGTCTTTTTATTGAAGAGTTTAGTCCATTTACATTTAGAGTTAATATTGATATATATGTTAGCATCTGTATTTGCCATTGTGTTTGCCTTTCCTTTGATTTTATTTATTTATTCTTTTAATAACTTTTTTTTTTTTTTGCCCTTCTTTCGTTGTTATTCGCCCCTCTGAGATTCTGGCTTTAGGATTCCTTGTAGTATTTTTTGGTGTGGGGGTTTAGTCGTAATGAAATTCCAGAGTTTCTGTTTGTCTGGGAAGGTCCTTATTCTTTCTTCATAGAGGAAGGAGAGCTTTGCGGGATAAAGTATTCTTGGTTGGCATCTGTTTTCTTGGAGTCTGTTGACTATGTCCCTCCACTCTCTCCTTGCCCGTAGTGTTTCTTCGGAGAAGTCTGATGTCAGTCTGATTGGTTTTCCTTTGAATGTTATCTGTTTCTTCCCTCTTGTCAGCTTCATTATTTTTTCCTTGTCTTGGATTCTTGGGAGCTTTACTATTATGTGTCTTGCTGTATTTTTCCTTTCGTCATGAAAGTTTGGTGTTCTTCTTGCTTCTTGTATATCAATTTTCAGCTCCTTCTTCACGGTTGGGAAGTTCTCTTCAATTATTTCCTTGAATATTTTCTCTGTTCCTACATCTCTCTCCTCTCCTTCTGGGATTCCTATAACTCTTTTTTTTTTTTTTTTTTTAAGATTTATTTATTTATTTATACAAGCCCTGGATACAGTCAGAAGTGTGGGAGGGTGAGAGAATTCACCAGGGTCAGAGTGGAGAGCAGAGCAGACAGACTGACGAAGTACACTGCTGAGGGGAGCAGCAGATGGCAGGAGAGTTCTGCGCACCATGTGAGACCCTCGCCCAGCGGCCAGGGAGCGAACCGGCATTGCAGAGGCTGCGGGCAGCTTCGCAACCCAGCGCTCAACCACTCAACCACTGAGCCACCAGGAAGGCCCTCCTATAACTCTTATATTTCCTTTCCTCATGAAGTCAGATAGTTCCCGAAGTCTTTCTTTGGTCTTTTTCCTTCGTACTTCTCTTTCCTTTTCTGTTTTGGTTCTTTTTATTTCTGTGTCTTCAAGAGTACTTATTCGTTCTTCCATTTCATCTATTCTACTTTCATTGTTTTTCCCAGAGTTCTTTAGCGCCTCCATTAATTCTTTGATCTCCTGCATTTCTTTTACTTCCCTCTTTAGGGACTCAATTTCATTCTTCTGATCTTTGATTATTTTCCCCTTATCATTGTTTTCCTTTATGACTTCTGTCAGTTTTTTAATCACGGCAATTTTAAATTCTCTTTCTGGAAGGCTCAGAAGTTCTTCCAAGTTACTGTCGTAGCAATCTGGTTGGTGGTTTTCTTTTTGTGGTGTGCTTTTCCCCTGAGGAGTTGCTGGGTTGCATGTGGTTTTTCTACTCCCTACTGCCTATTTTCTAATTTGCATATGCCTTGGGACACTGTGCTGCTGGTACTGGCTGGCATCTTGGGCGAACTTCCCAGCTCACCTCTGGCTCCTCTGGGAGCCTTCTGCCGGTTCTATTTTAAACAACAAAAAATATAGTCTGGCACCCCAGTGGTTTTAAAGCAAAAAAAAACACTGCTGGTTATTCTCAAGGAATCCGCCAAAACATTCCACACCCCTGGATTAAGTGAATTTTACAACTCACACCCCTCTAGGGCTGATCTCTTTCCTTACTATAAGGCAGAAAGGTCCTCAGAAGAGTTTTATATGTGCTGCAGGGTGATGCACTGGCCGCCACTGTGGAGGAGTGAATCTGCTCCACTGCCAATGGCAGACAGGCTCTGTTCCAACTGTCCTCTTCATCCTTATCTAGAAGACAGTCTAGCCCCCATCAGGTCTTTAAAAAAAAACAGTTGCTGATATTCCAGGTAATATCCCATGCTTTAGAAGTTTGGGGAGTAGACGTTAGGTACTCCTGGGGATACCGGATGGCCTCCTCTGAATAAATTAATGCTGTTGGTCATGTCCACTTTCCACATGCATAGAATCTTGGTTTTCAGAAACTCTTTAAAGGAAAATGGATCTGCCTCTTCAAGACCTTCCAGTTTAACATCATCAGGAATAACAAGGCTCTGAGGCCTGGACATCAGAGTGGCACCCTGGAGGTGAGTATAGCAAAATCACTGGAGTTGCACCAAACCAGCCCAGTAGAGAGCGCTCCATGGCCACAGCTCAGCCCCAGTCCCTGACAAGACACCTCTAGGTCCCAGACACTCCAAGCTTCTCATTGCTGCTCTGCTAAATACTTTCTTTACAACAAAATTCTCCGAAACTGTTTCTTCAAGCTTCATTCAAAAATCATTTTATATCCTGATATCCTCCACAGTCCCTTATTTATTAATAACTATTGTTTCTTTTTTTTTTTTTTTTTAACTTTTTTTTTTTTAATTTTTTTTTTTTTTATAGAGGCATGTTTTTATTTATTTATTATTTATTTGTTTGTTTGTTTGTTTATACATGCACTGGGTACAGTCAGAAGCACGGGAGGGCGAGAGAACTCACCAGAGCCAGAGCGGGGAGCAGAGCAGGCAGAAGGACCGAAGCACACTGCTGAGGGGAGCAGCGGGCGGCAGGAGAGGTCTGCGCGCCATGCGGGACCCTCCTCCGGTGGCCGGGGAGCAGCCCGGGATCGAACCGGCGCCGCAGAGGCCCGCGGGCAGCTTCGCAACCCAGCGCTCAACCGCTGCGCCACCGGGGAGGCCCAACTATTGTTTCTTAATATGTGTATATACTACCAATAAATCTTAAAGTTTTATTAAAATACCGTATTTTTCCATGTGCTCTTTTCCAGCTTTCGCAAATATCTGAGGCGCAAACGGGTGAGCAGACAATCCACAGCTATTGGCCACGACCTCAACATGCTTATCTAATGGATTGGTCCTATCTGTAAACTAAAAGAGGAGGAAAAAATAAAACTTAGTAAGTAACTGACATGGTGAGTCTGAATTATTACAGTGTTACAAAGACATCTGCTTATTCTAAGTGTATAGAAAACCCAAAATGGAAAATGTGAATAAAATCAGTCAAGAAATGATATAAAGGGAAACACAAAGGGTAAGGGTGGGGAAATTCAATAACCTAATAGGTGTTAATTTGTATAAGAAATATTTATCAGGAGTCCACCCAATCAAAAAATGGGCAAGCAGCACTCCAACTGCCCACCTGTGACTATGCAGGTGCTTCCTTTCACCAACTCTCTCCCTCTGCAGGGCAGTAGCTTTCTGCCTGCCTGTGACCTGTACCATGCCGGGACTTTTCTTCCCTGACCTCCCTCAGCATAGGTCGCTCTCCTCAAGGCCGCCCCCCTGCAACCATGCAGGCCTCTCTCAGCAAACCTGTCCATTTTGGGGCAACTCTTCCTGCCCACTCGTGTCTATGCAAGTGTCCCTTTCCCTAATAAACCTGCCTTTTAAATATTAAAAAAAAAAAAAAAAAAGGGCAAAAGAACTAAACTGCACTTTTCTAAAGAAACATTCAGGATCTCCCTGGTGCACAAGGGGTTAACTCCCAGCACTATGAAGCAAATTCACAGCCACTGCAGCACAAGTTCAATCCCTGGCCAGGGAGCTGACCCATAAAGTGCAGCAGACCTCTCCTGTTTCACCCGCTGCTCCCCTCAGCAGTGTATTTCAGCCAATATGCCTGTTCTGCTCCCCACTCTGTCTCTGGTAAATCCTCTCACCACCCCCTACCTCTGGCCTACACCCCAGCTCTTGTATGCATAAATAAATAAAAAAATCTTTAAAAAAAGAGACATTCAAATGGCCTACATGCACATGAAAAAAAATGCTCAACATTAATTATTAAAGAGAAAAGCAAATCAAAACCACACTGATATATCTCTTCACCATTGTGAGAATGATCTATATAAAAAAGATGGAAATCACAAATGTTGGGGAGTATGTGGAGAAAGGGAACATTCATTTGCTGTTGATGGGAATATAATTTGGTACAGCTTCTATGGAAGTGGTATGGAGACACTATATAAAATAAAACTGGAAATACCATTATGATGCAGTAATACATTTCTAGGTATTTACCTAAAGAATATAAAAACATTAATATGAAAAGATTTATTCATTCCTATGTTCACAGCAGCATTATCCACAATAGCCAAGCCATGGAACCAAACGAAGTGTCCATCACCAGACAACTAATAAAAAAATTGTGGTATACACTCAACGGATACTACTCTACCATTGAAAATGATGAAACAGTGCTTTTCAAAACAAAATGTATGAAATTTAAGGTGATTATGCTAAGTGAAATAAGTCAGAAAGTGAAGGTTAGATACCAGATGGTTTCACTTATTTGTGGAATATAAATAACCAAAGAACACAAAGTAGCAAAGGACAGTAAAAATAACTCTTAGACTCCATGAAAAATATATTGCTTACAAGAAAATAAGGGAGGGAGGACAGGATCAGGGAAGCAAGGAGACAAGACATTGGCATGAGAGTTTGGTGGAGGGTGAGTGATGTTTGAATACCTAATGTTAGATAAATATGTAAACAACTGACAAATTAATAAAATTTGGGAGGCGTGGAGAATCCTGTCTGTGCGAGTAACTACTCCAGGTAGTTAGGTATGATGAACAACTTGACAATCAAAAGAATAAAGGCAGATGGGTCTTATGGAATCACTACATGCACAAATGTTAGGGGAACCAAATAAGACATCAGTGTAAAAAAATAGTAACAATATAAAACATAACAAAACAAATACAGACAATTATAAATCAGAGACATCCTGCAGGGGAGGAGGAGGGAGAGAGATGGGTGGGAGGGAGGGAGGAGCACAGGGGACTGTGGTGATGGTGCACAGGTGCACTGGTGAAGGAAATTCTATGGGGACTACACCTGAGGGGGAGGAAAGGAAATACTGTTTAAGAATAAATAATGTTGTAAAAAAATAAAAAATAATAAAATAAAAATAAATAGATAAATAAATTGCTAAGAGGGAAAAAATGCACAAATGTTAAAAATAAATATAAATAGTTATATATTTGGATATCCATAGTTGGGAATTTTTTTCTGTCAAGAGAAATTTTTAAAACAGAGAGAAAATGTTCATATTCATTTTATGAAAATGTTCATAAAACAGAGAATACAAACATTTTCTCTATGTTTTATCTAAGTTACAAAGGGATACTAATTAAAACAATGAAATACAACTGACTCAAACAATTTGGGTGGCCATTCTCTGAATCAGAAGTCCCATAATTTATTAAATTTGTTGAATGGAACTAATTTTTAAATGAGTAAATGATCTTCAAATTAAACAGATGAGCCAACCTCAAATTCAATCATGGGAACCTCTCTAAACATTAGTTTCATCATTCACAAAATAAACTAAATTCTCTCTATGATGAACTCCAAAATAACAGTAAATGAGACTCACAGTCATTGAAATAGATCCTTTCTCCATCTTCTCAAACCCAAGAGCCAAGACACAATCTGCCATACCTTAAAAGAAAATGCAATTATTTTGAAAAATTAAATTTCCAAACACTAGACAAAATACTATGAAATACTTCAAAGTAAATAAGTATGTCAATTTATATAAAATGGAAAAGCAAACTATAAGCCTAAAAATTTTTTAATAAATGAAAATTTATAGAAATAATTTTTCATGCTTCCCAATAAGGAAAAAAATCAAGAAAATGTTTAAGTATTCCTTTGATTCTCAATATATTTTTTAAAGATTTATTTATTTATGCATACAAGAACTGCAGTACAGGCTAGAGGTGTGGGGGGTGAGAGGATTCACCAGAGACAGAGTGGAGAGCAGAACAGGCAGATCTACTGAAATACACTACTGAGGGGAACAGCGGGTGGGTCAGGAGAGGTCTGCTGCGCCATGTGGGTAGCTCCCTGGCTGGGGATCGAACTTGTGCTGCAGTGGCTGCAGATAGCTTTATAGGTTGTGTCTTAACCCCTTGCACCACCAGGGAGGCCCGATTCTCAATATATTAATAAAACTTTTGATTAACATAGAAATATGCTTTGATGAAAGAAAAATATAAATAGCTAATTTTTTAATACTAAAACATTAAGTAAAAGGTTTCTTTGTTTTTTTAAGCAAATATTTTATTAAAGAAAGATTCTAATCAAAATCACAACAGAATTATTTTAGGAGGGAGAGGGCACCTTTGTGATGTTTTTTGTTAAAGTTCAAGTGAACAGCAAAACAAAACAGATTTGTCAAAATTTTTCTTTTACAAAAGGAGGGACAGTAACATTATCAAACAGTAAGACATTATAAAATTCCAACAATTAGGGGCCTCCCTGATGGCAGCGCAATGAACCTATCCGTTTAAGTTACAGCACAATGAACCTATCTGCAGCCACTATAGCAAAGCACGAGTTCGATCCCTGGCCAGCCAGGGAGCTGACCCACAGCAGTGTATTTCAGTCAATCTGCCTGTTCTGGTCCCCACTCTGTCTCTGGTGAATCCTCTCTCTCTCTCTCTCTCTCTCTCTCTCTGTCTGTCTCCCTGTGTCTCTCTCTGTCTCTCTCTGTCTCTCTCTCACACACACACACACACACACACCCCCGCACCTCTGGCCTGTACCCCAGGTCTTATATGCATATATAAATAAATCTTTAAAAAAAAAAATTCCAACAATTAAAACACTAAGTAGTTCAGTGATAAGCAACAATTAATCAGTAGAACAGAAAAGAAGGCCTAATAAAAGATCCTACACTATTTGGATGAATACAGACTATGATATATAACCAATAGAACTGAAAACATAATGGCCACAGAAATCATTATACACAAATGTTTTATATAAGCATGATTTAAAAAATGGAAACAACCTAAAGTCCATTAGCTGAATAAATAAACAAAATGTAGTATAGCCTTGCAAGTGTTATTTGGCCATAAAAATGAATCAAGTACAAATATGTGCTACAACATGGATGAACTATGAAAACATTATGCTAAGTGAAAGAAGCCACAGGAGGACATATATTCCATTTTCATAACAGATAAATCCATAAATACAGAAATTAGATTAGAGGTTTCCAGGGACTAAGGAAAAGGGGAAGAAAAGTGACTACTAATGGATACAGAGTTTCATTTCAGGGTAATAAAATCTTCTAAAATTAGACAGCAGGGCCTCCCTGGTTGTGCAGGGAGTTGGGATACAGCACTATGAAGCTGTCCACAGCCACTGCAGCATGAGTTTGATGCCCAGCCAGGGAGCTACCCATATGGCACAGCAGACCTCTCCTGCCTCGCTCACCCGCTGCTCCCCTCAGCAGTATGTTTCAGTCAATCTGCCAGTTCTATTCCCCACTCTGTCTCTGGTGAATCCTCTTACCCCTCAAACCTCTGGCCTGTACCCCAGTTCTTGTATACATAAATAAATATTTTTTAAAAATTACTTTAAAATTAGATAACAGTGGGAGTTGTATAACTGTGAATATACTAGAACACACTGAATTGTACACTGAAAGTGTGAATTTTATGGTACATAAATTATTTTGGAAAAAAAATTTTTAAATAAATATTATAAAACAATCCCTCTGATAGTCATATGGAGAAATTGTGAAAGGGGGACAATAAACCCACAGCTATTTAAGTACACGACATAAATAAGCATTCCTTACCACCCTGAATCAGCTGTCGAGCCATAAACAAAGCAGTAGAACCAGTAGCACAGTTATTGTTGACATTCGTTATAGGAATTCCAGTCAGTCCCAAACTGTGATAGATAGCCCTCTGCCCAGAGGTAGAGTCACCTGCATAGAAAAAGAAACAACATCATGCAATCGTTAAAATGCTGTAAAAAGACTGGGAACATTCTTTTTTTTTTTTTTTTAAAGATATATTTATTTTTGTGTAGAAGAACTGGGATGCAGGCCAGAGATGCAGGGGGTGAGAGGATTCACCGTAGACAGAGTGAGGAGCAGAACAGGTGGATTTATTGAAATATGCTGCTGGGCCTCCCCGGTGGCGCAGCGGTTGAGCGCTGGGTTGCGAGGCTGCCCGCTGCCTCTGCGGGGCCGGTTCGATTCCCGGCTGCTCCCCGGCCACCGGAGGAGGGTCCCACATGGCGTGCAGACCTCTCCTGCCGCCCGCTGCTCCCCTCAGCAGTGTACTTCGGTCCTTCTGCCTGCTCTGCTCCCCGCTCTGGCTCTGGTGAATTCTCTCACTCTCCCACGCTTCTGACTGTAGCCAGTGCATGTACGAACAAACAAATAAATAAATAAATAAATAAATTAAAAAAAAAAAAAAAAAAGAAATATGCTGCTGATGGGAGCAGTGGGTGAGACAGGAAAGGTCTGCTGCACCACATGTGGGTTAGCTCCCTGGCTGGGGATCAAACTCAGGCTGCAGCGGTGATGGTCCTGAGACTTAATTCCTAAGCCAGATTGGGAACATTCTAAATGTCCATTTAAGGAGGTAGATTAAAGAAATTATGATATACCTATTCAATAGAACACTATGCTATCATTTAAAAAGATCAAGGAAGCTCATTATGATGTAATTTAGAACAATTACGTAACAATAAAAAAGCTACAAAATAGTGTGCATAAAGCAAAGTTACCGCAAAAGAAAAATGTGTATATTATGTGTATAACAAAAGAGGAAAAAGAGAACTTATACATTTGCATATACTTGTTTACATATGCATAAATTACCTCTGGAAAGATACACTAGTGAAATTGGTGTCTAAGGGAAGGAATCTATGAGACAATGAGATAGGGGGAAAAAAGATAAGCTTTCCAGTACATACTCATCCACCTTTCGTATTTCGGAAACATAACAATATCTAATTTATTCCAGAAAAATAAAGAACACTTACTTGAAAAATGTTAATTATGACTTAAAAGAAGACAACTTAATGACATGGGAAATACTGAATATAGTAAAATGAGAACAGAAAGTTAACAAAAAGAATGGGGCCTCCCTGGTGGCGCAGGGGTTAAAGACAGCGCTGTCAAGCTATTGCCAACCACTAAAGCACTAGTTAGATCCCTGGCTGGCCAGGGAGCAACCTAAATGACGCAGCAGACTCTCCTGTCTTGCCCACTGCTCCCCTTAGCAGTGTATTTCAGTAGATCTGCCTGATCTGTTCCCCACTCTCTCTGGTGAATCCTCTCACACACCCCCACCTCTGGCTTACACCCCAGCTCTAATATGCATAAATAAATAAATCTTTAAAAAATAAATAAAATTTAAAAAAATTTTAAAAGTATGTATGACTGTTTTCTTTAAAAGAACACTGGAGCCTCCCTGGTGGCACAGCAGTTGAGCGCTGGGTTGCGAAGCTGCCCGCAGCCTCTGCAGCGCCAGCTGGATCCCCAGTCCCCGGCGAGGGTCCCACATGGTGCGACCGACCTCTCCTGCCACGCCCGCTGCTACCCTCAGCAGTGTATTTTGTCAGTCTGCCTGCTCTGCTCTCCACTCTGGCTCTGGTGAGTTCTCTCACCCTCCCGCGCTTCTGACTGTACCCAGTGCTTATATAAATAAATAAATGTATCTTAAAAAAAAAAAATAAAAGAACAATGTACATGCATGTGTAATCACATGCATTTATACTCACTGAAGGATATATATATATATACACACACACACTTATTTATATATATCAAAAATTAATGGTAATCATAGTGGGATTAAAGGTCACTTATTTTTTCTTGTGTTTTTCTCTGTGTGTTTTCTTTTTTATATAATTAGCATACATTATTTTTCTAATCAGGCTTGTTTAATGAAAACATTTATTATACAGAAAAGTCAATAAGAACAAATTTTAAGACAACAAAGAGATAATATTAATTACCTTTACATGGTAGAGCTATGGGTATTTTTTTCTTTTTTAAGATAAAAATGTTTTTTAATTTATCACCTGTTTTGGCAATAGAATAATGGCAAAAATACATATTAAACTAGACTGACCTATAAGGGACATGTAGGAATGATGAGAATAAAGAATAAGACTCTGAATTCTAATTGTGAGCTTTAAAATTCATAAATGTTTCTGTATTGTTATGTAGCTGGTGTAGATTTGGACAAATAATTTTTAGATTACATAGTTTATCACTTACCATAAACATAACCAATACACGCCTGTTCCACTGCTGAATAAGGGATCTGTGCATCAGCTAAAGCCTTCTGGCCTGTAAGAACAAAAAGGCTTTATCAAATAATGCTTTCAGTTTTGCTTCAGGTGAGTAAAACTTGAGCTTAGAATTTTCCCAAAGTAAATCTACCTCCCTCTATATAAAGTCTATGTTCAATTCAAATGATAAATCCCTCATAAAATCAGATATCTCCTTTCAGAAGTAATCACTTCTTTCCCTAAGCTACTACATCCATCACTTTTCACATCTCCTTTTTGATACTTAACTATTTTTGTCTTAACCATATACCTAACTGTAAATGTGATAAATCCAACTAAAAGCTCCTTAATGCCAAGATCCTTGTCTTATACATCTCAGTGATTCCACTGTACATCTACAGGGCAAAATTGATAGAATATCATGGGGGAAGGTGACTCATAGTTATCATCAAGAGATGATTCTATGAAATAAAGAATGGAGGTTTTTTTTTTAAAGACTTATTTACTTAGGCATATAAGAACTGGGGTGTAAGCCAGAGGTGCGGGGGTGAGAGGATTCACCAGAAAGAGTGGGGAGGAGAACAGGCAGATCTCCTGAAATACACTGCTCAGGGCAGCAGCGGGCGAGGCAGGAGAGGTCTGCTGTGCCTTATGGGTCAGCAACCTGGCCTGCAGGGAACTCAGTGCTGCAGTGGCTGGTGATAGCTTGATAGCACTGTCTTTAACCCCTGTGCTACCAGGGAGGCCCAAGAATGGAGTTTTCTTTTTTTTTTTTCTTTTTAAAGATTTATTTATTTATGCAAGAACAGGGGTACAGGCCAGATGCGCGGGACGGTGAGAGGATTCACCAGAGACAGACAGAGCGGGGAACAGAACAGGCAGACTGACGAAATACACTGCTGAGGGGAGCAGCAGGTGAGACAGGAGAGGTCTGCTTTGCCATGTGGGATTCTCACTGGCCAGCCAGGATCAAACCAGTGCTGCAGAGGCTGGGGACAGCTTCACAGTGAGGCGCTCAACTGCCTGCACCACCAGGGAGACTCCAAGAATGGAGTTTTAATGATGCTATCCAAAGTGCATAAATGGTCAATGGAGGAGCTAAGAAGAATTATGAAAATAAACTGGGAAGAGATGCACAGAGGTTAGAGAGGTGTGAACTAAACCCTTACCTACCACAGTGAGAAGCAAACAGACGTCTAAAATTGAAAAATCAAAAACTGGAATAAGCATGGTGGAATAAACATTTAGAAATATGGAGATAACTACCAGAAGAACTAAAGCCAAATCTGCACTTCTCTAAAGAAATTTAGGGCCTCCCTGGTGGAGCAAGGGGTTAAGTCTCAGCACTATGAAGCTATCAGCAGCCACTGCAGCATGAGTTCAATGCCCGGACAGGGAGCTGACCCACATGGCACAGCAGATCTCTTCTGTCTCACGCGCTGCTTCCCCTCAGCAGTGTATTTCAGTGGATCTGCCTGTTCTTCTCCCCACTCTGTCTCTGGTGAATCCTCTCACCCCCGCATCTCTGGCCTACATTCCAGTTCTTGTATGAATAAATAAATAAAATGAATCTTTTAAAAAAAAAATCAAATTATCATTTTTAATGACCCTACTTTTCTCTCCCATAGAGCCCTTTGCTGTTTTAACAAACAGTTGGGTAGCACAAAAACAAATAGGCAGTTTACTGTCTGCTCTCACTATTTAGCTAAGAAGACCCAAGCTCTTTTCCCTTCCTCAGTTTAGTGAGTCACTAGGGAATTGTCTTCCAGGTTCTTCTTCCTTCCACAATCAAAACAGACCACACAATAAACTATAATGTTTAAAGTTCTAAACATTCTATATTACCTGCTTCTTTTGCCATGTCGGGATAGTCTCTTGAATTCGCTGCTCCAGGATTGAAGAACTAGAAATATAGAGAAAGATAGTCAAACAGAAATAAGTATAGATTTTTTTCACAACAGAACATCACAGAAATTAATTTACTATTCATTTAAACAAAAACATATTGAGCACGTATCATATTTCTGGACTCTGCTAATAAATACAAAATCTTTGTCCACAGGGACCTTTGATCTAAAGGAAGACAGACAATTAAACTATCATGTCAAAGGCACAAATTACACTATCATGGGAGAGAAATTCGCAATCTTAGAGTGAGAACTGAAGAGGCTTTTCAGAGGAACTGACGTTAAATTATATCTTTTTTTTTTTTAAAGATTTATTTATTATACAAGCATTGGGTACAGTCAGAAGCACGGGAGGGTGAGAGAATTCAACAGAGCCAGAGCGGGGAACAGAACAGGCAGAGAGATGAAATACACTGCTGAGGGGAACAACGGGCACGGCAGGAGAGGTCTGTCGCGCCATGTGGGACCCTCGCTGGCGGCTGGGGATCGAACAGGCGAACAGGAGATGCAGAGTCTGCGGGCAGCTTAGCAGCCCGGCGCTCAACTGCTGCACCACGAGGGGAGGCCCTAATTTAAATCCTTAAAGATGAACAGAAGTGAAAGAAAATGCTCAACCCAAGTATTGCAAAAAATTTTATATCTCAGAGATTGAAGCACAAGATAGGAAGTGATACTGATAGACACAGACAATAACTTAGGACCAAATGATGATAACTACTAATACTTATTGGACACTTACTATGTTATGCACTGTGCTAAGCTCATTTAACCCTCACAAAAACCCTAACAGGTAGGTACTATTAAATATTTTACAGAGGGCCTCCCCGGTGGCGCAGCGGTTGAGCGCTGGGTTGCAAAGCTGCCCGTGGCCTCTGCGGCGCCGGTTCGATCCCCGGCTGCTCCCCGGCCACCGGCGGAGGATCCTACATGGCGCGCAGACCTCTCCTGCCGCCCGCTGCTCCCCTCAGCAGTGTACTTCGATCCTTCTGCCTGCTCTGCTCCCCGCTCTGGCTCTGGTGAATTCTCTCACCCTCCCGCGCTTCTGACTGTACCCAGTTCATGTATAAACAAAACAAACAAACAAACAAAATAAATAAATAAAACATGCCTCTAAATATTTTACAGATAAGAAAACTAGGGTACAAATTGAACAAACAAAACAAAAACAAACCCTTAGACTCTGAGGACAGAATGATAGTTACCAGAGGTGAAGTAGGAGGGAGGGAATAGGAAGAGGTGGCCAGTTGGTTAGTGGCAGATAACTGGATATTTGTAGTGGGCATGGTGCCATAGATACAGTGGCTGATGTGAGATACACCTGAAACCTACACAGTGTTGTAAACTAAGTTATCTCAGCAAAAAGGTAAAAAGAAAAAAAAAAAAAAAAAAAAAAACCTGATGTATAACAAGGAACCCCAGAGGCTGAATCAACAGACCATGGCTGGGGAACTAGGGGATGATCTCAATGACAATACTGAGTAATCAAGCAGATATGAAGTGCCTGGAGGGCAGACTCACAACCCCTGATCTTCTACATTCTTCCATTTTCCTTAATCTCCTTCCCCTTTCCTTTTTCTCCTCCCCCTTACAACTGATGCTGTATATCGATAAAAAGGCCAGGCTCTTGCTCTTCAGCAGCATCCTGCATTATGTAGCCTGCTCCAGGACTCCCGTTTCTTTATCAGTGTGGTGTTGCCCAATGCAACAGACTAGGATAAGAAAACTTGCATTTTAGACCATTCTCAATATAATGTGGTAAAATGAATGAAGGGAGCCAAAGCTGGAGGCACTGAGACTAAGTGTCATGACTCTGAAAGAGTATAAGTGAGAGCTGACTAACACAGCAGCAAAGAGAATAGAAAGTAGACTTAAGAAACATAAAAAAAGTAAATCTACCAAAACTGGTGATCCCATTAGTTAAGGTGGACTAGTTTGCTGGTCAGTGGTCAATGTAAAGAGAAATGGCTTTTAAGATATTATGACTGCAAACCACAAGATACATATAACGCAATCTGGAGAGTAACCTGCCTCCACTGAAACAAATATACAAAGCTTTATTTACATTTAACTTCTTAAATTACAATTTCTCTGGCCTAACAGCTGTTGAGCAACATGTCATTCCTAATTTCTTCTGGCGTCAGGGCAGTAAAATAACATTTTATCCCAACAGAACCAAGCCCAAGGCCCTTAGTCTTGTATCGCCATACAGTGCAAGAGCCAACTTGGCTGTGACCTTATAATCTTTAACATGGGGGAGAGAGTATATACAACCCAGTATATACACACATATACTATTAGTGGGGAAGGATGTCCTGAGCTAATTCCATGCAATAACCTTTCGTATGTGCCTGCAGTAGAGTATTGATAAGTCCTTTTAAGCGCGCGGGTGAGGACCCACAGTCAGGCAACCCGTTTTATATCGGGGCTGCCCTATAACAATATAACTACAGCAAAAATTTCATGAATACTTATCTTTATCTTTCATGATAAAATATATTTTATTCTATTTCAATTATTTTAATGCTAGAGGAAATATTCCACAACTCCCCAATGGGTCACAAATTCCAGTCTGAAACACTGTACAGTCATCTGACTTAAATGTAACACTTCATTGCTCAATTGTTCAAAATACATCTGTTGAATTGAATCAAAACAAAACATTTAACATGTGTTCCTAGCTTTGATTCATCTCAATTTTTCATAATTCCTGAATTAGGGAATCCTTCATAAATCCCTAATTAGGTACCCCAAAATTGCCTATTCTCCCCCTACTTACCCTTCAGTTCACTAGTTATAATCAGAGCACTTACAGAAAAAACTTACTATGATGAGAGAACTATGCTGGGCTCCCACAAGCAATACCCATTAAGGATTAAATTATCATCCAATAGTACAATGACTGCACTTTCCCATTTCTTACTGAAATTAAGGCAATTTTTTAAAGATTAGTCAAGCAAATAAATACATACAAAATTATTCAAAATTAAAATATTTATATGGAAAATACCAAAAGTCCATAACATTTGAATAAATGCATGTTGACACAAGCAACTGTTATATTAATGAGAATCCATAAAATTATGGGTGAATCTCACAAACATGTTGAACATAAAACCAGAACTAATCTATGGTATTGCTAGGGGGAAAGGATGTCCTCAGCTAATTCCACTCCAGACCAAAGCCATCAAGACATTGGGAAAGACAAATCCCATCACCACCAAAGGAAAGGTTGCTGTGACCTGAGGGTGGAGTTAAGCAGCCAGGTTTGGTATAAAACCAGACACGTGGGTCTTGGGGGGGTCTCTCCTCTTGGCTTCGTGGCTTGTGGCTTACGGCCAGCTCTCAAAGTGCCATTTTGGGATTCCAGGTCAGCAGAACGTGTAGGATGCATTTCAGACTTTATCTCCCTCTTTTCTCCCTGAGTTGTACTTTTCCTCATTTCCCCTTCCCTTGTAAATAAACCTTTTATTCACCTTTTGTGTGTGCCTGCAGTTAAGTATTAATAAGTCCCTTTAAGCATGTGGGTAAGGACCCATAGTCAGGCAACCCATTTTATATCGGGGTTGCCCTCTAACAGTATTAAGGATGAGAAGTCAGGATAGTAGTAACCCATTGCAGACAAGAGATCAGTGACTGGACAAGGGCACAAGTAGACTGCTGAGGCTAGTAATGCCCTGTTTATATTTGGTTTTTAGTTTTCACCTGAAACAGAAATACAGAAACAAAAAAGTACTACAAGATTTTTAATAAAAAGCAGCAGTCTTATTTCACTCATCTTACTTGCTCCCAAAACAAATCACTTTTTCTTTCATATCACAATCACAATCAATTCTTTAATCACAACCAACTCTTGCTTCTAAGTAGTCTTATACTGTTATGTCTTTATCAATTTAAGAAATTACCTCTAATAAAGAGCAATGTAGTTAAGTCACAATATTTTTTACTAAGTCAATGTTCAGTGTTTACTTGATTAAGGAAATATTTCTTACTACTGGGCTAAATTGTGTTCTATGATAAATTTCCTTTCTTGTACAATTTTGGGTATTTTTTTCTGGAGTTATCTCAGTTTTAAAGTTTTAACCTTTTTCATAAATAAGAGATACAGAAAACCATATATCTAAATATTATACTTTGTATACCTTTAGGCCTCAATATTAGCCCATAAAGACTTAAACACTAACGTGGTTTTAACAGCACAAGGTCACATTCCAAGGATGACCCTAGCCTGTAACAGTGCCTGCCAAAGAAAACACATGACTGCCCAAAAGAACTGAACAAAAGACTGAAGAACTCATTTGTTCCAGCCAATACCTAAAGATAAGGCCTCTGTCTCTAGTGTCTATGGAAGGCAGCAGCCTAACTGTGGATAAAGCACTCATTTTAATGGGTACCACTACTTAATTAAATTCATTAATTCATTGGGTCTATCATATAGTGTTATTCTGTCATTTCTTTTTTATTTATTACTTTTTAGAAAAGATTACTCCTTGCATACTATTTAATTATCCAATGGTATAGTTCATATATGAAAGACAAATGCATGAATCTTTCCATTTTCCTGTTTTCAAGACAGTGACTAGATTCTCTATAATGCTCCAAAGGTGATAGCTACTTGGTTTTTAAGAAATTATCATGAACTCATATTTGAACATGGGCTAAACATGTCATTAAGAACGATAAAATAGGGCCTCCCTGTGGCACAAGGGGTTAGGACACAACCTATGAAGCAATCCACAGCCTCTGCAGCACGAGTTCAATCCCCGACCAGCCAGGGAGCTACCCACCTGGTGCAGCACACCTCTCCTGTCTTGCCCGCTACTTTCCTCAGCAGTGTATTTCAATCTGCCTGTTCTGTTCCCCACTCTGTCTCTAGTAAATCCTCTCACCCCCCACACCTCTGGCCTGTACCCCAATCGCCCGCTGCCCCGCTCAGCAGTGTGTTTTAGTCAGTCTGCCTGTTCTGTTCCCCACTCTGTCTCTGGTGAACCCTCTCACCTCTGGCCTATATCCCAGTTCTTGTATGCATGAATAAATAAATCTTTTTAAAAAATGATAAAATATACTAGACTTATCTTGTATATTTCCTGCCCAAATTGAATTCCCAGTTTTTCCAGGCACCTACTTATTTTAGAAAAGATATTTCAAGACCATAATATGGATATTTTTAGGCCTCTTCAAGTAGATAGTTACAAACTTTTTTAAAGATTAAATACCTCATAGATTCATACTAACACTTCAAACTTAAATTCAAAATTATAAGATTTAACCTACCCACTTCTATATTACATCTGTATCTCTTTTCTTCCCAAGAATCTTAGTTCTCAGGAACTAAGGATGACTAAAGTAGAATATCTCATACTTATTCATGTATTTTACACCACAGTACACATGTAATAATCTCAGTATAACAATACTAATGCTAATGTTCAGTAACATTACAGAGAACCGTTTTTTTAATTTGAATAACTGTCTTATTTTTTCATTTGCTTTTTTTTTTTCCCTATCTACAACACCAAAACATCTACATCTCTTAAATCCATATGCCACATGGTCAAAAAAATTTTCCCTACAGAACTTTCTTCTTGGAACCATCCACAGACCTATTCCAAACTGGACAGGTGTCCTCTCTAAACCTATGCACAGCTGCCATTCTGGGACTTCCCTCAATGTTCTCCTATGCTGGATTCACTCTAAGATCCACCATTTGGGTGGACATTTTCACTAGTTATGTTTAAAAGAAGGAATATGCAAAAGGTAAACTTTTCAGAGCTTGAATTTCAATTTTGAATTATCTTACTAGGAAATAAACTTTTAGGAAATACTTTACTAATATTATATATTTAAAAAGTGCTAAGACAGGGTCTCCCTGGTGCTGCAAGAGGTTAAGATGCAATCTATGAAGCTGTCTGTAGCCTCTGCAGCACGAGTTTGATCCCGGCTGGCCAGGGAGCTACCCACATGGCGCAGCAGACCTCTCCTGACTTGCCTGCTGCTCCCCTCAGCAGTGTACTTCGGTCAATCTGCCTGTTCTGTTCCCCATCCTGTCTCTGGTGAATACTCTCATCACCCCCACCTCTGGTCTGAACCCCAGCTCTTGTATGCATAAATAAATCTTTTTTAAAAAAGTTGATAAGACTGATCTTAAAAGTTCTCATTAAAAGAAAAAAATGTGGGCCTCCCATGGTGGCGCAGTGGTTGAGCGCTGGGCTGAGAAGTTTCCCACAGGCTCTGCAGCGCCGGTTCAATCCCCGGCCACAGGCGAGGGTCCCACATGGCCCGCAGACCTCTCCTGCCGCCCGCTGCTCCCCTCAGCAGTGCACTTCATCATTCTGCCTGTTCTGCTCTCTGCTCTCATCCTCCCGCGCTTCTGACTGTACCCCGTGCTTGTATAAATAAATAAATCAATAAATTTTAAAAAAAGAAAAAAGAAAAGAAAAAAAAGAAAAAAATGTGTAACTACCTGTGGTTAACTAATGTTAACTAGTTATCTAATGTTAGCTAGACTTATGATGGTTATCACTTTACAATATATACAAATATCAAATCAATATGTTGTATACCTGAAACTAATATGTCATAGATCAATTATATCCCAATAAAAAAATTTACTCAGAAAATCTGAAAGCATTCTTATTCACTTCTGAAGTTGCCACTGAAAAATTCAATGCTATTTTGCATCCAGATTCTTTCTATACCACTAACTTTTTTCTCTGTGCAAAAGTTTTTAGAATTCCTTTTTCCTTGGGTTCTGAAATTTCAAAACAATACATTTTAATGTAAGTTTTCTTTTTATTCATTGGACTGGCCTTTTCAAACAGAAGTTGTCTTTCAGTTAAGAAACTGTCTTGTTTTAGTCATTTGGGTGGGATTGGAAAGCACCAATAGAGATAAATTCCTATTTTCAATCTGCCATGTTTAACAAAATGTCCCAACACATTGTATTCATTTACTTGCTTATCCTCTTCCTCATATTTTGTATTCCTTAAAAACATTACTTATCGGGCCTCCCCAGTGGCGCAGCGGTTGAGCGCTGGGTTGCGAAGCTGCCCGCGGCCTCTGCGGCGCCGGTTCGATCCCCGGCTGCTTCCCGGCCACCAGAGGAGGGTCCCGCATGGCGCGCAGACCTCTCCTGCCGCCCGCTGCTCCCCTCAGCAGTGTACTTCGGTCCTTCTGCCTGCTCTGCTCCCCACTCTGGATCTGGTGAATTCTCTCACCCTCCCGCGCTTCTGACTATACCCAGTGCATGTATAAACAAAACAAACAAACAAATAAAGAAAGAAAACATGCCTCTATTAAAAAAAATATATATAAAAAAAAAAAAAAAAAAAAAAACATTACTTATCTCCCACCTTTGTATTCCTGATATATAACACCTAGTATATAATATTCCTGGTATATAATACCTGGTTTATTGAATATATGCTTAAATGATGAATTAACTACAACAATAATGTACTGTAGAGAGAGCATGGAAAAAAAAACATGAGATTTCAAGTATGCAATTCCAAAATTTAGGAACTATATTAAGACAGATGACTTAGCTGCTCAGCTTCAAAGACAAGAAAATGGGTATAATCCATTGCACAGTGAGGATTAAATAAGATAAAGTATTTGTCAAACTGCAGGTTTGCACAGGGTAACAAAGTCCATTTTAAGGGCTGTGGGTTGAAAGTGCCATTTTTCTTTTAATGAAAGAGAACTTGTCCTAGGAACTCTCTTTCACAAGGCAGACCCATTTAGTATTGCCCGACTAACATTTATTGAGACTTCGGGCATTTTCAAGTTGCTAGAGCTACAGCAATGAATTAGGGCATGTTACTTACCTTAGAAGAACTTACATGGTATGGAAAAGAATAGACATGCACAGTTTCAGAGCACAGAAAGTACTAAGACAGAGGTAAGCATAGGGGACTCTATGGGAAAGTCAGGAAGATCACAGGCTTCTTGGAGAAGGTAAGATCCCAACTCATGTTTTAAAAATCAAAGGAACTGGTGGCGCAAGGGGATAAGCACCGTACTGTGAAGCAATCCGCAGCCTCTGCAGCACAAGTTCGATCCCCGGCCAGCCAGGGAGCAACCCACATGGCAAGGCAGACCTCTCCTGTCTCCTGTCTCCCCTCAGCAGTGTATTTCAGTCCGTCTGCCTGCTCTGCTCCCGGCTTTGTCTCTGGTGAATCCTCTCACCGCCCGCACCTGCATCTCTGGCCTGTACTCCAGCTCTTGTATGCATAAATAAATCTTTTAAAATAAAAAATAAAATAAAAATCAAAGAAACTAACCAAGTGAAGACATGATACAAAGAATGAGAACAACAGAAGTTTAACAACCGAGAAACTTGACAGTTTGACATTACCAAAGCATGGAGATGGTGAGTCAAGAAATGGACTATGGGCACCCATGGGTGGCCTCCTGGAGTTAAAGGTTAGAGGATTCAGGACCCCTGCCACGTGCTAATGTGTCTCCTCCCCGTCCACACTGTCCCTGAAAAGGGGTCCCACAGTGTACTCCTGGGCGTGCAGGGCTGGTGACTGTCAAACCCGCTTTCCTCCGGGTGTGAGGGTCTTTCCTCAGACGGAACCCACTCCGAAGCACGGAGCTGGAGACTTAGGGTTATCTCGGAGTGCCCTTCACTAACTGTGACCCAGAGAGAAAAGGGAAGGAGGGGGGGTTAAGAAGTGGTCACAGGAACAACGTTGAGACCTTTCGATGCCGCAGACACTCTCTATCAATCCACTGGAGTCTCCACTCTGAGGCAACTCAGCCAAAGAAGCCGAGTCTGGGCGGCGGGGCGATCCCCGGCGCTCTCCGGGCAGGAAGGACAGACCGACAAACGACGACAGACTCTGACCCACCCTCCGTTTCCCGGTCACCTCGGGCTCCCCCGACCTCACCCGAACAGAGAGAAGCAGGGAGGCCACCTCCGCGGGTCTCTGCTGTTTACCTTGGTCATCCCAACCCCCACCACGAACACCCGGCGCCCGGCCTGACGGGGTTGCAGCGTGTCGTGAAGAGGCATGGCTCAGACCGTGCTGGGCAGCGGCGGGCGCAGGGGACACGGGCGCAGCGGACACGGGCGCAGCGGACACCGGCGCAGCGGACACTGACGCGGAGCGACGCGCGGCGGGGCTAGGCGGGCGGCGGCGAGCAGCCGGGCCCTCTAGTGCTAGGGGGCGGGGCGAGCGCGGGCGCCTGCGCGTGCGCAGAGGCCGGCGGCGCGCGTTCCTCGGCGGGCGGGAGGCCTGTGTTACGCAACCTCTGGCAGTGGGTCCCGGGGCGAATGTTCTCTCCTGGTTTGGAGACCTAGTGCTGCTGAAGCAAAGTTTAAAACCTGGTTACAGCCTCTTGAGTTTCGGGTCTCCCCTGTGACAGAGAGTGGGCTTGAGGCTGAGCGCAGGGGTAGGCTAGAAACCCGACTCAAAGGGTTAGTCAGGGAAATGCTTAGAGTTGGAGAATGGTTCTCTGTCCTGTTAGTGGTGGTAGGAGAGTCAGTGCGTGTGTTAAAACTCAGGACTGGGGCCTCCCTGGTGGCGCAAGGGGTCAAGCACCGCACTATGAAGCAATCCACAGCCTCTGCAGCACGAGTTCGATCCCCAGTCAGGGAGCAACCCTCATGGTGAGGCAGACCTCCCCTGACTCCCCCGCTGCTCCCCTCCTCAGTGTACTTCAGTCAATTTGCCTGTTCTGTTCCCCACTCTGTCTCTGGTGAGTCCTCTTATTCCCCCCCCCTCCCCGCATCTCTGGCCTGTACCCCAGGTCTTGTAAACATACATAAATCTTTAAAAACAAAAAACTCGGGACTGTACACCTATATGGGAAGGGGATTAATGTATACACGCGTACAACAAATGCGGAAACAAAATTCAGTCACTACCCGTGACTGAAACTATCAGAAACTCGTTCAGAAACTCGTTCCCTTGCCTTGTTCTGTGAGAACTCAAATACGTTACAGAAAGTGTTAGCACCTGTGAAAAATAGGCATACGTGAGCCATTTTAAAATCGGATGGGAGTTGTCATTGTGGAAAAACTGCCAATTGTCTGATTGGACTGAGCCAAACAGCAAATATTTATCCCTGTCGCTGTTTGAAAGCCCAGTAGGAAAGGGATTTTGAAACTTCTGAGTCCAAAGATTGATAATTATGGAATTTTGCCAGAGGACAGAATCAGTAACCAGTTACGTACAGTGTGAGTTTGTCAGCACTATTTACACACTTACTCATTTAACTTTTACCCTAAAACCTCCAACTTTTATCTCCTTCTCAGGCCACATTGTAGTTTTCTATCTGAAAACATGCTGAATTTTGATTCTTTGATCTCAAATAAACACTTGATTGCCTCTCATTTTGGCTCTTTTTGGTTAACTTACTAGATGAAATATGTGTGTGTGTATATATATACACACGTATATCTGTGTGTGTGTGTGTGTGTGTGTGTATTTAATGCTTTTCTTTGCAAAGTCTGTATTAGGGAAAGTGCTTACTTGCAAAAATGTATTTGTACCTCCAAAATCAGTACTCAAAGAGCCCTTGAGATGGCAAAATATTTGAGTTGCCCAACACAGTGTTTCTAAGTGAATGCAAACGAATTCAAACAAGACCATATTCTGTCTACTTTCTTATTTCAGCTCTCGACTGTTACATGAGTGTCCTCTTCTACACTTAATGTTAAATGTAGAGTTGTTTCTTGAAACTCTGGCTGTTAAGGACAGTGATGTGATTGGTGGACAATTACCAACTCAACAGAACCAGCAGTCATGGCAAATTATTATGTAACAAATACTAATGGTTTCAACATCCAAGTCCAAAGAGGGGGCCTCCCTGGTGGCAAACCGGATTAAGCCCCACACTATGAAGCAATCCAAAGCCTCAGCAGCACTTCAATCCCTGGGCAGCCAGAGAGTAACCCACATGGCGCAGCAGACCTCTCCTGCTGCCTGCTGCTCCCCTCAGCAGTGTACTTTGTCAGTCTGCCTGTTCTGCTCTCCACTCTGGCTCTGGTGAATTCTCTCACCCTCCCGCACTTCTGAGTGTACCCAGTGCTTGTCTAAATAAATAAATAAATCTTTAAAAAAAAAATAAAATAGGGCCTCCCCTGGTGGCTCAGTGGTTTAGCGCTGGGCTGCAAACCTGCCCGCAGACTCTGCAGCATCAGTTCGATCCCCAGTCACCTGCAAGGGTCCCACATGGCTCGACAGACCTCTCCTGCTGTGCCCGCTGCTCCCCTCAGCAGTGTATTTCGTCACTCTGCCTGTTCTGTTCCCCGCTCTGGCTCTGGAGAATTCTCTCACCCTCCTGTGCTTCTGACTGTACCCAGTGCTTGTATAAACAAATAAATCTTTAAAAAATATATTAAAATAAAATAAAACATTATTTTAAGTGCATATATTATGGAGAAGTGAAGTTTTTCTTCTAATTTTATACCTATTGATGTCATTTGAATGTTTTGACCTTGTGTATTTAGTACTTTTATTTTTATTCTTACTATATAAAATTTTCACTTCCTTGATTCTTACACAGTTCCTGTTCGTAAGAGCTCCTATTCCCTCATGCTCCCTTTAAAACCCGTCTGCGCAAGTGAAACTTGAATTCAGTTCAACGTACTCTACTCTTTTGCAATAATACTGATATGCAGATCTCTGTTTAGTTAGGATGGGTTCTGTCCTAGCAAACCCACCTTGAGTTGAAAAACTGTTAACACAGGACATTACCCAGTATTCAATGTTTACCCTCCTGATTCAGTGGCTGGCAGGGAGCCAGGGCTGATGAGGCTGCCCAGTATCATCAGCATATATCATATCCTAGCTTGGAAAGGATCAAAACTCAATATTCAAAGTATGTTTCCTACTGAATGTTCCTCACCTTCCTATCATCATCAAGTAAGAAAACCTTAAGTGGAAACTTGTAAGTCCAGTATCATCGAATTACCAATTAAAATCTGTCCTCACCACCTTAGCATCTGCCTTTATCTTTGACAGTAGTCACTAATAATATTTTTTATCTTACAGATTAAGACACTGACGTTTAGGGTCGTAGACAACTTTGCCCCAAATCACACTAGCTGGGCTTTCTCCTCTACCGGTCTCTCTGAGGCTCAGAGAGCAGTGTCGGCCTGCCACCCACAGGTGGAGCAGTTGGCGAAGACCTCGGGGTCGAATTGCGAACATTCATCCGGAGAGGCAGTGGAGGGTCCCAGCCTCACCTTCCTGGCTGCGCCCCGATGCTGTGCACCCTGAACCGCACCCAGCGCCTGCTGCGCCTCTGGGAGCCCCTTCCAGCCCATGGCTGCGCGTCGCACTCGACGAAAGCGGACCGCGAGATCCAAGTGCGCGCCCTGACGGGTCCCGACCAAGGTAAGTGAGCTGTGCTAGGAGCGCCCTGGAGGCAAGTGGGACGACCCCGGGCGGGGCTTGGGAGGCGAACCCCGCGCCTACCGCTGCAGCCAGGACCACAGCTCTGGGCAACGCGCCACTTCACGCAGAAGTCTGAGATCAGTAGGAGGAAGGTTTGTCTGATGATTAGATCCCAAATCCCCAAACTTCCCTAAGGCCCAAGTCCATCTTACTGGCTGCCCCACTCTTTTTGTGGCGAGACTGTCTATCAGTTCCCAAATTCCTCATCTGGTGGCCTGGGACTGTGTGAGTTAGGGAGAGGAGTCTCTCAGCGGTAGGACTAGGCACAGTGTCCCCAAGAGGAGCTTCTAAAGGCCCCATTTCCCTGCTAGGCCAAGGATCCTGGCAGGGCTCCAGGAGCCCTTACGCTAGAGTTATTTGGCTCCTGGGTGCAAGGCAGGTGAAGGGAAAAAGGAACCACGGGAGAGCTGCTATGGTTGAAGGCCCCCTGTCCCAAGGCCAACTTTTGCGCTTAGGGTAAGGTTCACGCTGGTCTCTAACAAAACATCTCGATTGTTTGTTCTGGATTTCCAGCGCACTGGATGACTTTTATCACTCCTCAGTTAGCTGCATATTTACTGTCAGGGCAAGCCTTTATTTTCTCCCCAGTCCCACCCCCTCTTCTCTTCATTTGATGTAACCTTGTTGGTGTCCCAGTCTTAATTTACACAGATGGCACTGTACTGTACATCTCATATTTCTTCCTTTGTTTCTTGATGATAAATTTGAAGAACTACTTTGCCATATAAATCTAGTACCTTGCTTCCTGTTCTCATATACTTTTTTTTTTTTTAATGCATACAGAACAGGTGGATCTACTGAAATACACTGCTGAGGGGAGCAAAGGGCAAGACAGGAGAGGTCTGCTGCGCCATGTGGGTTAGCTCTCTGGCTGGGGATCGAACTCATGTTGGCAAGAGCTGGCAAGAGCTTGATAGCACTGAGACTTTAACCCCTGAGCCACCAGGGAGGCCTGCATACTGTTTAGTACATAACCCCCACTTTGATGGACATGAGGGACTGCTGTTACCTCACGACATCATTTGGTGAGAATTTCTCTGGCCATGTGGGGTTGCCGGGCTTTAGAGCCCTTACTCTCATGCTTAGTTCACTGCCAAACTGGCAACAGGGCTTCCTTGAGAGTTATAATTATTCTTCCCACTGTACAGATTAAGAAACTGTACAGTTTGAGCCAGGTCTGATTTCAAAAAATGTTAACTATTAGATTGTCATGCCTCCTTTGGTAATTCAGTAACTCAAAAAAGACTTGTATTTCTCTCTCTCTCTCTTTCTCTCTGTATCTCACACGTCATAGATCTTACAATTTACTTCTAAGTAGTTGAATGCATTATAAAAAGGAGTCCTGAGTTCTCTCCCCAACCGGGGAAGTAACCCGTATATATGGCACAGCAGACCTCTCCTCTCTCACCCGTTGCTCCCCTTAGTAGTGTAATTCAGTTAATCCTCCTATTCTGCTTACCCCTCTGTCTCTGGTGAATCCTCTCATCATCCCCAGCCCCACCCCACCCCAGTCCCAGGCACCTCTGGCCTACACCCTAGTTCTTCTACTCACAAAAAAAGTCTCTGCCTCCACCCAAAAGTTTGTAGAAGATGGGAAGGAGATAATCAAGAAGGAGTGGAAGAGGCAAAAGAAAGATATTCACAACAGGAAAAATACCCCCCCAAAATTATTTGGGGTCCTTCGATGTTCATGTTAGAAGCCACAGCCACAGATTCTGCCTCTCACTTAGGTTGATGGCACCTAAGTGTATCTGTTGTCTTTGAAAACAGAATGGGCTGGCTAACCAGCCCATTGGCTTTTGGTCGAGTATGGCTTTATGGTAACTCCTTAGTTATGGTAACTCATTCAAAGTTTATCACAACCTGTACTTTCCATCTTATCTCTTCTACCCATGGGTTCATTTCAAGCTGTCCTACCTCTGTGTTTTTTCTTAAAAAGATTTATTTATTTATACAAGAACTGGGGTATAGGCCAGATGTGCGGGAGGGTGAGCGGATTCACCAGAGACAAAGTAGGGGACAGAACAGGCAGACTGACGAAATACACTGCTGAGGGGAGCAGGAGAGGTCTGCTGTGATGGTAACTCCTTAGTTATGGTAACTCATTCAAAGTTTATCATAGCCTGTACTTTCCATCTTATCTCTTCTACCCATGGGTTCATTTCAAGCTGTCCTACCTCTGTGTTTTTTCTTAAAAAGATTTATTTATTTATACAAGAACTGGGGTATAGGCCAGATGTGCGGGAGGGTGAGAGGATTCACCAGAGACAAAGCAGGGGACAGAACAGGCAGACTGACGAAATACACTGCTGAGGGGAGCAGGAGAGGTCTGCTGTGCCATGTGGGTTGCTCTGCGGCCGGCAGGGATCGAACCAGCATTGCAGAAGCTGCAGACAGCTTCACAGCAGTGCGCTCACCGGCCTGTGCCACCAGGAAGGCCCCCTACCTCTGTGTTTTGTTCTAGCTTTGCATTTGCCTTAGGGCCCGTCCTTTCCTTTCTGCTTATGTAAATCCTTCTAGAATTACCTCTCCTTTCTGCCATTGTCCCTTTATTTTCCATGTGTCTAGACTTCCCTCATAGATTGCTAGCTATTTGACAGGAGGGATTGCTAGCTTTGTCCAGCTGTTAACTTGGGGGAGCCGCTCTCCTTTTCTGGGCCTCAGTTTCCCCTTCTATATTAGTAAGGGATTGTTAAGCCAATAGGTCTCTACACTGCCTTCCAGTGGTTTCTGTTGACTCCCGTCAATACATTTTATTTCAGGGATATGTCCTTGGGTAGCTTCTGGAAGTGAGGAAGGCAAGTGAACTGTATATTCCTGGGATCGTGGTGATGGAGGAGTCTCTCACTGTCCAGGCTCACCTTCTAAGTCAACAGGCAGTCACACTCTTTGCTTTATCCGACACTTCTCAAGTCATTCTGCTTACCAAGAGTAGATACTGCCTAGAACTCAGACCTCCTTCCTTCAGGTGTGAGGCCAGTTGTGAACAGGGCCAGCTGGCTCACCCAAGGCTGCCCTGTTCCTTGCAGGAATCACTGAGATTCTGATGAACAGACCAAGAGCCCGAAATGCCCTGGGGAATGTCTTTGTCAGCGAGGTAAGGAAGGCAAGGCACCAGGGTGGGCTGGGGCTGGACTGGGAGCTATCTGATAGGGTCTCTTCTGCAGCTGCTAGAAGCTTTGGCCCAGCTGCGGGAGGACCAGCAAGTGCGTGTCCTGCTCTTCAGAAGTGCAGTGAAGGGCGTGTTCTGTGCAGGTGGGTTTCCTCCCTGCCCCACTGGGGCACAGCAGAGCTCCCATCAGTATGCAGGGGTTGTGAGGATAAGGGGAACGTGCCTAGATCAGTTTCAGCATAGGTTTCATTACTTCAGTTTTAAAGATGTGACTTCAAAGACTCAGAGGTAAAATTCCTTGCCTAGGGTTACTCACTAGTAAGGGGCAGATAAAAATCAATTTGAAGTTGATATCACTGAGCCCCTAATCCTTGTTCTTTCTGCTATATCATCCTGTTTTCTGACCCCTCACTGAGGAAACTGGTCTAGCTACTATGGAAAACAGTATGGAAAATTCTCAAAATATTAAAAATAGACCTATCATATGATCTAGCAATTCTACTTCTACGTATCTACCCAAAAAATGCAAAAAAAAAAAAAAGCTTATTCAAAAGGCTCTATGCACTCCCATGTTCATTAGCACTATTTATAATAGCCATGTTTCCAAGAAACAACCTACATGATGATGGATTAATAAAATGTGGAATATATTCACAATGGAATACTACTCAGCTATTTAAAAAAAAAATGAAATCTTGCCATTTGCAATAACATGATTTGCCCTAGAGTATATTATATTAAGCAAAAACAAATCAGGAGAAAGACAAATACCAGATGATTTCACTCATATATGGACTATACAGAAACAAAATAAAGGAACAGACAATAAATGAACCCTAGAAGTCTGACGGTAGAATTGAAGCTCAGGGAGAAGGTAGAGAGTAGGGAGCAGTCAGAAAGGGTCCAATAGACTACAGTAGATTATGGGAGCTTTGGCGATGAGTGTCGCATGGTGATATACGTATGAAACTGTACCTCTGAATTATATGCAGTGTTGTCAACCAGTATTATCTCGATATAAAATAATTCACTTAAAAACAAAAAAAGAAATCACAAATACCATGAATTTCTGTTCCAAAGATGGGGAATACTGTATCCCAGGCCCACAACAAAAAGCCAAGTCAAGAGAACTGAATCGAACTGAGCTCTGAGAACCCTGGGAAGAGAAAAGGGGGCAACTGGGGCACAACTGGGGAGAAAGGAAGAGGCCATGAAGGGAGAGAATGGAAGAAGCATGATTCCCAGGAATTTTCAAGGGGATGTAGCTCAGTGCTAGGTCTTTCCACATCCATGCCAACCCCTGCTTTCTGTTACTTGTAATAGCCATGCTAATGAGTATGAAGTGGTATCCAATGTGGTTTGGTTTGCATTTCTCTCATGACTAATGATGCTGAGTATCATCATGTGCTTATTAGCCATTTGTCTCTTTGGAGAAATGTCTATTGATATCTTGTGTGTGTGTGTGTGTTGCTGTTGTTGGGGGCTCTTTATATATCAATTTTAATTCCTTATCATATAGGTGATTTGCCAAAAAATTTTTTCATTCTTGGGTTGTCTTCTCACTCTCTTCATGGTGTCCTTTGATGCATCAAAGTTTTTAAGTTTATTTATTTATTTATTTGTACAAGCACTGGGTACAGTCAGAAGCGCGGGAGGGTGAGGGCCGGGGAACAGCTGGGGATCGAACCGGCGCTGCAGAGGCTGCAGGCAGCTTCGCAACCCAGAGCTCAACCGCTGCGCCACTGGGGAGGCCTAAAGTTTTTAAGTTTGATGAAGTTCAATTTATCCTTTTGCTGTTGTGTTACAGTTCTCCTTTTTTGACCCCATCCCCACATCCCCCACTTTTTCCTCCCTGGCTTTCTTGACCACCTTCCTGGTGTTTCTCTTTCCTCTCTGGCTGCTTTTCCCCATGACTCCATTGCCAGACCCTTTAAAGGCCTAGAATTCAGTAAGGGGTCATTTCCCAGGGGTATCACCACCCTGTTACCATCTGCAGGTGCAGACCTGAAGGAGCGGGAGCAGATGAGTGAGACCGAGGTGGGGGTCTTTGTCCAGAGGCTCCGAGGCCTGATGAATGAGATCGGTAAGGGCCGGAGTTTGGTTGAGGAGAGAATTCAGGGTTTCTGCTGATCAGACCCATCCTACTCACCATCCTCTACAGTGAGCACAGTTTCTGTTGTGATCTCTGTGGGAAGACATAACCCCAAAGCGATGAACATAAGGAATTCTACTAAGAGGGTGACAAGAGGGTTCAGATATGCTTTGCTAGGTCTAATACCTCCCTCTCCCACACTCCAACTTCCACCCCCACCTGTGTCCTCAGGGGTCAAGCCTGGCTATTCCAAAGGCATCAGGCTTTACCTAGCCTGCTTCCAGGCACTGACAATAGCTGCTCTCTTTGCCTAGAATACTCCCCCTTGGCCACCTGAGCACTTAACTCATCCTTTAAAACCACCAGCACCTCCTCCAGGAATCCTTCCCTGACCCGTGCTCCAAGCCTTCTTTGTTAGAGCACAGATCACCCTGAGTCACCACTGCCTGTTGACAGGTCTGCCTTCCCTGTGTCTGATCCAGTTGTGTTCCCAGCACCCAGCATGGCACACAGAAGTAGGAGAGCAGAAGGGCAGGCCCCACGAAGTCACCAGGAGAGTGGGCCTGAGGCACCACCCGGCCCATCTCACCACTCTGGTTCCCCAGCTGATCCCACAACTTTCCCCACTGGGGAAATCAACTTCTAAGATGACCTGGCTAAGGTACCAGGTGAGGTCCCCAAACCTGGAACCATTGAGGCCCTCTGTCCAGCAAGGTCACTTTTCCACAACCTTGAGTTTCTGTCCTGCTCTTGCTAGGGCCTCGCAGGCTGAGGCCTTCTTCATCTCCACAGCAGCCTTTCCTGCACCCACCATTGCAGCTATGGATGGATTTGCCTTGGGTGGAGGCCTGGAACTTGCCTTGGCCTGTGACCTCCGAGTAGCAGGTACTAGGTGGGGAGGGGGGAGGTGGGAATAGAGTGGGGAGGGAAGGATGAAACGGGGCATCTGGGGATTGTGAATTTAGCAACTGCTCTTGACTTTACAGCCAACAGCAGAACTAAAAGCAAAGTGGAGGACATGGTGGGGTTCAGGTGAAAGCTAATTCCCCTCCTGGCCCAGCCATGAACTGCTCTAATTCTCCACAACACCTCATCTTAGCAATGATCCTGCCAACCCCAGAGCAACTGCTGATAGTACAGCATAGAGAGGAAGGGCTGAGGACAAAGAGGAGATTGGCATGCAATCTTCCAGTTCTGTCCAAGTCATTTCTTAATCACATTTTGCACAAGGGTGAGCCAAGGGAACAATACATTTCTTGGCCCTTCTACTCACAAACATACCCAGGCAGGAACAGAGCCATGTGGTTCACCAGTCAAGGTCCTCATGATGTGTTAAGAGCATTTAATGGGTCTTGTTTGAAGAATGAGAGAAATAAAGAAAAGTAGTCACTTTTTAAGATTACTGACTTGTTGGTTAGGTGCACCCTTCTTGGAGGCAGTTAGAAAAACTAGCAGGCCACCATGGTGCTATTCTTCCCATCACTGCTGTCTCCTGCCACTCCAGGTGGAACATTTAAAAAGTATGACTCCACACAGAATGCATCAAAACATCAGGTCAGGGCTTAGCCCTGACTCTGCTTCTCACCTGGCTGTTTAGGGTAATTAACCTGTAGGGTTAGGGTGGGCAGGAGGGTGAATAGAAAATGCAGCGTAGGCAGTAGTAATGGCTGCCTTCCAGCCCACACTGCATGGTTCAGGTGGCCTGTGCTGAGGGAATTCAGGAGAGAAGCCTTTGGGGTGGGACACACAAGGAGGGCTTCTCATAGGAAGACCTCAGTAAGAGGCTATGAACTGAACAATCAGGGAAATTTCCAGTTGCCAAAAAGCTGGGAGTAACTGGTAGAGCAGAAGTCATGGATACTCACTGCCAAGCCAGAGTTAGCAATGGTGCATGAGACATATATTAGACACCTGTGCTGAGCTGCCATCTAGATATTGGGCACCTTTCAGGAACCCCTTATTTCCAAGCCCTATTACCTCATTTAATGCTTAGCAGCTCTCTGAAGGAGGCAGACAAGAGGTACTCATTTCTTCCCCACCTATGAGGTTCAGGAAGACTCCTCAGGTGCCTGGTGATGCACACCTTTAGTAGTAGGGGAGGCAAATGAAGGCCTGGGTCTCCACTTCCAGGCTGGGAGGAGGTTTGGCTGTAGTCAAACCATGAAGTAGCTGGCTGGAAGGGTCAACAAAGCATAGAGGCAAGTGTGTGCACTCCAGGGTCCTGGCACTGGGGGATAGGGTGGGGGCTTCACTCTGTTCTGTTTAAGCAGCTTCCTCGGCTGTCATGGGACTGATTGAGACCACCCGAGGGCTCCTCCCGGGAGCAGGTAACCTAACCCACAACATTCATCTTCTTTTTACCTGCTTAGTTCTGCTAAGTATCTATCCAGGATACTTCCCTGCTTTCTTCTTTTGCCCTGGTCTGGACTCTGCCCTTCCATCCTCAGAATTTGTTCTGCATCTTAGCTGACTCGAGGTTGGATCTTCTCACATGTATTCACTACTTCTGCTCCATTTGGCAGGAGGGACTCAGAGATTGCCTCGATGCCTGGGGGTGGCCCTGGCAAAGGAGCTCATCTTCACGGGCCGACGACTGAGTGGGATGCAAGCCCAGGCACTGGGGCTGGTGAATCATGCTGTGCCCCAGAATGAGGAGGGCAATGCTGCCTACCATCGGGCACGAGCACTGGCCCAGGAGATCCTGCCCCAGGTGTGGTGGCAGCCCAGCACAGGAAGGAGGACCTGCTTTGAATGGAAGGGAGTGAAGGGGTCCCGTGGAAGGTGCCACACAAGATCCATTTACCAACACTCATCAAATTAACACTCTTGAGAGTTTTTGTTTCCATTCAGCCAACCAGTTCAGGATGGGCCTGAACATCCACAGAATAACACTAACAGTACTTCAGATGCTGGAAATGTTCTGTATTTGTGCTGACAACTGTGGTAGCCATGAACCATATGTAACTGTAAAGATTTAGTTTCTCAGTCACACTTTCCACATTTCAAATTCTAATAGCCAGAATGTGGCTAGTGGCTTTTGTATTGGATATTACCACATTAAAATAGCCCAAAGAGTGGAAAGGCAAGATTTTAGAGCAGACACAGAACTATCAGCCCATATTTCTGACCAAATTCTGTGGCACAAAATGTTTTTTTTTTTTAAGATTTATTTTTATTTATTTATGCATATAAGAACTGGGGTGCAGTGGCTGGCAATAGCTTGATAGTGCTGAGATTTTAACCTCTGTGGCACCAGGGAGGCCCCCCTCTTTTAAAAACTTGAGAGCCAAGGAGTGAGTTTAGACCCTATTTTGGTACAATCCTGCCAGCTGTTGGGGCAAAAGCCTTCTGCAGGACACCCAGGAGCCTTCTGTGGTCTCCCATATGGGGCACCTCCCATCCATCAGAAACAATCTGAGATACTTCCATAGTGTCTCAATTATTAGAACAATCCAACTGAGTTGACTATACCCACTGTATTTGTGATATAACGCACCCTGAAAGGTTAAGTGATTTGTTCATCAAGGTCAGAAAACGTGACTGCCAATTTTAGTATCTGGCATTTATTTTCCACAATACAGAATACAATATAAAAATGGATATTTTATTCTAAAGAAATGCAGAATATGTACAATTTAAAAACTGAAAATATTTATTGCATTTCAAATTTCAAAATTTACAAACACAAGAGTTAACTATAAATCCATAAAAATGTTACTCATTCATTCTCACATTAATATTAACAGACATTTGAATTAATTACAAAAATAAGTATTTTATTTTGATAAAAAAAAATTTTTGTCTCCTTTAAATTTAAATAACCCTAACTCCTTTTATAACTTTGAGGTCCTTTTTGAGGGGGCAAGGACTAAAACTTTTAATAATTAATAGTTAAAAAGAAAGCATTATTTTGTTCATTACCTCTTTTTTTTTTTTTTGCATAGAACTGGGGTGTAGGCCAAAGGTGCAGGGGTTGAGAGTATTCACCAGAGACAGAGTGGGGAGCAGAACAGGCGGATTTATTGAATACACTGCTGAGGGGAGCAGTGAGTGAGACAGGAGAGGTCTGCTGCGCCATGTGGGTTAGTTCCTGGTTGGGAATCAAACTCATGCTGCAGTGGCTGTGGATAGCTTCCTAGTGCTGGGACTTAACCCCTTGCAACACCAGAGAAGACCACCCCCCGCCTCCCATGATTTTTTCATCACATTTACATGAAGAATCCAATGTTGTTACCTGGATAATTTTAATGCTGTCAGTTTCTTTACAACTTGTCCAAGAGTCACTGAATACAAAACTGAGTGACTGCATTTCCACAGAGGGGGCTTATCTAGCAAGACCTGTATACACCGTGCAGGGTTTGTCTATTTTGCATAAACAAAACTGAGTCTTTGAGCTAGATCTCAAGATGATTCAGGTTTCAGATTTTTGATACTGAAATAATGGTATTCCACTAATTACCAGTATTTCAGTATTTCAAATATACAAATACTACAGTATATAAAAATACCAACATACCAAAAACTAGTATCATAAATTCTAATCCCAAAGTTGGGACATTCTGATGCAACCTGAAACAAACCTGCAACAACTTGGAGCAGTTACTAAGTGCCCAGGTGCCCAGGCACCTGGTGGTGAGTGCCTGGGATGGTGTAGAAGGCTGCCCTCTAGTGGACAAACCACTATAGGGTTTGTCAAAAGTGCAGTCAAATGATTGCAGAGATTAGAGTCCAGAAAGATCTGTCAGTATATGCAAGGTCCAAGTCTTAACATATTTTCTCCTGACACAGTAAATACACATTATCCTTTGAATATGGATTTAGTTGTTTTCTACTTGAACAAAGAAATAGGGCACAGTTGCTCACTGGGGCACACTGTTATTTCCAAAGAACATGAAATTGTCAATCATATTTCTAATAATTTTCATATACACAGCCACCACTGAAGTACATTTAGATATTTTTCATACATAAACACAGCATATCTACATAGTTTTTAATTTTCTTTGGTTAGAAATCAGTTACCTAAATAATGTTCATAATATGCAAGTCAAATAGAACAGATGCAAAAGGACAGGCTCCCTTTATTACAGACAAGGAACAGCAATTGAGTAGTAATAAGCACTAACACTAACAACACAATTGTCAGTTAAACAGCTGGGACTCGGGCCTCCCTGGTGGTGCAGGGGTTAAAGTCTCAGCACTATCAAACTATCGCCAGCCACTGAAGCATGAATTCGATCCCTGGCCAGGGAGCTGACCCACATGGCGCAGCAGACCTTTCTTGTCTCACCCGCTGCTCCCCTCAGCAATGTATTTCAGTAGATCCACCTGTTCTGCTCCCCCACTGTCTCTGGTAAATCCTCTCATCCCTGTACCTCTGGCCTACACCCCAGTTCTTGTGTGCATAAATAAAAATATTTATGGAAAAAAAAAAGCTGGATCTTTGACCCAGACCTCTGCCTCCCTGCCCGAGACTCTTCTCCCCACCCCCAAAGCTATGCACTTCATTTTATTTCAACCCTTCTTAATATTAGCAAGATCACCTCAACCAAGCCTTTTCTTTTCCCTAGGCCCCCATTGCTGTGAGGCTTGGCAAAGTAGCGATTGACCAAGGAATGGAGGTAAGGAGGTTCTGGGTTAGGACTTGGGTCGACTAACATCAGTGTGGTGGCAGGGAAGTGCCACATTCACGACTCACACAGACTGACAACACAAGAGGAAAGAACTCAAGAAATGAAATCTAACAGACTTAAGAGTTTGACCTTGCTCTCTTTTTGTGTATTATTTTATCCATCTACAAAATCCAAAGTTTGGCCAGGTAATAAATTACATTTTATCCTCATCTCCCTTGAAGAGAAGGAAAGATTCAGGCAGGGTAAAGGACTTCTCCAGGGTCACAGAGCAAGCATGTAATAAGAACCAAGGTCTATATGGTTCTCAGCCCATGTTCTCCAGTTTGTTGTGCTCAGTAATATGCCAACAAAGACAAGAGCTCAGGGTAGATGCCTTGATACAGTTAACTCACTTCTAAACATTAATTTACATTAATTACATAAATTAATGTAATACATAAATTACACTAATTTCTAGAGATGAATTCATTCATTACATACTGAATCTAGACCTAAGCTGGCAAATGGGAGACGGAGATGAGTCAAATATGGGTCACTGCCCCAAGGGAGGTGTGTGTGTGTTTGTGTGTGTGGCAGGGGCGCTGTTAAGATACAGACACAAATTGCTAATAAGACGTGAAGGGTATCAAGCACATTCTAGAGAAATGAGCTGTGCTGCACTGCCCACAAGGCAACAGCCATGGTCCTGGGTAGTGCAGGCTTACAGAATGTATCCTAGAGATGGGCTTGAGAAGGATGAGAATCCAGAAAAGAGTAAAAAGTATGAGCAAAAGCACAGGTGTGTATAAATGAGCAACTCGACTGAGTGGGAGCAAGGGTGAGACAACACACCTGGGAGGACGGGGTATGGCTCTGGTGCTGGGCTTCTGCTTCAAACACCTGTTCTTCCACATACTGTTGTGACCTTAGACAAATTACTTCATCTTTCTAAACACCAGAACTTCTGAGTTATATCACAGACAATAATCTATTGTTGTAAAAAGTAAATGAATTTACACATACTTCTCCTAGTGGTAGTAACAGTGAGCACTGGGCAGTGGAGGCTGAGATATAGCCAGGGGCCAGGTGATAAAGGCCCAGGACCTGACTCCTTAGGACAAATGGAAAACCTGTAAGGTTCACTAATAGGGGTGACAAGCATTATGGTGAGGCAGCCAGGTGGGGAGGGAACACTGGCTGTGCAAACACAGCTCATGCCCACCCTCCTCGGCTATTACAGGCTGTGTGCAACCCTCCCTTTTACCTCACAGTCCCCATTTGCCAAGTACTGTTTTACCACTGATAGGGTGTTCCTTTTCCAGGTAGAGTTCCTTATTACAGTCATCTCTGTCCTTTGTGGACTGGTGTACAGTGAGCCTCAGTAATTCTTTGCTGGAGGAATCCATGCAAGAGTAAGGAATGCTGTAGGCAGAAGGGTAGGCTGGCTGCCAGTGCAGATGGAGGTGGACAAGGTCAGGCTGATCCAGGTACCACTTCTTTCTTGCAGGTGGATATCGCCTCGGGGATGGTCATTGAAGGGTTATGCTATGCCCAGGTAAATGGCTGCTGCCAGACCATGCATGCTTATAAGCAGAGGCTGGCCCACAGTGAAGGATCTAATGCAATATATAACCCACTTAGTAGTTTCTTCCCAACCGACTGGATTAATCCAAAATACTAATCTTGAAGTTAACATCCAAAATATTCCTAAAGAGGGAATCCTAGGACTTGCAAGACCTGCTGTGAACCAGCTACACACCAGGAATCAAAGCCAGATTTCTTACTGCAAAGCCTAATCTTTTTCTCTGCTGAGCAACCTCCTACCAGACTATGGTGGGAGACTGAGGCTAAGGTAATGAGTAAAGGATGCTAAAGAGGCTGGCCTGCTTTGCCCAGAGACCAAGGAGCCACTGGCGCCCACACCTTCAATGACACTAGACTCTGGTCTCGTCACAGGCTGGGCAAGCAAGCTTAAGTTAGTCTTTAGTGGCTTCTGATCCTTTAGTGGCTTCCTCCCTCCCAACTAATAATCTATGTATTATTTCAGAATATCCCCACCCAGGACCGACTGGAGGGCATGGCAGCCTTCAGAGAGAAGCGGCCTCCCAAATTTGTTGGCAAGTGACTCCCATTTAACCTTAGGCATGGGAAATACAGGTCTTAGTGGCCAGGATTCAAAAGGGAAATTAACAGTGCGACTATCCGCATCATTTCACCTCTTTGGGCTCTAGTTTCCTCACAAGGACAATGACGAACATATACTGATTAGTGTGGAGCCTGCTATTAAAGTGCTGACTATGCCATCCACTTGCTACCTTCATTACTCCTCCTAGCCAGAATCTAGCCCCTGAGGTTGGGTTGGCTCTGCTTGTTCCCATTTGAATAATAAACCAAGGAATAAAATCATCCCCCACTGTGGGGATTGCAAACTTTTGGCTCTCAAGCTTGATTTATGCCTGTGGTTGTCAATGCTCACCAGAGATGGCAAGATGTTATAACCACCCCCAGTTTCTTCGTTTTCTGAGCCCAGGCCTGTCCTATGTCACCAAACCATGATGGACACAACCAATAAAATTTTTGATTTACTGTTAAATACAAATGTGTCCCAAGGTAGTGATCATTTCTCAAAAGGGAGAGTAACACAAGAGCTGAAAAATCAGCACCCACCACATGAGCTGTAACTACTCAAGAAAGTTACAACTTTACTGAACTTCCCTTTTCTCATCTGTTAAAAATGGGGAGGATAAAACTTACTACCCCCAGAGGATTGCTGTGAATGAGACAAAACTTGGAGGGGCACCAAGACTCTAGTTCTCAAAGATACCAGTTCCCAGCATATCCACACATTAGCAAAAGCTAGCAACTGGTAACAGGTTGTTCCAAAGTTTTGGGAGCCAGGTCAAGAAGAATTCCTTTTGGAATTCTGAAGAGTGAATAAGAGAAAATACAGTAGTTTAGGACTATAGAAGGAAGTAGGTTACAAATTCTCCTTATCCAGTGGGATAATAGTGAGCAATGTGGACTGCAGTTAAGAATAAGAATGAGGGCCTCCCCCTTCGTGGCGCAGGCGGTTGAGCGCCGCACTATGAAGCTGTCCAGTCTCTGCAGCACTGGTTCAATCCCAGCCAGCCAGCGAGGGTCCCACATGGTGCAGCAGACCTCTCCTATTATACCCGCTGCTCCCCTCAGCAGTGTATTTTGCCAGTCTGCCTGTTCAGTTCCCCGCTCTGTCTCGGGTGAATCCTCTCACCCTCCCGCGCATCTGGCCTGTACCCTGGTTCTTATATAAAATAAATACATAAATAAATCTTAAAAAAAAATAAATAAAAATGAGCTTCCTTCATTTGATTCCAAAAGATGGTACATAGCATTCCATTTAAAGAATCTGAACCAAGCCAGTTAAAGGCACAAAAACCTAGCCCTAAGATATGCAGCTAATCAAAAAATAAATTTTGTTCTTTGAAAAACTTAAATAGATGAATGGCAAAACATGCTTCAGTAGTTGTCAATAATAAGTTCATACTTTATCCCACAGAAGAGCTTGCAAAGGACACAATCAAAGCTTCTGATATGCTTTATATTTTGGTTAAGGCTGGTTCTCAGAAAAGCCCATATTTTCTTGTCTTCATGCTAGCTAAGAGCACCTCTTAAAATCTTTGGCTAAGTTTTTATGGTTCTTTGCTTTCTCTCAGTTTTGGTCATGGTCGCACTCAACAGTGTGAGGAATTGAGATTTATAGTCCCCATACAATCTTTCATCTAAACATTCAGTTCTCAGTCTTAAATCCCACCATGTCCCACAAACACATCCACTTGACACAGAATATTGTGCTCAGTTTAAAGTGTAAAGTTGAGGGTAAAAAGGCCAAAGGCAGGCTATATCCAAAATTGTAAAAAATGTTTTTCTCTTCCTTCCACCCCACAAGTAGAAAGCACTTTAGGGCCTCCCCGGTGGCGCAGCGGTTGAGCGCTGGGTTGCGAAGCTGCCCGCAGCCTCTGCAGCGCCAGTTCGATCCCCAGCTGCTCCCCGGCCACCGGAGGAGGGTCCCACATGGCGCGCAGACCTCTCCTGCCGCCCGCTGCTCCCCTTAGCAGTGTACTTCGGTCCTTCTTCCTGCTCTGCTCCCCGCTCTGGCTCTGGTGAATTATCTCACCCTCCCGCGCTTCTGACTGTACCCAGTGCTTGTAAAAATAAATAAATAAATAAATCTTTAAAAAAAAAAAAAAAAAAGTAGAAAGCACTTTAATATCAAAACAAACATTTTTTTATTCTTTTTCCTCCTTTCTAACAGAGGTTCAACCTTCCAAACAATACATTTATGAGCATATACTTTCCAGAACTTTTTTCATGTACTTCTTTTTCCAGTGGCTTCACATAACCAGGAATAACTGGAAAAATTCTTTCAAGCATGAAATTTAACAAATATCAAGGTCTTCCTGGCAAGGGGTGGGGAGGTCGTTTGTTTACCCTTCCTCTGACAAACTCTGAGAGTTAAGAAATTATCCAGAACTAGAAAATAGTAATGGTGTAGTTGTTCGAACGTGAACTCCCAGAGCCCACAGAGTCCAGGGTTTGGTTTTTTCAAAAGTGCTAAAGGTATGTTCCCCAAATGATTACAATTTTTCTTGGAATTATATAAATCCAATATTTTGTTAACTTATAGAAAATTAACAACGAAAGACCAATGAGGCAGCCAACTCAAACACCACAAACCAGTGTCAACATTCAATTGTTGATAGGGGAGAATACCTGACACTGAGGAACAGAGAATACTTCTGAAACCTCCTAAGTAAAGAAGGGCATTCAACATAGATGGGATCTCTGATAATTCATAAAATACATTTTGAAATCATCTAGAATGGAGGTTGCAAGCTGCTGTGCTTGGGGGTGTGCCTCACTGTGCTCCTGGATGTCACACAACAGCTGCAATCCTCCTTCTTCGACTAACATTTTGCAGTATTTGTTGGCTGAAAGAAAATCAAGCAAAGAAAAGTGATGGACAAATCAGACTTTTATCTATTCCCAACTCACCACATTCATCTTTTTGAAGAAAGGATACAAAGGCTTAAGAGCCCTTTGACACATGAATTAAGTAGATAAAATCATTTCAAAAGAAATATGTCAAAACTTAAATAATGCTTAGCACGTGTAGTGAAATAATAATCATTTTAGTATGTTTACTACCAAACAACTCCATACTTCAAATATTTCTAATGCTAGTTAAAAAGATAATTTCTTTGATTAAAAAATAGTACACATTTCAGTTTCAAGCAGTATCTTTGAGATGGATAACTTACAAACACTGGATGCTAGATAAAATATAATGGAAAAAGCATTTTGAGTGCATAAAATATACGAAGTAGAGGAAATATCCAGAGCTAGAAACAAAGGGCGAAAGCACCTACAAGCATGTAATCTGCAGCATTCTGGGACAGTCAGGGACTGTCAATTTCAGTAATCTATGAAGGTAGATTTTAACTTAGGTAGCTAGAAGTAAAAAAATCAGTACATCAAAGCTGGTGCCTCAAAGGGCTAGACAAAAGAAGGCATAAGACAACAAAACCTTTTAATTTTGGCGTGGGCTCTACATATGTATATGAGTGGGAGGAGGATTAGTCTTTCCTGAGAATTCATAACTACAGTCTTAAGTGGGTATATGGTTTGAATTTATACTATACAAATGTTCTGGAAATCTTTCAGTTGAAAAATTACGACAAAAATTAGTACCAAAAAAATTAGTGTGATCTTCATGCTCTTCATGCTCATTATTCTTCAAAATAAGCCAGAAAGAAAAAGAAAAATACTGGATGGTCTCACTCATAGCAGGAATCTAGAAAACTTAAATAAGGGACCAGGAAAATGAATAACTATAAGAAAGTGAAAATCAAAATCAACAAACAACTATGAACCAGAGACACTCTATGGGGGGTGGAGGGTGGGGTCAAAATAAGGGGGTTGTAATTGTATGGGGAATATAAAAATAAAATTTAAATTAAAAAAAAAAATCAGTGTGATCTTATACCTCTGAATCATAGGCAGTGTTATAAAACAGTGCTACCTTAATTAAAAAAAAAAAAGTCCAATCCCTGGGAAACTTCTAGAGCAACTGACAGTAGCAAATACAAACTGCTACAGGGATAAAGGGACATGCCCACAATTTAGTCTAAAACATATCTTCTTAATCCAAGAGCCAATTAGACTCAAAGATAGCCATAATAATCCAAAAACACATTGAGGTAATTACCAAGACTGTAGCACAAAGACACAAAAACACAAACTATTTAAAAAAAAAAAAAATTGAGGACAGGATGAGAGATACTTTCACAACAAAAGAATAGAGGGGAAGGATAGTATTTTAAAAGAAAAAGGTTGAGGGCCTCCCGGTGGCGCAGCGGTTGAGCGCTGGGTTGCGAGGCTGCCCGCAGCCTCTGCAGCGCCGGTTCGATCCCCGGCTGCTCCCCGGCCACCGGAGGAGGGTCCCACATGGGGCACAGACCTCTCCTGCCGCCCGCTGCTCCCCTCAGCAGTGTACTTCAGTCCTTCTGCCTGCTCTGCTCCCCGCTCTGGCTCTGGTGAATTCTCTCACCCTCCCGCGCTTCTGACTGTACCCAGTGCATGTATAAAAAAACAAACAAACAAATAAATAAATAAAAAACATGCCTCTATAAAAAAAAAATTTAAAAAAAAAAAGACTTTAAAAAAAAGAAAAACGTTGAGAATTTCCATCAATTTGGGAAAGTGTAACTACGACCTGAAATTCATAGGCCAAGTAACAAAATTGACTTGTGAATACAGTAAACAAACTCAGGACAATAAACAGGAATATTTGCAACACACATTACAAAGATCTTATACATTAGTTCCTATAAATTACAAAGAAAAAGACCAACAAGCAGTAAACAAAAAGTAAAAAAAGGATAAGACAGTTCATGGAATAGGAAATGACAAATAAAAGATAGTTCACTTAAATGTTATTAAGTGAGACTATCCCTTTCACCTCAGATTGGCAAAAAGTTCAATTGTTTTTGCAAGAATGTTAAGTAAACTGGCAAGCTCTCCATACATGCTGATGGGGTTGCAAACTGGTAACCAACTCTGGAGGACAATTTAGCAATACCTATCATTCATTACAAATGTTCATTAATTTTTTGCATCAACAATTCTAAATATTCTGAGATTCAGTCAATTCTCACAAAACGATGAATCTTATTTAACAAACTCTATACTGTGCTGTATACAAATGCCTGTACTGTTAGCCAAGCAATGTTCTATATGTTTACAAATATTAACTCACTTAATTCCCTTGACTACCCTATAAAGTTTTTATCCTTATTTTATAGATGAGGAAACAGGAACAGAGAAGTTAAATAACTTGCTCAAGTTCCCAATTAGTAAAGGACAGAAACTGGGACTACAGTTCAGTTCTGGCATCACCTGTACTCTATCACCATGTGCATCTTTCCCTTTCCATTTTCACTGTATTTCATACACATATTCAGAAACATCATCATGACCCACACACGTTCCCGTTGTTATAGTTACTGCTGGTGTAACTGGAGTCTGTTTCAGAGCCATTCTGACCTATTGATCTACCCATGTCTATTCATATGCTGGCACTATTCCCGGTACTTTTATATAATTTTAAGAGAAGTATTAGGTCATGCTCTTCAAAAAAAATTTCCTTGGTTAGTCTTTTCCTGTTTATACTGCCTGATTAATTTTAGAATACTTTTCAGATCCTGCATCTCATATTCATTCGAATTGAATTATATCTGTAAACTGGAAAGAACTGAACTGACATCTGAATCCTACTAAATCTTTCCATCTAGGATTACAGACTGTCTCAATTATTTCAGGCTTTAAAATGATTTCTCAGAGTTTTTGCACATAGGCCCCATAAATCTATATTTAAACAGCCAAAGCTTTAATTCTAAAAGCTACCTCTTGGTTTTAGTATAGTTGATCCCTTCAAGAACCTGGAGGGCAGGAGTGTTTAGGGCCACCAAACCCTGGGGAGGTTGAAAATCTGCATATAACTTTTGACTCCCCAAAAATTGAACTACAGATGTCCCTTGGTATCTGGGAGGGATTAGCCCCCACCAAAATCCATGGATGCTTCAAGTCCCTTATAGGCAGTCAGCCCTCTTCTCTGCAGGTTCCATATCCAGTTTACTGAATCTATGAAAGCAGAACCACGGATAGAAAAAACTCCACTTCTAAGTGGAGCCCCACAGTTCAAACCCACGTTGTTCAAGGGTTAACTATATAAAATCATGGCCTGTATGTCTTACAACTCTTAACTCCCAGCCCACCCCTCAGCATCCTAGGAACCATTACAAAGAGGCAGATCTATGTATTACCATAGTAAGAATATTAGTGATAAACTATTGAGTGAAAAGAGCAAGCTCTATCAGTATGCACAGAATGAGCCTATTTTTTAAAAATTACATATGATATATACTAACCCTTTGCACTCCGCTGTCCCCTCTCAGGGGACATTGGTAGCCAATGTCCAGAATGGTTCGGAGTGCAAAGGGCTAATAATATGTACACAGAAAAGTACCTGGAGGATAGTTCTAGTTATCAAATTGTTATCAGTGGAGAATAGGAACAAACTTTCACTTTCTACATAGTTTAATATCCACTTCCAAATATTGTAATTTTGTAATACTTTTTAAAGCTAATAAAATGCTTTTCAGTTTTTTTTTTAAGAATTAAATTCAAGACACAGTACAAATTTTTTTAAAAATTCACCTTGAACTTAATATACAGAAAAATTGCTGAAAAACTATTATCTTTGAATACATACGGTTTTTACTGCAGACATGATATAGAGCCCATAGTGCCCACAGCTGAGCCTCTGGTTGAGAGAAGTTGCTAAGAAGTGGGAAAAAGGATGCCTTGAAGGATCTGGAAAAGTACAAAGATGTGCATTCAGAACCCGGGCTAACGTCAAGGACATGATCATTTTCAACATTTCCCCTTAGGGGCAACTGTTCACAGACATAGATTATTATTGACCATATAATGGAAGCAAATATTTAAGAAACTATACTGTTAGACAGTCTGGACATTCAATGTTTCAGTTCGTCCTCAATCTTGCACACTGTCACCCCCATTTTACAGATGAGGAAAGCTGAGTCTCAGAGATATTCTGGAAATGACTTCCCTAGAATTCTCAAAAAACAGGATTTGAACACATGGCTATTTGACTTACACAGTGGCCCTGAGTAGTGAGAAGATTAAGAATAAGCTTTAAAAAAAGTACAACGCCATCATGAAGTTACCTGTAGGTCACCAATGCGGTCATTTTACAACTTGAACTTGGCCAGTTCTGGATAGTTGCATACTATACAAAAAGAGAGACCAGGGTTTTAGTACTGTAGTCCATACAGACTATTTTATGTCATTTCCAATTATGTATATATGTGAAAAAACCTACAATTTCAAAATATGGGAATGATTTCTCGAATTTAGGTATGCCTATTTGCCAAAGTACCAATCAGATAGCCATTACATATAAAGACTAAAAAACAGGGCCTCCCTGGGGGCGCAAGGGGTTAAGATGCAACCTATGAAGCTTTCCGTAGCCACTGCAAGCAGGAGTTTGAACCCTGGCAGGGAGCTACCCACATGGCGCAGCGGACCTCTCCTGACTCACCCACTGCTCCCCTCAGCAGTATATTTCAGTCAATCTGCCTGTTCTGCTCCCCACTCTGTCTCTGGTGAATCTTCTCAATCCCCACACCTCTGGCCTATACCCCAGTTCTTGTATGCATAAACAAACAAATCTTCAAAAATAAATAAATGAATAAATGCATGAATGCTGGGGACCTCCCTGGTGGCTCAGAGGTGAAAGTCTCAGCGTTATCAAGCTATCACCAGCCACTGAGGCATGAGTTCGATTCCTGGCAGGGAGCCAATCCACATGACACAGCAGACCTCTCCTTTCTCGCCCACTGCTCCCCTCAGCAGTGTATTTCAGTGTATCTTCCTGTTCTGTTTCCCACTCTGTCTCTGGTGAATCCACTCACCCTCCCGCGCATCTGGCCTGTACCCCGGCTCTTGTATAAAAAAATATATCTTTAAAAAAAAAAAAAAAAAGCTAAATGCTGAGAATGCAGGGACTGCAATGTCCCAGCTCTCTTCCTAGTGCGCTTTCAGGTTGTTAGCAGCAATCAAGAGAATAGAGGATTCTTCTTCAGGTAAGTTTCAACCAGTTAAGGACAAAAGACCGAAAGACGCTAAGGCACAACTAATCCATATGACTCTATAGTAAAAGCCCACATTTCAGGTGACTAATCCCACCCATTTGTACTTAACTTGCAAATAGTCTGACTCTTAAAATCTGAGGGTCACCATACACTCTTAAGAAAATCTACAACAAAAAAATTGTAAAAATGGGAGAAAAGCAACTTGCAGGAAACAAGTATCTTAGAGGAACAGGGAATGTTGAAATAAAACAAAAGTTGCAAGGGGCTTCCCTGGTGGCCTAATGGTCAAATCTCAACCTAATGAGTTCCATCCCCGACCAGGGAGCTAACTCATGCATGGTGCAGCAGAGCTCTCCAATCTCCTGAAATACCCTTAGCAGTGTATTTCAATAAATCCACCTGTTCTGCTCCCCACTCTTTCTCTGGTGAATCCTCTCACCCCCTGCATCTCTGGCCTATACTCCAGTTCTTCTAATAAAAATAACTATCTTTTAAAAAGTTACAAACTATCATTAATACCTAAAAAGAATTAATAGGTATGTATGTAGCAGCCCTAAAAAAGAATTAGATTTTACATAAAAAAAGAGCACTCAGAGAACAAGAAAAGAGTTTTTGGAAATTAAAAATAGCAGAAATGCAAATCCCAATGGGAGTGGAAGTTGAAAAAGATAGGCATTTTTTTAATGTGTTTTCTTATACCGTTCATTTTTGTACAGTAATTGGTCTCTCCCCTCAGGTAGTCCCCAAAGTCCTCCCACCACCATATCACCAGTGAACCTTGGTTCTTTCCCTGTTTTGACCCCTCTTGCTGTGTGCCTCAGATCTATGGTCAGTTTGCAAATTTGTCTTTTTGAAAAAGATATTTTAAAAATAGGTAAGGATATAGGCCTCCCTGGTGGTGCAAGAGATTAAGTCTTAGCATTATGAAGCTATCGGCAGCCACTGCAGCACAAGTCGATCCCAGGCCAGGGAGCTGACCCACATGGCACAGCAGACCTCTCCTGTCTCGCCCACTGCTCCCCTCAGCAGTGTATTTCAGTAGATCTGCCTGCTCTGCTCCCCACTCTGCCTCTGGTGAATCCTCTCACCTTATAAGAAAATGAAGAAGAAAATGAGCTTCTAGGGCAATTAAGTAGCCAATAAAATAGAAGTCAACAAACCTTTATCAAGGCATATCACAGAGATTTGCAAACACTGAGGGCAAAGAGCTTCAAGTCTCAAAAAATACAGAGTACAAACTTTTCAGTGATACAAAGATATAAAAGACAATAGAATGATGATTTTAGAATTCTGACAGACAGTATAACATATATACCAAAAAAGCAGGGAAAAGAAGTCTCTGAGAAGCTGAAGTAGACAGAATGTATCCGAATGTACTGAAAGATTTATACTTAGAAATATAAGGAAGGGTATGTGCATGAGGACATGAGGAAAAGAGCTTTCATCTTCCAGAGTGGGAAAAAGACTCAATAGACAATGTACAAACTGCAAAGTCAAGTAGTAGTAGTAACATGATGTTCAGAGATATGCAGGTAAATACCAAAAGAAATGGCTTCAGAAAGAGCTGACAGTAGGAAAGGAAATTCGAACAAGCCATCTATAACAACTATTTGCATGTATAATTTTTATAAAAAAAAAACATCAGAAGGAATGCAACAAAATGTTAATAGAAGCTCTCTTTGGGTAGTAGGGTATGAACGATAGTGTTTTCTTTATATTTTTCTGTGTGTTTCCCTTTTTCTTCAATGAACACATATTTCTAAAACCTTTATGACCTAGAAAAATACATTTTCTGGGACTCCCAAGTGGCGCAGGAGTTAAGTCTCAGCACTGTCAAGCTATTGCCAGTCACTGCCTCATGAGTTCAATTCCCAGCCAGGGAGCTAACCCACATGGTGCAGCAGACCTCTCCTGTCTCGCTCACTGCTCCCCTCAGCAGTGTATTTCAGTAAATCCACCTGTTCTGCTCCCCACTCGGTCACTGGTGAATCCTCTCACCCTCTGCACCTCTGGCCTACATCTTAGTTCTTTATGTATAAATAAGTAAACTCTAAAAAAATACATTTTCTGTAAGAAGTCATTACTCTGGGTTCTGTAACAAAGAAAGATTCATGTACCAGATCCTGGAGAAGGGCACTCCTCTGCAGGTCACGGGATAGCCAGGGCTGCCTGTCTGATGTCAGGTGGGCTATGATGCCTGCAGCAAAATAGCTGACTTCTATTTCTTTGCTATGGAGCAAACTGCTGATATGCGTGACCACACTGTCAGTCATCAGAGTGGAAGAGAGTTCTCTCACCTCAGCTATGTTGTTCTACAGGGCAGAGAGGGCAAAAAGTATCAGGGATAGCAAGGGAGGGAAAAATCAGGAACTGGCTCTTTTTCCTCTCCACTGCTCAGCTCAGATATACACAGAACACTTAGTCCCACCCTCCTCCACTTCCTCCATTTAGCCTAACACCATAATCTTAACCCCCTTGATAATCAGCAATAGATGACTGACACATAGTGGTATTCACTTTATAGGGATGTGAAGATTAAAAGAGTTAATAGGCGTACATTACTTACAAAAGTGCCTGGCATATAGTAGGTGCTATGTGTTAGTTTTCTTATTTTTAAAATTCATTACATTTAGGCAGCACTCTGTCTGCCCATCTGTTGACTATGCAGGTGCTTCTTTTCACCAACTCCCTCCCTCTGCAGGGTAGCAGCCTTCCTGCCTGCCCGTGACCTATGCCATGCCGGGACTTCTCCTCACTGACCTCCCTCAGCGGAGGCAGCTCTCCTCAAGGGTGCCCGCCTGCAACCATGCAGGCCTCTCTTAGAAAATTTGTCCCTGGGGCCTCCCTGGTGGCGCAGCGGTAGAGCGCTGGGTTGCAAAGCTGCCGGCAGCCTCTGCAGCGCCGGTTCGATCCCCGGCTGCTCCCTGACCGCAGGGCGAGGGTCCCACATGGCGCACAGACCTCTCCTGCGGCCCGCTGCTCCCCTCAGCAGTGTACTTCATCACTCTGCCTGTTCTACTCTCCGCTCTGGCTCTGGTGAATTCTCTCACCCTCCTGCGCTTCTGACTATACCCAGTGCTTGTATAAATAAATAAATAAATAAATCTTTTAAAAAAAAAAAAAGAAAGAAAGAAAATTTGTCCCTTTCGGGGCAGCTCTTCCTGCCCGCTTGTGTCTATGCAAGTGTCTTTTACTGTTCTATCCCTTTTCTAATAAACCTGCTCTTTAAATATAAAAAATAAAACCAATTACATTTAACTCAAAATAATAGACCTTACCAAAAGACCAAGTACTTTGCTTTGGATTGCTGATTCTGAAAAAGTCTGTCAAAAGAAAATACAGGTTACCTTAACATGAAGAAAATTACATTGTAATGTAGAAGAAATTACACGTAATTAAGAATTACACGTAATGAAGAAATTACACGTAATGAAGAAAATTACACGTAATCTCAATCTTGTATTCCCACCTCCAAAACCTGAATGAAGACTGGCAATCCTTGATTTTCAATAAAGTGCTTGCAGGCAGTTGGAGACTCATCTGTAAGATTCCAAAGGGCTTTCAAAGTAAACAAGAAAGTGACATCATCTAAATTCTCTGTAGTCTTCTGTTTTACTATAGCTAGAAGTTCCTAGAAACCAAAGAGACAGGGAGAGTTAGATGCCCCAGTAACACACATTCCACTTTAAAGATAGCAATAATAAGAAAAGCTTTAGAGTCAAACCTGGGTTCTGAACTCAAATTCTACCTCTCAATAGCTTTGTGATCCCATTTTCTCCCTATAAAATGAGTTATACCTATTTCCGAGGGTTTTTACTGAGGATATAATGAATAAAACTAAACTTTAACAAGCATGTAGTCTTGTGGTGGTGCTTGTTAATAAACCTCATAATGAAGACCACAGCAGCTATTCTATTATTCATTTATTGAGAATGTTTTATCAACACCTCCTGAAAGCCAGGCATTCATTCGGGTAAGAGACCCAGATTTTTTAAATACTTGGTCTTTCTTGACTAAGTAAAATAATTTTAAGTGTTGGTAAATGCTCTGAAGGAAACACATAAAAGCCTAAGAGTTTACTTTAGAAAAGATTGGAGAGGGAAGCCTCCACACAAAGGTAATATGTAAACTAAGACCAGAAGAAAAAGATAACCCAGTTAATCAAAAAGTAAGAGAGGGAAAAACATGTCTAGACTACGGAGCAGTTCTGTAATTAAAACCGTATGTTCTAACAGCTTGAAGAAATCATTGGCTTGCTCTAATAGAGATTCCAACATACCATTTCAGATCAGAATAGTTTTGGAAACAAGCTAACCTCATACTTGTACTTTCTTTCAAAAATATTAGACTGTCATGTAAGAGGAAAAAGACAGCAAATGAACAGACACACAAAATATAATGGCACTAAACAAGAAAGAATGTGTTCTGAGGAGGAATGAGATCACCTCAAATATTTTACCCAGTCAGGAGAGAATGTATCGAGAGAGTGAAATCACAAAAATAAAGCTGTGAGAGCAAAGAAAACACTTTAAGAGCAGCAGAAACTAGTAGCAATCATCTAAGATGGTCAATGGGGTGAATGGCAACAGGCAAGGGAAGTAGCAGGGGAAGTAAGCATGATCCTGTTAGGAACAAAGACTTTGGCGAGGTCCATGGCTAGATGCTTTACATATTTTTTTTTTAAAGATCTATTTTACTTATTTATACATACAAGAGCTGGGTGGTGCAGGCAGAAGTGCAGGGGGTGAGAGGATTCACCAGAAACAGAGTGGGGAGCAGAACAGGTGGACTGACTGAAATACACTGCTGAGAGGAGCAGCGGGCGAGACAGGAGAGGGCTGCGGCTCCATGTGGGTAGCTCCCTGGCCGGGGATCGAACTCATGCTGCAGTGGCTGCTTATAGCTCCACAGTGCTGAGAATTAATCTCTTGCGCCACCAGGGAGGCCCTTTACATATTTCTTAATGATACTCAAAATAAGTGAAATATTACTCCTCTAACAGAGGCCTATTTTTCATATGATGCCAGTTTTACAGATGAGGACTGTGAGGCACAGCAGAAGAAAATTATCTAAGGTCATATGGCCAATAAGTGGCTGAGCCTGGCTTGTCTCCATCTAAAGCTTAAACATTTGGGGGCCTCTCTGGTGGCGCAAGGGGTAAGTCCCAGATCTATGAAGCTATCAGGCTAAGGAGCTGACTCATGTGGTGCAGCAGATCTCTCCTGTCTCGCCTGCTGCTTCCCTCAGCCGTGTATTTCAGTCATCTGCCTGTTCTGTTTCCCACTCTATCTCTGGTGAATCCTCTCAACTCCCTCAGCACCCCCAGACCTCTGGCTTGTAACCCAGTTCCTGTATGCATAAATAATCTTAAAAAAAAAATAAAGCCTAAACTTTTGGTACTACCATCTAAAACTGTTTCTCTGAGAAATATAATGTTATTCTTCTTCCCTTCATGTTAGTTTCAGTACTTGCTCTACATTTAAAAAAAAAAAAATCAAACATTTATACACTGAAAGAAAAAAAAAATTAAGATTGAAAAAATATTCCATGGAGATGGGAAAGAAATACTTTCAATAGCATGCAATCAATCCTAAGGTATAAAGGAAAAGGGTACATTCAATCGCAAAAATTAAAAAAAAAAAAAAATCACTCATGGCAGAAAATGCCATTAATAGAGTAAAAAAATTAGCTGGGGGAAAATATGCGCATCTCATACTGCCAAAGTTTCATTTCCTTAATGAAGTCCTATAAATTAGGGGGAAAAAGACAAAAAATATACAAAGGCCATAAAAAGATAGCTCATGGCAAATATAAATGATTCTTTAAAGAAAAAAAGATGGTTCATGTCTCATCTCAAAATAAGAGAATTCTAAAATAAAGCAATGATGCACATTTTTTTAGTGGAGCAATGTTAGTACAGCCATAATGTAAATTTTGATTACTGGCCTATTAAAAATTGTGACATAAATTTGTTGGGGCTTGGAGAGAAGGTAAATTTGTACAGACTTATGTAGGTGAGTAAAGTGTTTATTTACCATAGCATCAGAACCACCAGGTAACATCTAAACTGGTAAATCAAGGCATTGCAGTTATTGGCATTTTAATTAGAAATGTGTAGGTATATATCAGAAGAAATAGCAATAAGAATAGAGAGGAATTTCAATTGGGGAGCAGGACTACAGATTTTTCCTTTTACAGGCCTTTTCTAAAATGATTTTAATGCTTTTTTCAAACAATGTTCATAAATTTCTTTGATTTAAAAAAGGTTATTTAAAAGCAACAACTTACCTTGACTGCCATGAAAAGGTCTTTAAGTTGTGCAGTTTGTGCAGGTGAGAGCTATAAGCAAACAAAAAGTCAGAATTGAGATACTAGCGCTCCATCAGACAAGGGAGAACAGTCTTGTTTTAGCAGTCACATACCTGCAAAGCCAGAATAGAGATGATGCTCACTGCCATTGTTTGCATCTTGGGGTTTTCATGTTTACAGAGCCACCTCATGACAAACTTGGCAGCATCTAACCTGAAAAGCAGTTATTTTTTTTTTTTTTCACAATAAAGTCTGTGAAACTGTACTTGAGGAGAGAAGAAATCACTCAGCCTTGGACTTCTGAAGGTCAATTATGAAAACCCAAAGCATTTGGCAAAAAGAAGTGATCAGAAGAGGAACAGAGAACATGCAGATAAGAATGAGATCAAAATGCATGGGATTCAAAGAAAGATGCAAAGATATAGGAAAGACACTAATTTTTAAAATATTCAGCTTCCACTATAACAGGTCTGAAATTGGAAAGAAGTTCTCTAAGAAAGAGTAGTAAGAATGGTAGACAGTGCTAATATGCCACAGCATTTTATTAAATGGCACAGCTAAAATGCCCTGTAATAAGGGCAGTTGTTATTCAGCTCCTACTAAAGATTGCCTTGCAGAAGTGAAGACTGAATTGACAGATTTTCCAAGTTTGAAAGAGAAGGTGGAAATAACAGAATTTTTTTTAAAATGAGGAGGACCACCTTTATATTGTATTTTTAAAATACATTTTAAGTACACATTTCAATTCAATTTGTGTGGCATAGCCTATATCACTGCAGCCACAAACCAGAGGCTTTGTTGATGTGTCTGGGCTTACTTTTTAAGCTATTGTCAGTAACTATTATAAATGTTTCTGAACTCATGAATCTGGGAGATTACAAAGGACTTAAGAGAAATCCCTCTAGATTCTGGGATGATGATTTGCAAAAAGTACTACCGATGAAATAACAACAAAAAGAATGACTAATATTAGGAAGAGCCTGTACTTAAGTTAGGCATTATCCCATCTATTCCTCAATAGAGTCACTATCTTACAAGTGAGGAAACGTATAAAAATAATGAAAGGACTAGAACTCAAATCCAAGTATGTTTGACTATCTGGAGCCCATGTTCTCACCACCTACCTGCTCTAAAGAGTAATCACACTTTGGGAAACAATATTTGTAAGTAGGGTACTTCCAATAACCTCACTGTGAAAAAGGCACAACAGAGCATTTACCCCAAACACCTTATCCCAGCCTTAATCAGACTCTTGCTAAGCTAATAAACAAAAATAATGCTTAGAGTAACACTGATCAACACTCCATAATCAGATGACCAAGTTTTACACTTGCCTGTCAAATGGAACATCCACAAGAATCCTGGAATTGGTTAAGGAGAGAAGACAATTCTTCTGTAACTTTTAAGAAATAAAGAAAAATATTTTTGAGCAAATGTATACTTTATATTAAACAAAGGTTCTTCAAAGCAGTTGAAGGTGCTACCAATGAGTTTAGATGAGCAATAATTTATACTATACCTGCCCCTCTCCAAGTTCATTTCATCTAATAAACTGTCACATTCACCTTTGCCTAAAGAAGTCTCTTCTTTTTTGGGGGGGGGGGAGGGCAAAAAAGGGTCTCTTCCCCCTAAACTCCAGAAGGATCCAGAGTGGCCTGTCAGCCCAAATCAATACCTGAATCCTGGCCCATCTCCTGAATTACTAGATCTCATAACTAACTGATAGTGTTTCTACTTTTCTCCCTAAGATTTTTGGGGTCTGAAAGAATGCCTCCTGAGAAAGGTATTGGAATAGAAAAATATAGCTTCTCTTTGGAAGGCAATGTGTAGCCAGCATGAAGTAAGTGTAAGAGGCAGGGGCAGTAACAGACAAGTGAAAAGGTCTGAGTGAAACAATAAGGCCCTGGTAGGGATTATGGCAAACTAGAGAATTCATGGCCTGTTATAGGGCAATTACTACTGAGTTCAGTGTTGATTGCCATGCAGGAATTAAGGCTAAATTGGGAAGACTCTTCCAACTTTTCAAGAGAAAGAAAATGCAGATTTTTTTTTTAATGAAGAAAGATCATTATTGTGGGCCTCCCCGGTGGCGCAGCGGTTGAGCGCTGGGTTGTGAAGCTGCCCGCAGCCTCTGCAGCGCCGGTTCGATCCCCGGCTGCTCCCCGGCCACCGGAGGAGGGTCCCACATGGCACGCAGACCTCTCCTGCCGCCCGCTGCTCCCCTCAGCAGTGTACTTCGGTCCTTCTGCCTGCTCTGCTCCCTGCTCTGGCTCTGGTGAATTCTCTCACCCTCCCGCGCTTCTGACTGTACCCAGTGCATGTATAAGCAAAACAAACAAACAAACAAACAAATAAATAAAACATGCCTCTATTTAAAAAAAAAAAAAAGAAAGATCATTATTGTGCTATATTTCCAACCTCATTTAATTAAAAAAAAAATCAATTCACAGGAGGTTTGGAGGTAGAGCAATAGTAGAGGGGTTTCAGTGGACTCTGATGGAGGGCTTATGGGTAGTTTGGTGGTGGATGTGGTGCATTAGTATACATTTGAAGGAACCTGTATTCCCAAAACATAGTGTTGTAAATGAACGTTACCTCAAAAAAAAAAATCAATTCTCATTTTAAGTACACATTTCAATTACATAGACAAATGTATAAACCCACATAACTATCACCAGAAACGAAATAAAATGTCTTTCCATTACTCAAAAGAGTCCCATTGTGTCAAAATCAGCCTCAGAAAGCTAGGCATTTATAGAATTTTTTTTTCACATAAATGGAATCATACAGTATCTACTTTTTTGGGGTTTGGATTATTTTACTCAGCATATGCTTTGGAGTTTCACCTATGCTTCATGTATCAGTACATAACGCCTTTTCATTGCCAAATAGTATTTTCTTATATGAATATACAATTTATCTATTTACCTATTGCTGGACATTTGATATGCTATCAATTTTGGGGGACTATAAATAAAAATAGTATGAACATTCCTGTATAAGTCTATATGGATATATGCTTTAGGTTCTCTTTGGTAACTACCTAGGAGTGGAATGACTGGGTAGTACGAAAGGTAGGTCTAACTTTTTTTTTTAAGATTCATTTTATTTATTTATGCATACAAGAATGAGGTGTAGGCCAGAGGTGTGGGGTGTGAAAGGATTCACCAGATATAATGGGGAGCAGAACAGGTGAATCCACTGAAATACACTAGCATGGTGTTTTTTTTTTTAAAGATTTATTTATGCCCATAAGAATTGGGGTACAGGCCAGAGGTGCAGGAAGGTGAAAGGATTCACCAGAGACAGAGTGGGGAACAGAACAGGCAGATTGACTGAAAACCACTGCTGAGGAGAGCAGCGGGCGAGTCAGGAGAGGTCTGCTATGCCATGTGGGTTGCTCCCTGGCCGGCTGGGGATCGAAGTCGTGCCCCAGAGGCTTCCGGATAACTTCATAGTGCTATGTTTAACCCCTTGAGCCACCAGGGAGGCCCCTAGCATGGTAGTTTTAATTTGCATTTCCCTGAGGATTAAAGATCCTGAACATCTTTTCGTGTATTCATCATCTGAATATCTTCTTTGGAGACATTATCTGTTCAATTTTTTTTTTACGAACTTGGTTTATTTGGTGTAGGTTATTGAGTTAAAAGTGGATAGTCTGGATAAAAGCTCTTTGTCATATATATAAAATGAATATTTTCCCCAGTATGTGGTTTACCTTTTTCATTTTTTTTTTTGTTTGTCTTATTTATTTTTATGCAGAAGAACTGGGGTATAGGCCAGAGGTGCAGGGGGGTGAGAGGACTCACCAGAGACAGAGTAGAACAGGTGGATTCACTGAAATACACTGCTAAGGGGAGCAGCAGGTAACAAAGGAGAGGTCTACTGCACCATATGGGTTTGCTCCCTGGCTGGGGATTGAACTCAGGCCCCTTCACTATGGAGGGCCATTGTGGTGGTAGTCCTGAGACTTAACCCCTGGGAACAAGGGAGGCCCCTACCTTTTTTCATTTTTTAATGCTCTTCCTTGTGAGCAGATTTTCATTTTGATGAATTTTAACTTAGTATTTTTTAATTTTATTTTGTGTGCTTTTTTGCATCTTAAGAAACCTTTGCCTAATCTGATGTCCCAAATATTTAAGCCTATTTTTTTTCTAGGAGAGTTAAAGTTTTAGCTTTTGTATTTATATCTATTATTCAATTCAATATAGTTTTCACATATTTAAGTCTTTTTTTTTTTTTTTAATAGAGGCATGTTTTTATTTATTTATTTATTTGTTTGTTTGTTTGTTTATACATGCACTGGGTACAGTCAGAAGCGCGGGAGGGTGAGAGAATTCACCAGAGCCAGAGTGGGGAGCAGAGCAGGCAGAAGGACCGAAGTACACTGCTGAGGGGAGCAGCGGGCAGCAGGAGAGGTCTGCGTGCCATGTGGGACCCTCCTCCGGTGGCTGGGAAGCAGCTGGGGATTGAACCAGTGCCGCAGAGGCTGCGGGCAGCTTTGCAACCCAGCGCTCAACCATTGCGCCACCAGGGAGGCCCACATATATAAGTCTTATAGATTTATAATGTTAAGTCTTTGAGGACATACCAAAGTGTAGCAGAAGTTTTTTTTTTTTTTTAAAGATTTATTTATTTATGCATACAAAAGTTGGGGTACAGGCCAGAGATGCAGGGGGTGAGAAGATTCACCAGACACAGAGTAGGGAACAGAACAGGCAGACTGACTGAAATACACTGCTGAGGGGAGTAGCAGGCGAGACAGGAGAGGTCTGCTTCACCATATGGGTTGCTCCCTGGCTGGCCAGGGGATTGAATTCATGCTGCAGAGGCTTTTGGATAACTTCACAGTACGGTGCTTAACCCCTTGCGCCACCAGTAACTAGTTTGAACTAGTTTGAAAAAACAAAAATGTAAACCTTATTGCTCATTGCTATAATGTACATGAAGTTTTATCTATTGCCTCTCTTATTCTCTTTCTCTTTCAGGTAAGATGAGGAATCAGATCTAAATAACATATATTATTCATTTATTTGTCCAAAGTAAAAAGCATAGTCAAGTAGTCAATTCAAATTACCTGCTGATAATGGGGAAAATTTTTCAGAGCCTTGAAAAGTAAACAGGTAACTTCTGACAAGAGACGAACAGGCATTCCCCAGGCCAGGCCTTGGCGTGTTAAGTTGAGGGTGCAAGCACTGGCTGTGAATTGCAGTATCAAATCCAATGGATGATTCCTCATTCCTACAGCCACAAGCTGAAGATAAACTTGCTTTTAGTGTTAAATTGTTAGGGGGAAAAGGATGTCCTAAAGCTAATTCCATACAGGCTTTGTGGACGCCACCCCCCACTCCACACCAAACCCAAAAGACACTGGGAACTCCAAATCCCATCACCACCAAAGGGAAGGTTGCTGGGACCTGAGGGTGGGGTTAAGCAGCCAGGTTTGGTATAAAGCCAGACACGTGGGCTTTGGAGGGGATCCCCCATTTTGGCTCTCCGCCAGCTCGCAGCATTCGGACAGCTCGGAGAGTGCCTTTGGGTTTCCAGGTCAGCTGATTGGGTAGGACGCATTAAAGACTTTATTTCCCTATTTTCTCCCTGAGTTGTGCATTTCCTTAATTCCCTTTCCCTTGTAAATAAACCTTTTATTAACCTTTTTGTGTGTGCCTGTAGTGGAGTATTAATAAGTCCCTTTTAAGCATGTGGGTGAAGACCCACAGCCAGGCAACCCGTTTTTATATCGGGGTTGCCCTATAACAATTTGACAATATTAGCATTCTTTATACTGTCTTATTTTTGTGTTTGTTGTAAAAAATGTTTCAGAAAGTAACATTTTCCCTAACCACAGCATTATTTTTTAGTCCAAATGCAGCAATTAAAATAACAGGAGCTTCAAGCAAGTCAATTCCCTGATCTGGACCTCTGTTTCCTTATCTGTGTTTTTATAATCATTTATTGAATCTTACTCCATAGAAGACATAGTGACAGACACTGCAGCCACAAACATGAATCATAAAACCTTGTGAGAGAAATAAGGTATATTAAAAAAAAAAAAAAGTGCTGCTATGAACATAGGGGTGCAGGTGCCCTTTGGAATTACTGGGAAGCAACCCAAATGCCCAAAAATAGATGACTGGATCAAGAAGATGTGGTATATATACACAATGGACTATTACTCGCAATCAAAAAAGATAAACACATGCAGTTTGCAGCAACATGGATGGAGCCAGAAGGGATCATGCTCAGCAAAATAAGTCAGAAAGAAAAAGAAAAACACCAGATGGTCTCACTCATAGCAGGAATTTAGAAAACCTAAATAAGAGACCAGGAAAAAGACTAATCGATACAAAGTAAAAATCAAAATCAACAAGCAACTATAAACCAGAGACACACTACTGGGGTGGGGGGGGGCGGGAAAGGAAGGACTAGAGTCAAAATAAGGGGGGAGGTGCAATTGTATGGGGAATATAACCAAAATGAAAATGCATACATTGCGCAAAGATGAAAAAAGATGTAAGAATTATATAAAATAAAATATTTAAATAAAAAGTGAGGGATGTCAAAACATAAAGCTGAAAAAAAAAAAGCATAAAAAAAGAGGTATAAATAAAGTGCTGCCTAAAGTAGTTATGGAGGGAACAAAAGGGTTCTTTCAGAGAGCACAAAAGGCAGGCAGAGTTTCAGTATTCATTTTCAAAGGAGGTGGAATGGAGAGGGAGTTCTAAGGGAAGGGAACTGTGGTAAGGAAAAACACAAGAGTACCAAAGAATGGTATAAATCTACCAACAAAGGAAGATTTGGGAAAAAGGTTCTGAAAAGTAGCAAAACCTGACATCAGCAAGGTCATTAGGAGACAGACAGTAGAAGCCCTAGAACACAAAAAATGAAGGTGTCATAAACACAGACCACACCTGCTCTAACATTCAGGGACAATGTAATCTGTTTCCTTTATCAATTTGGGATAATCATCACTACCCACCTCAGTCTACTGATATTGATAAACCATGATTTTAAGAGCCCAGAGTCCCTCACTTTGAAAACCTCATGAACTCATAAAAGCCTAGGGACAGAGCTGGGACACATTAATGCTATTGAAAATGACTTTTCTGTAACATTAACCTCTTCTTAAGATTTCACTGGAATACTAAAATCTGCAATTTTTAAAATGGAGAAATCGAAAGAAACTTAATCTTCAAAAATCATTAAATCTTAGATACAAAAAGGATTTTTAAAACATCTAATTCAATCTCCTTATTAGGAAACAAAGGTCCAGAGTTTTTTCTCTATATAGTATTGTTTTAAAATCTTATCTCCCATGATACAGAAATATCCATATTTTTAAGGAACTGCAAAGAAATATAAATAATAAAGACAAGGTAACTTTCTTACTACACTTCAGTTTCATATTACATTTAAGTATTTGCAGTTTCCTTCCTGAACAACTTAATACTTCCAAAAACATTTAAAATAAATTCCTTCCATAAACCAATGCAAAGACTGGCCCTATCAATACCAGTAATTTTACTTTATTCACAAAATACTTTAAAATGGTAGAGTTGACCCACCTTCATTTATTATTTTTTCTGTTCTTGCTTGTATACTATTTGTTTGTTTGTTTTCAAAAAAACCAATGTCAGATTTTAAAGAGAAAAACAAATGCCTAAGTAAGCAAATACAAACACGAATAAATTGTATTCTACTCCTTAGCATAAAACTTTGTGAGAGGTAAGCTATGCAAACAAAACACTTGGTGAGGAATGTCAAAACATGAAACTGAAAAAAGCATCATAAAAGAGGTGTAAAGTGCTGCCTAAGATAATTAGGGCACAGCGAATGTTCTGTTTTAGGGAAAATAGTGCAATGGTACACTATCCCCTTCTCAGAACAAATTCTAAAAAAATGGATGAGTCAAGTCTATTACATGTAGATTCAGAGCCTTAAAACAAGTTTTTTTCCTTTTTCTATGAGATACTCTGACTCACATAAATAAAGGCATAAAAGCTAACTGTTATTGTATTCAATGTGTATGGTGAACAACTTTAATTGAACCAGTTAAGAATAATTAAAAGCTAACTTTCTAGGGTATAATTACCTTTAAAATAGCAGGCCTGGTTACTTGCATCGAAAATGTCTCTGTTAAGAGCCTACAAAGGGCTTCCTTCATAAAACATGATCTATTCCTATATCGATTCAATGCTTCTGAAATCTGACTCATATTGGCTCCTCCAGCAACCTGAAAAATAAAAGATGTTACCAAAAGGTTTCATGGGTCATCTTTGGGCACAGGCTTTTAGGGGTATCAAGGGTTTCTAACAATATTAGATGTTTAAGGAAATGCCCCATGGGCTTTACTATGTTAGACTCATTCCACCATAATTTTAATAGGTAAATGTTCTCCCCAATCTCATTTTTACAGATAGGTTCAGAGCGACAAACTGCTGTTAAATGCAATAAAACAAATAAGTGGTTACACTCAAATATCCTTTCCCTATATCTATATAGTTAAGTTATAGTATAGTTATAGTATAGTTATAGTTAAGTTATACTATAATATAGTATAGTTATAGATAAGACCGCAAATGAATAATGAACAGCATGTAAATTTTCAAAACAACCAATAACCATGAATGCATGTACCTTCTAAGTACTCATATAGGAGAATTGAGACAGAAAAAAATCACATAAATTAACTAAAAAAAGCTGACTCTTTGTTAGTAGTGTTCTTTTTACTTAATTTATTTCTTATTAATACAACTCTTCCTTACTACCACTAATATAGTGATTTCAAATAACCTATATATAGACTTTGGATCTAGAAGATAATGATACCCACCTGATACAACCATAAAATCAACAAGGAAAATGTAAATAAAACTAGATATGACCCAATTTTCAGCATTCTTAGGAAGTGAAGGAAAAGAAGGAAATAAAGGGGGGAGATAAGGAACTTGCAAAGTGAAAAAAAAAAAAAGATTGATGAAAAGAGAACAGACTTAAAGAGATCTGTGGGATACCAGCAGAAAAAAGAAGACTGTTTGATAACTTACCGAATACAACGAAAGATATGAATATAAACATCTAAGAAACTCAAGGAACTCTAAGCAAGATGAATTAAAGGAGACTCACACCAAGACTAATCATCATCAAAATTTTCAAAGCTCAAAGACAGAATTTTGAAAGCAGCAAGAGATAAGCAAATGACTACAAACAAGGTATCCTCAATAGGATTATTTATGACTCTTATAATAATACTGGGTAGCAGCAGTGAGACGCTTTTCATGATAAAAACACCCAACAAACTGGGAATAGCATACTTGCATAAAGAGAGACATAAAGACCAGCAGAACAGGGCCTCCCTGGAGGCACAGGTGGTAGAGTGCTGCACTGTGAAACTGTCCGCAGCCTCTGCAGCGCAGGTCTGATACCAGCCGGGGAGAATCCCACATGGCGAAGCAGACCTCTCCTATCTCGCCTGCTGCTCCCCCTCAGCAGTGTATTTTGTCAGTCTGCCTGATGGTATCTGTATACCCATGTTCATAGCAATATTATTTACGGTAACTAAAACATGTAAGCATCCCAAGTGACCATTGTCGATAACTGGATAAGCAAAATGTGACACATATAATGGGAATATAATTTAGTCTTATAAAGAAAGGCGCCTTGAGGATTGCTAAATAAAATGAGACAATCACAGAAAAATACAAATATATGATTCCACATAAGGTACTCAGAGTAGTCAAGATCAGAGACATAAAGTAGAATGGTTGTTGCCCGGGCTAAAGAGAGGGATGAAAAGAGTAGACATAAAGTACTAACTTTACAAGATGAAGGGAGATGTGAAGATGGATAGTGGCAATAGCCACATTAACATGTCTGCATTTAACACCACTGAACTACAGATTTAAAAAGATATAAGTCCTAGCTCTACCATTTATTAAGTCCCATGACTGCAGTGTGTACCTTAATCTCCTTGGGCTTCCTAAAATGGGAGGACTAAAGCAGAAAACAATATGCACAGCATGGCATCTGACACACATGAGGTAAGGTCAAGTGGCTGTATTTATCATTAATAAGCTAGAATAGAAGATTTGGAGCCAGTACTGTAACTAAAGGTTTTATTTCTACTACCTACCACAGAGTAAGTACATAGTAATTACTAAGTTCTCTCTATCTTCTCTTTCTCAATCTATCTCTTTCTCTAAAACCTAGTACTGATTCTGATACTCAGCAAAAACTTAATAATATTCTAAACAAATGTAATGAATTTATTTTAGTTAAGAACAAACCCTTGGGCCTCCCCTGTGGCGCAGCGGTTGAGCGCTGGGTTGTGAAGCTGCCCACAGCCTCTGCAGCACCAGTTCGATCCCCGGCTGCTCCCCGGCCACCGGAGGAGGGTCCCGCATGGCGCACAGACCTCTCCAGCTGCCCGCTGCTCCCCTCAGCGGTGTACTTCGGTCCTTCTGCCTGATCTGCTCCCTGCTCTGGCTCTGGTGAATTCTCTCGCCCTCCCTCGCTTCTGACTGTACCCAGTGCTTGTATAAATGAATAAATCTTAAAAAAAAAAAGAACAAACCCTCAAGTGGGCCTCCCTGGTGGCGCAGGGAGTCAACACGCAACCTATGAAGCTATCCCCGGCCAGGGAGCAATCCACATGGCGCAGCAGACCTCTCCTGATTCACCTGCTGCTCTCCTCAGCAGTGTATTTCACTCTGTCTGTTCTGCTCCCCACTCTGTCTCTGATGAATCCTCCTCTCACCCCCACACCTCTGGCCCATACCCCAGTTCTTGTACAAATAAATAAATCTTTAAAAAAAAAAAAAAAAAAAAAAACAAACCCTCAAGCCTTGCTTGGTAGTAAAGAAGTCTGAATAGCCAGCATCCGTAGCCAATAGTCCCACAAACTGCATGGCAGGTCGTTGTTGGATGAACAGTTCTACGGCTCCATCGGTGATATTGATACCACCCGAAATATCCAGTGACACAATATTAGGCAGAATATCCTTCTGTTGTAGCAAATGAAAAGCTAGGTCTGATTTGAGGTGCCTGTGATCAGAAACATCAAGATGAAGCAGACATTTAAGTTCTCTAATGACAGCGAGGACTTGTGGTTTAGTCATGGCCAGGCATTTCAGATAATGCATTGTGAGAGATTTGAGTCGATTCTTACAGTTAATGAGTGCAGATATGTTGGTAACCAGAGTATTGGAGATATCCAAACTTTCTAGTCTCGGTAACTGAGAAACATTAGCTAGGTCTTCACTACGAAAACAAACGTTGAAAACACTTAAAACGCGAAGACCAGTGAGCTGACCAAGGAACAATAGTCTTGAATCTTGAGGGCTGCTCACTGAGTCCAGAAATAGACATTGGAGGTTTTGTTGGAGCCAACTATTGCTGCAGAGTCCACTTAGGATGTCTGGGATTGGGAGGTCATTGTGTACTGCAGTAGCATCCAGTTCAGTAAACTTGTGATGACAGAAGGCTTTTATAAATGTAGCTGTACAGATTTTAGCTTTCTGAATGTTAACCAGCTTCAGTTTCATCTGGCTGCCTTGGAAAATTCTTGCTGTTCTATCAGTTAGTTTACCTATAAGAGAACCAGAACCAGCTTGTAATAACAACCTATATCCATGCCTTTCCAGGAGGTAATGTGGCCAAAGGCTAATAACAACATTCACTGCTTACTCTGTGCCAATCATTGTACTCAGACTATCTCATTTACTTTTTGCTATCATTACTATCAAAGAATGATTATACTGTTGCATGGCTAAGAAAACCAAAGTTTTCAGAAGTAACTTGTTCAAGATTAAACTATCATGGCACAGGGGTTAAGTCTCAGCGCTATCAAATTATCGCCAGCCACTATGGCATGATATGATCATGGCCAGGGAGCCTAAATGGCGCAGCAGATCTCGCCTGTCTCACCAGCTGCTCTCCTCAGCAGTATATTTCAGTAGATCTGCCTGTTCTGCTCCCCACTCTGCCTCTGGTGAATCCTCTCACACCCCCCAAATCTGGCCTATACCTCAATTCTTGTATGTATAAATAAATTTTAAAAATTTTAAGTTTTTTCTTAAAAATCAAACTATGTGGCAGAACCAAGAATCAAAGTCAGTTTGACTGTGTAGAGCTCCCACTTCTATCCATAGTAACCTTGTTCACAGAAAAAACAAAATAAAATATGTATAAGTACAGGACATACAACATGCAAATAATACTACTAATGATTATTTTTAACCAAATTAGTGGACAAGCTTGACAAGCCACTTACCTCTGGGACTTATTTTCCTTATCTATGAAATGAGTAGATTCTTTAAGATTTCATTTAGGAAAAATTTCCTAAGTGTCTTCTAAGTATGAGATCCTGTATTATGTAAATGGGCACACAAGATAACTAGACACCCATGACCACAGGCAGATTATTCAGTCTAGGAAGGTACATCAGGTAAATAAATGATACCTATAGCAGTGTTATTACTTACAATCGTGATTCATACCAAACACTGAATTAGTACAGATAAGATTAGCTTTGGGTAAGGCTTTGCTAAGAGGGGAAGTAGAAGGTAGAAAAACATGTGAAAGGCATGGAGGCCCAGAATAGCAGATTATTCAAAATGAATTCCATGGAAGTTAAAAAAAAAAAGTAATACTCTGAAAACTCTATGCCCATAAATATAACCTAAAGGAACAGGCTAATTCCTTGAAAGACATAATCTGACAAATCTCACAAAAGAAACAAATGATCTGAACAGGCCTCTCTATCAAAGAAACAGAATCAGTAATTATAACCTTCCAAAATAAACCAACACATCAATCACAAATGGGTTCTCTGCTGAATTCTACCAAAAACTTAAGGAAGAAATTATAGCAATTCTCTGCAAGCACAGACATTAGAAGCAGAGAAAATACTTTCTAATTCATTCTATGAAGCCAGCATTATACTAAGACTAAAATCAAACAGACATTAGATCAGTGTTAAATAAACTAAAATATATCCCATGGTCATGAATTAACAATTTCAAATTACTGAGAGAGCAAAACACTGGTGAAAATAATTAAAGGTGATTTACATAATACAAAGACATCATGCACATAGATCAAAAGACTTAAAACTGTTAAGAGGGGCAATATTCCTCTAATTGATAAACACTCTATGCAAACCCTATTCAAATACCAGCTGGCTTCTATTTAGAAATTGACAAGCCGAGGAGGAAAACATGAAGTGTATGTAGAAGTGCTTTTCAAATACTAAAGTATTATAACAGTATATTACAGAAGAATCTTAATTACCTTGCCAAGTCATCACCCTTAGGAATCGATCAGCTACTTCCTGAGGGAAACTCCAATGCTCTGGAAAACCCAGAGTTCCATCAGATCTTTCAGAACATAACTTCTCCAAGTTAGCAACCAAGACATTCAGGCAGATGTTGACCAAAGAATGGGGAGATGATTCCTCCTAGCAAACAAACCCCAAACTTTATTAGACTACATTTGCAAAAATTCAACATAAAGTCATACCACACATCAGGTTAGTTGATGAAGGATCTAATGATTTATACATGTAATGAAATCACCTTATTCCAACTGTTAACTGAATGGAAGATTTTATCGGTTATAGTTTCTGTTGTATCTTAAAGGGAAAAAGTTTTCAAAGTCCTTCAACTTGTCCTCTGTTCTGTGCAGCCATTGAAAATACAGAGATGGGGCCTCTCCTGGTGGTGCAGCGGTTGAGCCCCGGGCTGCGAAGCTGTCCGCAGGCTCTGCAGTGCAGGCTCTGCAGTGTCGGTTCGATGCCCAGCCACCCGCGAAGGTCGCACGTGCCACAACAGGCCTCTCCTGCCGCACCTGCTGCTCCCCTCATCAGTGTATTTTGTCACTCTGCCTGTTCTGTTCCCAGCTCTGGCTCTGGTGAATTCTCTCACTCTCCCGCGCTTCTGACTATACCCATTGCTTGTATAAATAAATAAATAAATAAATAAATCTTTTAAAAAAAAAAAAAAACAGAGATGATTAAGACACAGTTCTAATCCTTTTAGAGCTAACAGTTTAGTAGGAAACATAACCAAGAAATGTGACAATTTCAATACAACTGGTGGGATAACTTAAAGTAGATCACGTGTTCATTCATTCAGTGACTACGATGTGTGCCAGAGGATAAGGTCTGTTGATTCCTATCTTCAAAAATGTTCACAACTTAAAAGAGTTGCCATACCCAACCTAGAGTGTTGCACAAGAACAGACAGAAAAGTGAGAGAATAAAGGCATATGATCCCTTTCTCCTTTAAGATATAGTGGCAGGGCCTCCCTGGTGGTGCCACGGGTAGAGTCTCAGCACTATTAAGCTATTGCCAGCCACTGTTGCTTGAGTTCCATCCCCAGCCAGGGAGCTAATCACATGGCACAGCAGACCTCTCCTGTCTCACCCACTGCTCCCCTCAGCAGTGTTTTTCAGTAGATCCACCTGTTCTGCTCCCCACTCTGTCTCTAGTGAATCCACTCACCACCCCTACCCCACCTCTGGCCTACACCCCAGCTCTTGTATGCAAAAATAAATAAATCTTTAAAAAATAATAAAAAATAAATCTTAAAAAAAAAAGATAGTAACATTACTTCCACAAATATTTGACAGGCAAGGCACTGTACTAGACATGAATAGTGTGATAAGCCAAACAGATTACCACCTTTGAAGTAATAATTCATTCACTTCCACTCTACTTTCAACAGATTAATTTCCATCAACGATCCAAAGTATAAATTATTCCCTTACAAATATCATCAACTCCTGTTTCCTTTCTATTACACTCTGCAGACAAAACTCCATTCCAGGAATAACTATCCACCATTATAATGGCAATACCCAGCAGCTAACCTTCAGTGGAGAGGGGGAAGACTCATGGAAAAGTCACAGTCATTGACTTACAATGAGTCCTTAGTAGCTGAACATCCTATATGGCCTCTTCAGACAGGGGATTCTTCCACAATCTGTCAAGAATTATTTCATGCCTTCTATTTGTTCCTCAAACCTTGACTCATTTCACTAAGAAAAATGAAGTCATCTCTCAATCAAATTTAGCTAGAAACTTCACCTTTTGCCAATTTCCCTTTTACATGAAAAAAGTGTACCGCCTTGCAAACATTTCCAGATGTGCTGGTTGAATTCCATACTTCTGGCCTTGGTTCCTCCTGTTATTTCTTCATTCATACACCTTCAAACTCTCCTCCTCAATTGGATCATTTTCATAAACATACAACTTATGCCCTGTGTTGTTTGCCTCTCCATTATCTTCTTCAATTATTCCTCTTTAAAAAAAAAAATTTTTTATGCACAGAACTGGGGTGTAGGTCAGAGGCGCAGGGGTGAGAAGATTCACCAGAGACAGAGTGGGGAGCAGAACAGACCAATTTACTGAAATACACTTCTGATGGGAGTAGTGAGCAAGACAGGAGAGGCCTGTTGCAGCATATGCGGGCCAGCTCCTGTGGAGAATCGAACTCAGGCCATAGCAGTGACAGTGCAGAGACACTGAGACTAAACTCCTATGTCAACAGGGAGGCCCTAAGTTATTCCTCTTCATACTCAAATTTTGCCAATCAGTTTATTCTAGAAAGCTAAAAATCACTTCTCTCTTATTCATTTTTTATTTGTTTTAAATAAGGTATAAATTACATACAGCTACCCACAAAAATTACCTTTTGGTATACAGTTCTATTGAGTTTTCTTTCTTTTTTTTTAAAAAAGATTTATTTATTTATTTATTTATTTATTTATTTATTTATTTATTTATTTATACAAGCACTGGGTACAGTCAGAAGCACAGGAGGGTGAGAGAATTCACTAGAGCCAGAGTGGGGAGCAGATCAGGCAGAAGGACCGAAGTACACTGCTAAGGGGAGCAGCGGGCGTGGCAGGAGAGGTCTGCGGGCCATGTGGGACCCTCGCCAGCGGCCAGGGATCAAACCAGGGCTGCAGAGGCTGCAGGCAGCTTCCGCAGCCCAGCACTCAACCACTGCACCACTGGGGAGGCCCCAGTACTACTGAGTTTTGATGAATAGATACAACCATGTACCAACACAATTACAGAGAAGTGTTCCATCACCCCAAAATTCCCTTCTGACACTTTATAAACAAACCCTCCAATCCATCACAAGCACTACTTACCTGGATTCTGTCCCCAGAGTTCTCTGTCTTTTTCAAAATATTATTTAAATAGAATCAACACAATACAGAGGTCATTTCGATCTGATTTCATTCTATATGGTGCACTGTGGCTGACTCAAGTTTTTTTTTCTATAATTCATTCCTTTTTTATCACTATGAAGTATTCCATTGCATGAATGGACCACGATTCCTTTTTTTTAATAATTTTTATCTTTTTTTATTAATGTGATTTATCACATTTATTTTTTTTTTGTAAAGATTTGTTTATTTGTTTATGCATACATACAAACAAGCACTGGGTACAGTCAGAAGCGCGGGAGGGTGAGAGAATTCACCAGAGCCAGAGCAGGGAGCAGAGCAGGCAGAAGGACCGAAGTACACTGCTGAGGGGAGCAGCGGGCGGCAGGAGAGGTCTGCGCGCCATGTGGGACCCTCCTCCGGTGGCCGGGGAGCAGCCGGGGATCGAACCGGTGCTGCAGAGGCTGCGGGCAGCTTCGCAACCCAGCGCTCAACCGCTGCGCCACCGGGGAGGCCCACATTTATTTTTTTTAAGATTTATTCATGCATACAAGTACCGGGGTATAGGCCAGATGTACAGGAGGGTGAAAGGATTCACCAGAGACAGAGCAGGAAACAGAACAGGCTTACTGAGTGAAATACACTGCTGAAGGGAGCAGTGGCCGAGACAGGAGAGGCCTGCCACATCATCTTGTGGTATCTCCCCGGCAGGCCAGGGGCTGCGGACAGCTTCACAGCACTGCGCTCAACGGCCTGTGCCACCAGGGGAGGCCCCACAATTCTTTTTTTAAAATTTATTTTTAGGGCCTCCCTGGTGGCTCAAGGGATGCAACCTATGAAGCTGACCCCAGCCATCACAGCACAGGTTCGATCCCTGGCCAGCCAGGGAGCAACCCACATGGCGAAGCAGACCTCTCCTGTCTCACCCGCTGCTCCCCTCAGCAATGTATTTCACTCAGTCTGCCTGTTTTGCTCCCCACTCTGTTTCTGGCGAATCCTCTCACCCCCCCCCACCTCTGGCCTGTACCCCAGTTTTTATATGCATAAATAAATCTTTTTTTTTTTTTTTTAAAAAAAAAAGGGCCTCCCCAGTGGCGCAGCGGTTGAGCGCTGGGTCGTGAAGCTGCCCGCAGCCTCTGCAGCACCGGTTCGATCCCCGGCTGCTCCCCGGCCACCGGAGGAGGGTCCCACATGGCGCGCAGACCTCTCCTGCCGCCCGCTGCTCCCCTCAGCAGTGTACTTCGGTCCTTCTGCCTGCTCTGCTCCTCTCTCTGGCTCTGGTGAATTCTCTCACCCTCCCGCACTTCTGACTGTACCCAGTGCTTGTATAAATAAAAAATAAATAAATAAACAAACAAATAAATAAATCTTTAAAAAAAAAACACATGAGGGCCTCCCCTGGTGGCGCAGCGGTTGAGCGCTGGGTTGTGAAGCTGCCCGCAGCCTCTGCAGCGCCAATTGATCCCCTGCCACCGGCGAGGGTCCCACAAAAAAAAAAAAAAAAAAAAATGAAAGTTTCAATAGGGGCCTTCCTGGTGGCACAAGGGGTTAAGCACAGCACTGTGAAGCCCAGCCCACAAAGGAGTTACTGACATGGCGCTGCAGACCTCTCCTGTCTCCCCCGCTGCTCCCCTCAGCAGTGTATTTCAGTAGATCCTCCTGTTCTGCCCCCCCACTCTGTCTCTGCTGAATCCTCTCAACCCCCACACCTCTGACCTACACCCCAGTTCTTGTATGCATAAATAAATCTTTTTAAAAAGTGAATACAGAAGTACAGGCTAGATCTTTACAGGACACAAAAAAGTCTTTAGTCTTTAGTATGTAAAGCACAAACTCAATCACAATACTGGCCGTTACTCCGTTTTAAGCATTCAGCATATTTTGGATCCCCAGCGGATGGCCCTCAAATGTTGTATAAAGTAAAGTCTGACAACATTTGATGTGACGAGCAAACCAACCAAGCGTTTCCAACTTCCGGACACAACAAACCTAAAATGGAGACTACCAAGGCCTACGAAAGAGACTACCCGGAGTGCTTTAAAAATGCAACACTTGGGCCTCCCTGGTGGTGCAAGGGGTTAAGACACAATCTATGAAGCTATCCACAGTCACTGCAGCACAAATTCAATCCCCAGCAGGGAGCAACCCACATGGCGCAGCAGACCTCTCCTGGCTCCCCCGCTGCTCCCCTCAGCAGTGTATTTCAGTCAGCCTGCCTGTTCTATTCCCTGCTCTGTCTCTGGTGAATCTCCACCCCTCCCCCCCCACACACACACCTCTGGCCTGTACCCCAGCTCTTGTATGCATAAATAAGTAAATCTTTTTAAAAAATGCAACACTTTATACACAGCAGGCGCCAAATACACACTCTTTTGACTTGCTCGGCTCAGCGTTCAGTAATAACAGGCATTCGGGGAATTCAAAAATAAAGTAAAGAAACGCGTGAAATTGAAGGAATTTCGGTGCGGGGCTCCAGTTCCCCACTGGGCTCAGGTAGTAGGAGTCGCGGGCGCACAGCCTCTGGGGGATACCGTGTGCACAACCCACGTGGAAGCACGGTCGAGGTTTGGGGGTTCATGGCAACCCTAAACGCCAACGCCTACTACAGGCCAGGCGTAGCGTCGAGGCCAGCACTTAACGCCTAACTGCACGCCAGCCTCCAGCAAGCACAGGCGCCAGCGGAGACCCAAGGAGCAGGTGGACCGCGGTGACGCGGGGCGGGCCTCGGCCCTCGAGGCCCGTCTCCTCAGGTGCGCATGGCCAGCGCTCTGGACCCCGAAGGCTGAGAAAACCCCCCCTCAGTTCCCGGGCGAAGGCGAGCGGGGCTCAGCCTCGTCAGATTTCAGCCTCGCGCGGCCCAAACTAAGCAACAAGTGCCTCCGCGGGGCCCCAGACGACCCGCCGCGCTCGGCAGGGGCGGACGCCCCCGCGAGGCCCGCGTGCCCGCGCCGCCCGCCCGGCGCTCACCTGCACCACGCAGCGGCTCAGAGCATCCCTGTGGGCGTCAGGAGTGATGACGAGACGGGGCGTGAGGCCCGGGTGTAAGAAGTGAACCATGGCGACCCCGGCGCCGGGCGTCGAGGAGAGAACGGACGTCGAGCCGGGGCTCGGGTCCCGCGAGAAATGGAGCGGGGTCGCGCCGACAGGCAGCTGAGGAGCGCCGGCTCCGCGGGCAGCGCACGCACAGATCCCGCCTCTCCGGCCCCAGCGCAAGGGTATTTGAAAAGCCCGGCGTGGCGACGCACACGCCCCGCCCCCGGGGGCGGGGCCGCTGGAGGACACGCCCTCCAGGCCCGCCCTAAGGCCGCGGGCGCCGATCACGACGCATCTTAGCGCCACAGTGATGGCACCCACAGGCTGCGAGCCCAATTTTAGGTCACTCACTGTGTTATAGGACAGGGAGAGGGGTAGCCCAAGCCCCGCAAACCTGCCTATTCTAAATGGGTTCTGCCATCCGCCGCATCAACACAAAACATATGAGACTTTAATGGGAAGGAACTTTAATAAAACTAGGAAACAGGGCCTCCCTGGTGGCGCAGCGGTTGAGCGCTGGGTTGCGAAGCTGCCCACAGCCTCTGCAGCGCCAGTTCTATCCCCGGCTGCTCCCCGGCCACCGGAGGAGGGTCCCGCACGGTGCGCAGACCTCTCCTGCCGCCCGCTGCTCCCCTCAGCAGTGTACTTCGGTCCTTCTGCCTGCTCTGCCCGCCCCCCCCGGCCACCCGCTCTGGCTCTGGTGAATTCTCTCATCCTCCCGCGCTTCTGACTGTACCCAGTGCTTAAATAAATAAATATTTTAAAAATAAAAATAAAAAATAAAACTAGGAAACAATACAGGTAAGGCAAAGAGTCTAGTTTCTAAATGAAGCACCCAAAGTTACCCGTCCCCTCGTGGGTAAAAGTCCATCCATATGGGATTGGCCCAGAACAAGGCCCCAAAGCCTGCCACAAGTCTAAAGCATCTTCCTGTGGGGACCCACAGAAAAGGGTCAGAAACAACCAGACAAGCCCGGAAGCAAAAGAGCAAAATCAACATCAAGATAAAAGCTGCCGGGCCTCCCCGGTGGCGCAGCGGTAGAGCGCTGGGTTGCGAAGCTGCCCGCAGCCCCTATGGCGCCGGTTCGATTCCCGGCTGCTCCCCGGCCACTGGAGGAGGGTCCCACATGGTGCGCAGACCTCTCCTGCCACCCGCTGCTCCCCTCAGCAGTGTACTTCGGTCCTTCTGCCTGTTCTGCTCCCCGCTCTGGCTCTGGTGAATTCTCTCACCCTCCCGCGCTTCTGACTGTACCCAGTGCATGTATAAACAAAAACAAATGAACAAACAAATAAATAAATAAAAACATGCCTCTATTAAAAAAAAAAAAAAAAAAAAGATAAAAGCTGCCATTGTCACCTCCCCATGGGTCTCACCCACGTCTGTGTCACCCAGTCCACAACCCAAAGACAAGTGCAGTTTCTTCACGTGTCTCTAGGCTCCATGCGCCTCCTCCAGGTCTCCTGGCTCCATCCTGCTTCCTTCCTTCCTCAGTCTCTTCTGCAGCTTCTCCTCTTCCTGCTCAGCTCCACCCTTCCTTGGGTGGGGCAGGGAACCTGGAACCTCCCCCTTTCCTGGGGACCACCCTTTTACAACTGGACTCCAACACCCTCTTGCTTGACCGGCCTGCCCAACCCCACGCCCCAGGGATAGATACCACCTTCCTTGTCGCCCCGCAGTGGCATTCAGCGGACCAAGTCTGTGAATTTGGGGAATGGATCGTGTATTTTTTTTGTAAATATTTATTATACATATAAGAACTGGGATATAAGCCAGAGGTGCAGGGGTGAGAGGATTCACCAGAAACTGGAGAGCAGAACAGATTGATCTACTGAGATACACTGCTGAGGGGAGCAGCGGGCGAGCAAGGAGAGGTCCGCTTCGCCATTGTGGGTTGCTCCCTGGCCGGGGATTGAACTTGTGCTGCAGAGGCTGCGGTTTGCTTCATTTTGTGGTGCTTAACCCCTTGCGCCACCAGGGAGGCCCCTGGATCGTGTATTTTTAACACTTCCAATTTTGAAGAATTTTTCTCCTAAAAATCTGGCAACAGCACCTCTGTTCATCTTCTGTAGACATTAGATGAATTAAATATCAACACCACTACTGACCTCATAAATTCACAAAATGAACTATCAACTTCCTGTGACCTGAAAAGTGCCAAGGAAACCCTTATAGCGAGCTCCAAGGAAAACTTCCCGAGAGTGTGGAAAAAGCATGCTTTAGGTCTTGAAAAAGGTTAGTTAAGCCTATGAACCCTGGATTTGTAACTTTATTTTTTTCAAGATTTATTTATTCATGTATACAAGAACCGGGGTACAGGCCAGATGTGAGCATACAAGAACCAGGGCACAGGCCAGGTGCGCGGGAGGGTGAGAGCATTCACCAGAGACAGAGTGGGGAGCAGAACAGGCAGACTGACTGAAATACACTGCTGAGGGTCGCAGTGGGCGAGGCAGGAGAGGTCTGCCACTCCATGTGGGATTCTCACTGGCCGCTGGGGATGGAACCCACACTGCAGAGGCTGTAGACAGCTTCACAGCACTGCGCTCAACCGCTTGTGCCACCAGGGGAGGCCCTGAACCCTGGATTTGAGTCCTCAATTGGCCTCCCCACTCAGTCATCAATTAACTTGTGAACCTTAATGCACGTCTTAAATTCTCTGAAGCTAAACTTCCTTTTCAGAAAAGGCAGTGGGAATGCTTTATCTCACAAGGTTATTATATGGATTAAAGAAGATAATGTTATGTAAAACATCACAATGCTTGCCCACTGGCAAGTCCTTAATAAGTGGATTCAAATGTTAAAATTCGTTTCCAGTACAAGTGACTTTGCAAAATGCCCTCCTTTCCTATTTATTTTTTTTAAAGATTTATTTATTTATGCATACAAGAGCTGGGGTACAGGCCAGAGGTGTGGGGGGGTGGGAGGATTCACCAGAGACAGAGTGGGAAACAGAACAGGCATATTGACCAAAGTACACTGCTGAGGGGAGCAGCAGGTGAGGATGGGTCAGGAGATGTCTGCTGTGTCGAATTGTTAGGGGAAAAAGGCTGTCCCAAAGCTAATTCCATACAGGCTTTGTGGACTCCACCCCCACCCCAGTGTTAGGGGGAAAAGGCTGCCCCAAAGCAAATTCCATACAGGCTTTGTGGACTCCACCCCCACCCCAGGCCAAAGCCAAAGACACTGGGAACTCTACATCCCATCACCACCCAAGGGAAGGTGGCTGGGACCTGAGGGTGGGGTTAAGCAGCCAGGTGGATACAAAAGGCAGACATGTGGGCTTTGGGGCTCTCTCCATTTTGGGGCCCTCGGCCAGCTCGCGGCGTCCGTCTAGCTCTGAGAGTGACTTTGGGTTTCCAGGTCGTCGGATCGGGTAGGACGCATTAAAGACTTTATTTCCCTATTTTCTCCCTGAGTTGTACATTTTCCTTATTTCTTTTTCTCTTGTAAATAAACCTTTTATTAACCCTTTTGCGTGTGTCTGTAGTAGAGTATTCATAAGTCCCTTTAAAGCGCGCGGGTGAGGACCCACAGCCAGGAACCCGTTTAATATCGGGGTTGCTCTATAACAATATGGGTTGCTCCTTGTCGGGCCAGGGGGTCAAACTCATGCTGCAGTGGCTGTGGTTATCTTCATAGGTTGTGTCTTAACTCCTTGTGCCTCTAGGGAGGCCCCCTTTCATATTTATTTTCACTTAATCGTCACTTGAAAAAAAAATCCTGGATGGTAGCCATCATCCCCATTTTACCTGTAAAGAAACTACATCTGAGAGGTTTACAAGCAGGCTAAATTTTAACGACTATATGAGAAGGAAACCTGGGAGTCAAGTTTTCTAATTCCAACTTCTATTAATATTCCTTTTCCTTAAAAAAAAAAGGAAAAGAAAAGAAATATTTATTTGCGGCCTCCTTGGTGGCTCAAGGGGTTAAGACGCAGCACTATGAAGCTGTCCGCAGCCACTGCAGCAAGAGTTCGAGCCCAGGCCGGGGAAATGACCCACAAGGTGCAGCATACCTCTCCTGGCTCACCCACTGCTCCCCTCAGCAGTGTATCTCAGTGAATCCAGGTGAGGGGTGTGAGAGGATTCACCAGAGACAGAGTGGGGAACAGAACAGGCAGACTGACTTGAGATGCACTGCTGAGGGGAGCAGCGGGCAAGCCAGGAGAGGTTTGCTGCACCATGTGGGTCACCTCCCTGGTGGGGGATTGTACTCATGTTGCTGTGGCTGTGTCACCAGGGAGGCCCCCATTATCTTTTCTACTCTTTACAGCAAAATGCTCACAAGTGTGATCAATAGTTGCTGTCTCCAGTATTTCTCCCACCTTCTTGTGTTTCACCTCTGCCATTCCACTAAACCATTTTGTCAACTTACAAGTTGCTAAAATCAAAGTCCATTTGCCATTTCTCATCTTATTTAAATGTTCACCAGCATTTGAGCATTGAGTATATTTCTCTGCCAAATCCTTCTGTTACAGGGCAGGGAGAGGGGCAGCCCAAACCCTGCAAACCTGCCTATTCTAAATGGGTTCTGCCATCCACCACATCAACACAAAACATATGAGACTTTAATGGGAAGGAACTTTAATACAACTAGGAAACAATATAAGAAAGGCAAAGAATCTAGTTTCTAAACCAAGCACCCAAAGTTACCCGTCCCCCCTCGTGGGTAAATCTCCATTCAAATGGAATTGGCCCAGAGCAAGGCCCCAAAGCCTGCCACAAGTCTAAAGCATCTTCCAGTGGGGACCCACAGAAAAGGGTCAGAAACAACCAGACAAGCCCAGAAGGAAAACAGCAAAATCAAAATCAAGATAAAAGCTGGCATTGACACCTTCCCACAGGTCTCTCACCCACATCTGTGTCACCCAGTCCACGACCAAAAGGCAAGCACAGTTTCTTCACATGTCTCTCCATTCCATGTGCCTTCTCCAGGTCTCCTGGCTCTCCATCCTGCTTCCTTCCTTCCTTAGTCTCCTCTGCAGCTTCTTCTCTCCCTGCTCAGTTCCACCCTCCATTTGGGTGGGTCAGGGAACCTGGAACCTCCCCCTTTCCTGGGGACCACCCTGTTACACTTACTTCACTGGCTTCAAGGATACATCTCCCCCTCACAGCTTCTT